TCTCTACCGAGGCATCATCCCCACTGTCGCCGGTGTCGCTCCCTATGTTGGCCTCAACTTCATGGTCTACGAATCAGTCAGGAAATACTTCACGGAACCAGGTGAGAAAAATCCTGTCTGGTATCGAAAACTTGCCGCAGGCGCCATCGCGGGAGCAGTCGCGCAGACTTGCACATATCCGTTTGATGTCCTTCGGAGGCGCTTCCAAATCAACGCCATGAGCGGAATGGGATATCAATACAAATCAATATGGGATGCCGTCAGAACTATCATCGCACAGGAGGGCGTTCTTGGGCTATACAAGGGTATTATGCCCAATCTGCTGAAGGTCGCTCCGAGCATGGCAAGCAGCTGGCTTAGCTTCGAGGTTACAAGGGATTTCTTGGTGGCTCTGGCTCCAGAAAAGGAAAATGGAGACCCTGTTTGAAAGTGTCAAAGTCAAACTAAGATATATGGCTCTTTCATCCCCCACAAACCGTCAGAAACCGCTATACATCTTTCCACCGATCGACTCGAAATCAAGTGAAGCCCGGGACAAAACACCGCGTGTGTGAAGGGAAGGGAATGAAATGATACCATCATCGATCGTTCTTACTCTCACAGAAGAGAAGACCTGCGCCGCTTTTGTAAGGGCTGCTGTATATTCCACATAAATGGGGGCATGGCGAAATTTACGGTGTCAAAAGGCCGAGGGAAAACGAATTAGAGAGACCTGGGGCGAGGCATCTTCTGGAGTATTAAGACAAGCTTATGACTTTGGTCTCTGATGGACTTGAAGTTTGAGCATCATTTTTCTGAGTAGATCGAATTGAATATTGAATTGGTCGCTCTTATGACGGTAGTCTTGACCCGCTGCACAATTTTCCCGGCGTTCACCTTCACCATGACGACATACTCATTACCAACTTCGTAACAAGCTGAAGGGATTGAAGAATAGCAGTCGAACTCGAATAGTAAGGCTGGCTACTACAGTACTTGAAATTATTGGCATTGTTACTGTATGCTCATGATGTCACGTGATCGATGCAAAGGTTTTGAGTGCCGAAATAGTTTAGCGTGAAGAAATCTTGGCACGCCGCACAGCGTTCGCACCCGCTAGTTTCTCACGTCGACCAAATTTACAGATTGACCTTCTGAGGACGTCGCCGACCCTTTCTCGTTCAACATCATCCACCACAGCCAGCGATCATGGGTATGTACCATTTAGCAGTGGTTGTTGCTTCATTTTATGACTGACATTTGTTTCCAGGTATCGACCTCGATCGCCATCACGTCAAGGCAAGCCACCGAAAGGCGCCCAAGAGCGACAATGTCTACCTCAAGCTCTTGGTGAAGCTTTACCGCTTCCTGGCCCGTACGTTGAAAGACTGAGTAATTTGAATAGGCGAACAAATCGTTGACAAACAATCACAGGCCGAACCGATTCCAACTTCAACAAGGTCGTGCTCAAACGCCTGTTCATGTCCCGTATCAACCGCCCTCCCATGTCCATCTCCCGCATCGCCAGCAAGGTTTCGACCGAGACGGCGCAAAAGGCATACAAGGACAAGACCATTGCCGTCATTGGCACCGTCACCGATGACAACCGCCTGCTCACCGTGCCTGAACTCCACATTGCCGCGCTGCGGTTCACTGCCACTGCCCGCGCCCGAATTGAGAAGGCCGGCGGTGAGTGCCTTACTCTCGACCAACTCGCTCTGAGACACCCTACTGGAAGCAACGTGGTGCTCCTGCGGGGACCCAAGAATGCCCGAGAGGCCGTCAAGCATTTCGGCTTTGGGCCGCACAAACACAAGAAGCCATATGTCGAGAGCAAGGGCAGGAAGTTCGAGAAGGCCAGAGGCAGGAGACGGTCCAAGGGTTTCAAGGTGTAGACGTGGCCTGCGTGTTGGCAGTCTGCTGGTGGAGGTTGTCATGGTGGGCTTCGTCGAGTAGGAGTCGGGGCCGATGAGTGGATGACGGGAAGGTCACGAAACTTTCTTCGAGCACACCAGATGGGTCGATGAAGATGGAACTCTACGAAATCGGAGCAAAGAACGAAATTCCAACAAGCGAGATGCTCGATCATCTCGATTTGTCCAGCGTCCTCCTTCAAGCAGAGACAAAAAAGTTCGTTCGAGCAGCCTGTGGCTACGAAGAGAGGAAAAGGTAGTACCTCACATGGTCGCTGTCAAATTTTCCAGACTAGGGGGACGCAAGACGAAAATTCCAATGCAATTGATTTCAAAACGAAAGAAACCGATTCAATTCGGGTCTTTTGCATTTTTGTCATTTTTTCATTCGTATTCAGTCCAACTTTTTTTCAGTGTTGTGACAACGCCAGCTCATGTAAACCGTCAGTCAATACAGTAGTGACGACTGGGATCTCCTTGTTCCCTTCTTTCCCTCTCATCATCGACGCCTCCCCTTTTGCATCGTTATCATATCTCGATTCTCTCGTGCAGATACCTCCTCTGACCTTCCCCTTCCCCGTACTCGCCGGCGCCCTGACCCGTTCCTCGGAGCTTGTACTTGTAAATCGTCAAACCCTCCAGACCGACGGGTCCTCTTGAATGGATCTTGTTCGTGCTGATGCCGACCTCGGTGCCGAATCCGTACCGCATGCCGTCCGCGAACCGGGTCGAGGCGTTCCAGTACACGCCGGCCGAGTCGACAGCGGACATAAACTTCTCGGCGGCGGCGGAGGACCGTGTGATGATGGCGTCGGTGTGGTGCGACGAGTGCGTGTTGATGTGAGCGATGGCGCGGATGAGGGATGCGTCGTTTGCCTCGTCTTGGACGTCGCCAGAGCCGTGTCCATTCGGTAAAGTATCGTTGGTGGTACTGGTGGAGGAAGACGTGCTGGCGGGCACGGTCTTGACAGCCATGATCAGGTCGAGGAACTCGGTCGTGAAGTCCGTCTCGGTCGCTTCTTGCAGCAATGCTGCGTTCGCGGGACTCAGCACTTCGGTCAGTGCTTTCTTGCTCTGTTCGTCGCAGCGTAACCTCACGCCCTTCTTCTGTAGCTCTTCCACCACGTTGGGCAGCACTGTCTTCAACACCGCCTCGTGCACCAGTAGCGTCTCTGCCGCGTTGCACGCCGCTGGGTAGTCGCACTTGGAGTCGACCACCACTTTGACGGCCAGGTCCTTTTCGGCATCCTTGTGCAGGTACACGGCGCACAGACCATCGGCATGGCCCAGGACGGGAATCTTCGTGTGGCTCTTGACGTATCTGACCAGTTCGTTACCCCCTCTGGGGATGACGAGGTCAATGTACCGATCTAGGCCGAGAAGATCGTCGATCACGTCGCGAGTCTTGACCAGCTGGATCGCCGCCACGGGGACTTGGGTACCGGCCAGAGCGTCGCCGATGACTCTGGCTATGGCCTCGAAGCTCGCGGCGCTTTCCTTGCCGCCCTTGAGGATGGCCGCGTTGCCGGACTTGATGGCCAGGGCGGAGATGTTGGCGATGACCTCGGGCCGGGCCTCGAAGATGATGAGCAAGACGCCAATCGGGCACGACACCCTCTCCAGCTCCAGGCCACGGTCCAGCCTCGTCCGCAGGTCCACGTTGCCCACGGGATCCGGGAGGTCGCGCACGTCCAGGATCCCCTTCAACATGTCCTCGTACTTGCCCTTGCGGCCCAGGTCGAGCCGCTTCAGCACAGCCTGGCTCAGCTCTCCCTGCGACGAGGCCTGTTGCGCGAGCGCCATGTCGCGCGCGTTGGCCGCCAGGATCTCGGCCTTGTGCTGGGTCAGCGCGGCGTGGATGGCCGTCAAGGCGTCATTGCGCGCCGACAACGGCAGGATGGACAGCGTGTGCGAGGCAAGCGAGGCGGATTGCGCACAAGACACGGGGCTTGAACTTGTGAGCGACATGGTTGTTTTTGGGTGGTTTCTGGTTTGCGGGCCCAAGTTTATTTCCCCTCTGTGTCTCTCTCTGTCTCTCTCTTCCCGGGACGTTCGAATCGGTTTTCTTCTTTCAACCTTCTCCCAAAGACTGACCCCGACTCAGAATCTCACTTGGGATTGGATACTCTCCTCGGTTCCCGAGACAAATCCCTAGCAGAACCTCCCCCACCTTTGGTTTATGTCAGGCTTGCAGTTCGAGCGAATGAGTATATGTGTACAGGTGACTTCGGCGTGGCGCCCACCTTTTCTAGATACTAGGTGGTATGGAAATACTCACGAGAATTTCAAAGAGTCATAAGCACTGGTGTGCATTAATTAGTACAACAGGGCGTGTGGAAGGTTTGGGTTTTTGTTCTAGAATTCCGCTTTAGGCTTCTCCTCGCCACTCTCGGTCGCCCGACGATACCATTGGGTAATTAATTATTGGCAATGACCCGTTTGCCCGTTGTCGTGTCTCCCTACCAAATATGTACCTAGCAGGTATTTGTGCTACTGGTAATAGAACTGATCGATGTAGAAATAGTCAGTATCTATCTATCTTCTGCGGTATTATGCCTCGTACATATATAGGCATATATGTAAGGTCCAAAGTCCATCTATAGACACATTGACTGCCTATTCGGTATCGCGACACGCCTACAAATCTATTATTCTAATTTCCGGATCCCGCCTTTCCCTGGATCCTGTTTTTTTGACGTTGAGAAAAACGAGAAATTCTACGTCGACCTCCTAACGTGAAGATAGAAATAGATGAGAGGCCGGATCGGTGGATATTGGTCCAAAAAGGGCGGTGAGACCATGCTCGGAATATGCCCAGTCTTCCAACCGACTTATTCACTGGAAACTCTCGACTCTCGACAATGGAGGATTCTATTCCCCTGAAACCGGATTCAATGTGTCTGCCTTTCGTCTATGGGTTTTCATGTCTCATCAGCTCATCATGCCTTCTATTGCTACAATGCTCGCGACAACAACAACAATGACAACAACGACATCGATGGCGCCAGCAGGAGGAACGGAAAAAGAACGTCGACTCCAAGGCTGGTCCTCCGCGTTGCGAAAAAGATACTGTTCAAGCATGATCGGTCTTTTCCAGCACAGGTCCACTTACTTCTTCACGAGCAAACTTGTCCCGCTCATTTCTTCGGGTTGATCGAGCCCCATGGCCGCGAGAACTGTCGGTGCGACATCTCCAAGAACACCGTCCTGTTTCTTCAGGCTCCATCCTTCAGGTGCATTGGCCATGACGAAGGGAACTTTGTTGGTCGTGTGCGAAGTCTTGGGCTTGCCTTCTTCGTTCAACATTTCTTCCGCGTTGCCATGGTCGGCGGTCACGAAGAGGATATAGCCGTTCTTCTTGCACGCCTCATACACCGTGCCGATGGCGGCATCTGTAGCGGTCACTCCCTTGATCGCGGCTTCGTAGACGCCGGTGTGGCCAACCATGTCGGGTGGTGCGAAGTTGTTCATCAGGAAATCGTACTTTTGGTCCGCGATCCTCTCACTGAGCTTGTCTGCTACCTTTTGAGCACTCATAGGAGGGTCGAGATCGTATGTTGCGACTTTCGGGCTGGGAATCAACTCTCGATCTTCGCCGTCAAACTGTTTCTCCACCCCACCGTTGAAGAAAAACGTCACATGAGCATACTTCTCAGTCTCAGCGACGTGGCACTGTTTCAGGCCTTTTTTGCCCAGCCACTCGGCCAGGACATTGCCCATGTGCTGGGGTGGAAAGGCGATAGGGAAGGGGTAGTCGGTCTTGTACTGCGTCATGGTGGTAATTTCGATCCCCTTGGGATATGGAAAGTCTGGCTTGGGGGATCGGTCGACATCGCCCAAAAGCTGGGTGATCTCTCGGACGCGGTCAGATCGATAGTTGAAGAAGAACAGGGTGTCATTGTCTTTGATCCTCCTCTCATCTCCGCCGACAATAATGGGCTTGAGGAACTCGTCGTTCTCGCCTTTTTCGTATCGGGCTTTGATTGTGGCAACAGGGTCAGAGGATTCTTCTCCTTCGCCGAGCACAATGCCCTTCATTCCAATCTCCACCCGATCCCACCGCTTGTCTCGGTCCATGATATAGTATCGGCCCACCACCGTAGCCAGCTCCCCGATCCCGAGCTCGTTCAGCTTGTCCAGCAGTTGTTGCAAGTAACCCGCGGCGCTCTTGGGATCCGTGTCGCGGCCGTCTCCGAAAAAGTGAATAAAGACTTTCGGGACCTTCATCTCTTTCGCGACTTGGAGCAGAGCGAACAGGTGGTTGATGTGACTGTGAACACCTCCATCGCTGATGAGGCCGAGGAGGTGGAGTCGGCCGTTGCCATCCACTGCGTGCTTGAAGCACTTTTGGATGTTGGCGACCTTGTTCATTTCCCCCTTCTTGATAGTCTGATCAATCCTCACGACATCTTGCCAGACGACTCTGCCTGCGCCGATATTGAGATGACCGACTTCAGAGTTTCCCATCAAGCCTTCCGGGAGACCAACTGCGAGGGAGGAAGCTTCAAGCTCGGTGTAGCCTTGTGCGGTTGTGGAGCCATCTTTGGCAAATCCGTCCATGAAAGGGGTCTCTGCTGCAGCAATAGCATCGCCCTCTGGAGGGGAGGTCTCGGACGGAATGCCCCATCCATCAATGACAACTGACAAGGGAGGTTAGCTACTTTCGTATCGTAGCTGGGGGAGCTCCGGAATCCTACTCAAAACAGCCTTGTGCTCGACCTTCGTCATGATGGTGGAAGCTCGAGAAGCTCGAGAAGTTCGTCAACGGAAGTTGTCGGTGGTGGGAACTGCAATTCAATTGCAGAAGATGGTACAAATGCTGGTCAATAAGGTTCGACACGAGGTATAAAGTGAAAAAAAAGATATGCAGATAATTTTTGTTGACTTGAGAAACAATGTGAATCGGAGGGGTTGAATTGGTCGACAATGACGCCGCTTTGCTCGGCCAAAGTCACCAGAGTTGTCGGTTTGGCGGGGCAGGAGACGAAGCTGGGCAAAAGTCAGGGGATGGAGGGGCACTCAACAGGGATCATCGCGACTCCTTTAGGCGCTTAAGCGAAGCAGTTGGGGAGCCCGAAGCGCCTGAGACTGCCGCACCCATAGCCTTCCTTCTCAGTTGTTTTGGGGGGGAGGGATCAGCCACCAATATCACTCGCTACGTCACCTTTGCCTGTGGCCACAGTTTCTTCACCTGCGCTGTTCGGTCTCCAATCCTTTCCTTTTACCACCCGTACCACCTGTACCACTTGTACGCTCATCGGCGATCGACACCATCTCCACCCTTCTTCCTGTAACTCACCCTCGCTCTCAGCATGGCATCGGCAGGTATCATACTTCTTCCGCTGGCAGACGAGCCTGTATTGCAATGCTCGGCTGCACCATCAGACGTGCTCCTAGACTTTGCTAGGCATCAAAAGTGCCATGGCGACCAAACTCCAGCTCTCTCATGGTGGAAATCCGGCCTCAGACTTGTACCCTAGAGCATGACACGTCAAGGTGTGTTCTGCCAGTTAGAGGGGATCAAAAAGAGGCAAAAACTTGCAGAGAAAACTCGAACTTATCAAATCTCCCACATTGACTTTCTCTCCTCGCCTCTTGGGTGCTCGAAGGAACGATCAGGACAGCACGCATCTTCTCAAGATCGTGCTTCTAGGGACCCCTACGCTCCCCTGTTTGTCCATTCGCGGAGGATGACGCGGAAAAATTTCCCAGATACCTGCAATTGGCTTCAGTCCTGCCAAACCATTCCGAGTCAAGAAGATGGTGGACCTCGACTGCTCCAGTCGCAGGCATCGTACCGTCTGATGTGCACATCAGAATTGCCATCCCGGAAACCTTTCCCGGTTATAATCATGAGCAGATTCCTAGGTCTTGCGTTATGGTGGTTATACCTCACCCTCAAACAGCACCAAACCGCCCTGTTTGCCTGAGAACTGCGGTGATCGTCTTTTTTAACGTCGCTGAATTTGAACTATTTCAAAACCCACATGTGTCTCGATCTCAATTTCTCCCGACTTGACTTTGTTTGCAGTGAACCAAAGCGCCCCCCATTGTCAAGTCAGCGAGATTTTGCGGGTGTGACGGTCACAAAGGCGCTCCAGGCATCACTTGATAAGAGCAGCCGCATCAAAACAGAAAACCTTCCCTCTCTACCTTCGACCTCTTCTGCATGCAGGGTTAACCTGACATCACAGGCTTTTCTGTGCCTGTAAGTTTTTGGACTTTGCGCACCTTGCGCTGTCGGAGTACGAAGAAGGGTTGCACCATGTCGGACTCCATGGGGAGTCCCGCTAGTCCATCCCTAAGTCGGCGTTGGGCAGAAAGTTCTCACACCAAGTCACGCATCTCAAAAAAGACTACCAATACCAAAATGCGCACCTCGCACGCTTGTGATCGGTGCCGTCTGATGCGGACAAAGTGTTCGGGAGGTGACCGTTGTACCAAATGCATCAAAGACGACGCGAACTGCGTCTATGGCGATCGCAAGCGGGAGCGCAACAAAAAGTATTGTTTGCGTGCCTGTCTCTCCGGCATATGTTACTAACATTACGTAGGGATCTCGCCGAGAGTCTAGATCGCATCAGTTTACTGGAAGACGAGAATAGTCGGTTGGTCGGTGCTCTCCGCTCATTAGCCGAGCGTCCAGACTTCCGTCCGGAGGAAAATACCCATGTATTGCAGCTGTTGAACAAGGTAGCTATTGATGTATTATGCGCGCTTCCAGGCTGCTCGACCACTAACACACTTGGCAGTATTCCGAGCAAGAGGGCGACGACGAAGAGCATGGGGTGGCCTCGAGCAGCCAGTCGAAGAGCCGGGCCGGCCTTTCTGTCTCGCAGCGTCCGTCATCCTCGTCAAGTCCGGGTCGGTCGCGGCGGGACCACAGGTATGGGGAGACCAAGGCCAACTCGAGCGTGGGCTCTCCTCGGAAACAAGGGGAGCTGAACTTTCTTGTGTCTCTAGATTTTGGAGGAGGGGCTTCTGGCTTTGTGGGGAAAATGTCAGAGATCTCTTGGATCCAACGTGGATTTGAAACCGTCCGAGGCCACAACCTGGCCAACGCCGGACTACCGCATGCGGCAGAAATGGATGAAAATCTGGCGACAACAACCAACTTCAGCTATTTCGTGGACGATATTAACCTGTTGGCAGTAGACGAGGATTATGTGGATCAATATCATTGGCCCGCCACCGAGTCTTTGGTAATCCTGTCAGAGGCCTTTTTCCACTGCATGCAGGGTGCCTATCATTTTGTGCTCCGTGAGGAATTTTTGCAACGGGCATACTCTTTCTCAGGTAAGGGAACGGCCCCAACGTGGAGGAAACGGCGCTGGCTCGCGATGGCAAATCTCGTGTGGGCTATTGGAGCAAAGTGGCTACAGATCACCCAGTTGGCCGACAAGGATACTAATGGGGATCATCTGGTCTACTACGCACGGGCGCGAGCGTTGGGTCTGGACCATAGGGTGATGTTCGACCACCCTGACATCGAGCGAGTCCAGGGCATTGGACTCTTATCTTTCTACCTTCTTGTCAATGGGTCCATCACGCGGTACGAAGCACGATCTGGACGATCTTGCGTCTCCTCGCTGATACTGTGAACAGCTCCTGGAATACGTTGGGCCACGCTATCCGGCACGCCACGGCGCTCGGGCTGCAATTAAAGGTAACAGACCCAAATGTGAGCGAGTTGGACAAGTCGCGGCGAGCTCGAACGTGGTATTCGCTCTACAGCCTCGAGATCCTGATTGCCGAAATGACCGGGCGGCCAAAGTCTATCTTCCTGTCCGATGTGACCATACCCATCGATCTTTCCTGGTCGGTCCCGCAAGAGACGGAGCAATTCTCTGGCCAAATCGACAATTTTTATTCGCCTGCCGATTCGAGGAAGATGTGGCTGGAGTACCTCAACGCTAGTCGCAATATTTCCCAGATGACGGGCGGAGTGGTCCCCTGGAAAAGCTTTGCGGCAGTGGGACGTGGCATCCCTACCTCATACTTACCTCATCGATTGTACCTCTGTCGACTCAGCGACAAGGTGGCGGCGCAAATGTACAGCGGGACGTCTGAAGATTCGTGGTCCCAGATCCAGCATAAGATCGGCGACTTGCAGACGGAGTTGAAGAACTGGGTCGAACAGCTTCCGCCCGAGTTGACTCTCCAGAGTCAGGATTCGGTGATAGGCACTGATCCTCGAACCAAGCTCGAACTAGGCATGTATCACCACAGTGTGGAGATGATCCTCCACCGGCCATGCCTCTGCGAGGTGATTATCGGAGATGAATCGAAGCAGTCGAAAGAGTTCAACCGCAGTTCGGCGCGAGCCTGCGTCCACGCGGCCATGGCCATGTTGTCACTCATGCCTGACTATCCCACGGCCCACGAAGCGTACCAGCTGCTGCCGTGGTGGTCTCTCCTTCATTTTGTGGCGCAGGCGACGTCTGTGTTGCTTTTGGAGCTAGCCCTGGACGGACGTCACTTCAAAGATGAGATACCACAAGTGGTGACGTACTTGCGCAAAGCCATGTCATACCTCTGGTGCATGAGTGAGGGTTCATTATCCTGTTACCGCGCCTGGAGGATATTCAGACAACTACTGACCGAGGTCATGGAGCGGCACGAGGAGTACGATTTGGCTGACATCCCTGTCGAGGCACCACCGCCTCCCAGGTGGAATGAAGAGCTCGAGGATTTGACGGTCAAGGCCTTTAAGGGACGAAGGGATTCAGTTCCATCCCCCATGGAATATGAGGAGGGCTAGAGAAGAGAGGTTGTTGGGGCTCCGGCGCCTAGCCTTTCAACTTCTGCGCGATGAGCATAGTCGCTGCCATTTCTACGGACAATAAACACGACAGGTTTGTTCTCTTTGCCACAGAAACCCACTCGTTAGTTGGCGTGCTGCAGGTAGTCTTCGGTAAGATATTTCGAAAGTGTCCTCTATCGCTCTGAGAGGGAAGATATCGCCGCGGCGATAACAAAACGCCCAAGCTCCTGGTCGATATTTGGTCCCTCGTACCTCGTATTTTCCCGCATCTTTTCCCCGCATCAAACAAAATGTCCCATCCGCCGTGCCGCCTCGGTTCCCCGGACAAGTAGAGATTACTTCGGTATAAAAAGGTAAAAAGAACGGCGCGACACATACCTTTTGTGCTTATCTCCTCCGAGCACATCTATTATATCAACGAATCAGAAATCCAGGGAGAGCGGGAAAAAGAAGAAAAATGGTGTATCTCATCCGCGACGGGGTCCGCTTGTACTATGAAGTCCACGGCAGCGGGACGCCGCTCCTCCTAACGCACGGATACTCGTCCACCTCGGCCATGTGGGCGGGCCAGGTCGCCGCGCTGTCCAAGCGGTTCAAGCTGATCCTGTGGGATATGCGCGGGCACGGCGCGTCAGACTACCCGACCGACCAGGCGGCATACAGCGAAGCGCACACGGTGGACGACATGGCGGCGGTTCTCGACGCGGTCGTCGGGCGCGGTGCCGGCGGCACAGCCATTGTCGGCGGCCTGTCCCTCGGCGGATACATGTCGCTGGCGTTTTACCGCGTGCACCCGCAGCGGGTGCGGGCGTTGCTCATCATCGACACGGGCCCGGGGTTCAAGAAGGACGCGGCGCGCGACGAATGGAACAGGACGGCGCACGCCACGGCGAAGAAGTTTGAGACCGACGGCCTCGCCGTGCTGCAGGGCCTGAGCGCCGAGCGCGCCACCGTCACCCACCGCGACGCAAGGGGCCTGGCCCTCGCGGCCCGCGGCATGCTCGCCCAGCGCGACTCAAAGGTCATCGATTCGCTGCCTGCCGTGCGCGTGCCGAGTCTGGTCGTCGTGGGCGCAGATGACACCCCCTTCCTCGTCGCCAGCGAGTACATGGCCAAGAAGATCCCGGGGGCGAGGAAAGTCGTGGTGCCCGATGCAGGACACGCCGTCAACATCGACCAACCTGAAAAGTTCTTGGAGGCGGTCCTGCCGTTCTTGGACGAGGTCGACCGCCGTGGTGGTGGGAAACAGAGGGCGTCACTTTGAAAAAAGATAAACACGCTCAAGTTTGAGAAGAGACCAAAATTTCTTTTGAGAGAAACAAAAAACAAAACCAATACGGGTTGACTGATCAGGTGGATCGCGGCATTTTGCCTACGGGATATTGGGTATTGGACATTGGATGTGCAAGGGGGCGTGCGTGCCTTGTTGAGCCCTTGATAGTGTGGTGGTGGGTGTTGGTGACTTGACATATCCACAGAGACCCTGACCTGATCCATTGGAACCATATGAATCCCGACGCGTTTTTGATACCGTGTTGTTTTGGTTCTCGCTTTCTTTTCTTCTTCTTTTCACTCCCAAACTTGGTAACTGTATCGCACTAACCACTTCACTGCCAGACCACACCCACCCACCCACCCACCCACACAGGATCACAATTCAAATTGCCCAAGGAGAAAACAAAAAGTACCAGCAAAAAAAAAAGACGACTTACCGTTTCGAACTTACCTTTTTTGCATTTTTCCTATTCTCGCCATGCCCCTCAAAACATGGATTCCTGGGTTCTTGTCCCCTGTTGCAGTGTTCCCAAGCGGAGAATAGGATGATTGAGCAGCCCTATGTTACGGGGGGACTATTTTCAAACACTGCTCCGACGGCCCCAGATCAGGCTGTCAATCTTGGAGGTAATTCGAACATTGTAAAATATATGTTAGTAGCGGGGGCAACTTTTTCACCTGGTAGTACCGAGGGCATGGGACAGGACCCAGCGATGCTGCTTGGCGGTGTTGGAAGGGCGTCCGCTGCTGGTGTTTAGTGTCGAAATGGAAGCACGGCTCTCAACTCTTCTTGACGTGGTCGTCTTCTCCTCACAGCACTGACTCTTGCATTTGCCCTGTAACTCTGGTCCATGGTAGCCAGGGCTGCCTATGTCGAGCCAGAATGGATCTAACGTCTCAGCTGGCATAGCTGTCCTCTAGAACAATATTGTTCTCTCTCGATCATGGCAATCTCGGATGCAAGTGTTTATCGTGGCAAAAGGCAGGCGCCGAGTCAGGCGTGTCAAACTCGTGCAACCAGGTAGGTGTGTTGTATCTATGGGCGCATAATGGGTTTGGATGCGGTGGTTTCTCTACCACACGGCGAGAGTCTCAAGGCGGCCTATCATCTTTCCTGGGGCTTCTCTAGATGGATATCATCTATGAAATGGCGACAGCAAATATGGGTGTTTCCACTGTTAGGTGTTTTCTTCTTGTTTAATGCTGCAGCGGGTTGTGTCTCGAGTATGGATGGATCTCCTACTTCTCATATTACGCATCGAGCTCAACAATCATCCTACCAGCAGCCACACTCTTGGTGCTGTACAACGACAGCCCAAGGCGATATCCATATGGAGAACAGGTCTGTCCGAATCATTCTGGTAGAGAGGTTAATTTGGACGCTGGGCAGTCTTGAGGAGTCACAGCAGCTGGTATGCATAATGACTACGAGATGGTTGGGATCGTGGTCTCGCTCAGCAACTACAGAGTTTTCTGGGTGAGCCGGACGAATGCTCTTGGTGCGAAGGGGGTATGAAGGCGAGGACATATGTACGATGCATATGAGCAGATGGATGGTCTCCAAGCAGCAGTCGTGAGTATTGATGCGGGATTGTGGACTGAGGATAGATTCTGGACCGTTGTATGTATGTATTCGGTGCTCATGGTACATCAAGTCGTTGGTGTTGTTGATATTTTTTCTCTGCACCATCTGAGTCTGACTATCCGAGGCAAGTTTGCCGACCCCAAATGAGCCTCTCGTCTGCCTCGTCGTTTTCCAACCACGAACTTGAGTAACTGATTTGCTGCCTGTGTTTCACAAAACGCCCAACCCGTATTTCTTTCTGACTCTTTCTTCGTCTTGTGTACCTCTCCAGGGGATCGACCCGGCAAAATCTCGACGCTCTCGGCTCATATCCCACCACGACCACGACCACCTCAGATGCGCCTGGCAACCCGTCGATTCTTCCTCTGCTTCCTCCACGAGTCTCAATGACAGCGATTGCCTTTCACCCCACGAACTCTTCGACCCTGGCAGTCTAGTTTGTCCGGACGGTCATTCTCCAGCCTCACAATGAAGACCACCTATTCGCTAGTCGGTCTCAGACGGTGGTCGTGTAAGAGCAAGGAATTACCTGCCGTCCCCTCCATCAAGGCTATTCACGTCTACGACTTCGACAATACTCTCTTCAACAGCCCCTTGCCAAACCCCCAGATATGGGCACAACCTACCGTCGGTCTGCTTCAAACATATGAGACTCTCGCCTACGGAGGGTGGTGGCACGATAATAGTATCCTGGCAGCCACAGGAGATGGTCTTGAGATCGAGGAACCCCGCGCATGGGAAGGTCACTGGAACGAGACTGTGGTCCAGCTCGTCGAACTGAGCAGCCAAACCAAGGATGTCCTCACTGTATTGCTGACCGGCAGGGGAGAGACGTATTTCGCGGACCTGGTCAGCCGAATTTGCAACTCACGGAAACTCGACTTCGACATGGTCGTCCTCAAGCCCGAGGTAGGCCCCTCAGGCCAGCAATTCGAGTCCACCATGGGGTTCAAGCAGGAGTTCCTCAAAGAACTAGTCTTCAGCTATAAGAATGCTGACGAAATAAGAATCTATGAGGATCGTCCCAAGCACGTCAAAGGCTTCAGAGACTACTTTGAGCGCTTAAACAAGTCATTCCTATCGCATCCTGTTGACCAACCACCGCCTCCTCGGAAGCCCATCACGGCGGAGGTGATTCACGTCTGTGAGCTGAAGACTACTCTGAACCCAGAGACCGAAGTCGAGGTCGTGCAGCGAGCCATCACTCGTCACAACGAAGCAATCTCCAACGGGGTTCCCACTGTGACAAAGACTGTCCGCAAGCATCTGAAGATCGACCAGCAGTTCTGCTATTTCGGATATATGATCAACCAAACAGACTCTGCACGCCTCCTGACACTATTTAATATCGCAGCGGGGATGATTGATTCTGGCGAAGTCCGTCTTTTTGCGTCGAGTATCCTCATTACGCCTTACTACCCGCGGCATGACATTCTCAAGAAGGTTGGCGGGCGTGGCAAGAAAGTCACATGGCAGGTTACGGGAATCGCCAAATACGAAGATCGGATCTGGGCTGCCCGCGTTGCACCAGTAACAGACACCCAAATCTACACCCAGGATCCCACACCTCTTGTTGTTCTGGCTGTCCGAAAGGGCTCCAGACAGATCGACGCAGCCAGAATACAGACCTGGCAATCTGTCCCTCCGGACAAAGCCTTCATGTTCGAAACCACGGTGGCCGACAAGGTCATGTTGAAAATCGAAGACGATCACTCCCGAGTCCAGCGTGGGTCTGGAGGTAACCGGAGGGGACATTTTGTCAATGACTTTGAGGCAGGGCACAAGCGAAAATATGGTGGTGACGAGCCCAACTCGCGGAACAGAGACTCATATGCACGGGTCGCTGGTGGAAGCGACAGAGATGATGGTGGCTATGTGCCAAGAGGAGGACGTTATCAACAGCGCAACCAACAAAGCAAGGCCAACTTTAACAACCGTAACAATCCAAACTCGTCTGGGAACAGGGGGAATAATCCAGCAAATACCGGTCTGAAACAACGCGGTGGTGGCCAAGCTGGAGGCGGCTCAAACAGAGGCAGAAATAACGGTCCTGCCGGTGGAGGCGGCGGCCGGGGAGCGCCGGCGTATCGAAGTCTGGACGACTATCCACCGGGAAACTTTGATGGGGCCATGGATCCGAAGACCGGGTCAGGCGAGATGGTCATGAACTACTAGGGACGGCATTTTCAGGCGGGCTATGAGTTGTTGTGGGATGTGACATTGAACCGAGACTTTGTCCGGGTGTATGATACGGACGAACGGGGTTCCGAGCATTTCATCAGTCCGGGTCTTGATCAACAGCCAGGCGTTGGACGGCGAATGAGTGTCGGTCAGTCATTACTTGTATGGCTCTTGAGAGGAAGCTATTTGCGTCGATGCAAACCGTGTACGCTTCGAGCAAAGCCTGTTGCTAGGATGACCTTGCTCGCTGTTCGGAATGTAACAAGGCATTATCGACGCAGGGCGCGCAGGGCTGTGTCAGCCCCAACTAGCTGGCGTTTGGAATGTATCACACAATGGCGTGGCCAGTGGAACAGAGTATTCTTGTATGATTATCATTTTAATCACGAAGGGGAGACGAAACATCAAATGTCTCTAATGCCACCACCACGTTGCTCTCCCATGCCTACGGAAGCTGATTGTCATGCCCCCTTGCCCAGTCAATCCGTCAATAGACAACAAGAGTACAATGCAGATATTAAATCGACACAGCCACCCTCACAGAAGGTCTTAAAAGCCATCACCCGCACGCCACGGCCTACCACACTCCCTCGCCCGGGTCCGCGGATCAAAGCCCCTCCGAACAGCCAACTCCCTGGCACGGTCGAGCTCCCTGCCCAGCCTGCCGCGGCGGTTCTTGAGATCCCTGAAGGTGTTGCTGTCGCTGTCGCTGTCGCTGCCGCCGGTCCACAGCGCGAGGAGCTGCGCGTCCAGGCCCTCCTTGGCGTCGAACGCCTCGAGCCAGCGGCGCAGGCCGCGCTCGCGGCCCTCGAAGCACACGCCGAACCCGTCACAGAGGCAGCGGTGTGGGGACGGGCAGAACTCGAAGAGGCCCGTGAAGATGTATTGCCAGGAGTATTCGAGGATGGTTGCCGAGAATTTGGAGGAGTCGTCGCTGCGTTTGAGCCAGTCCCGGTAGTGTCGGTACTCGTCCACAGAGCGTTGGCGGATGCGCTCGCCCGACACGGCGAATTGGGTGCAGCACGGCTGCGACAGGGCGCGCGGGATGGGCGTGTCGTGCCCGAACAGGTCGTGGAACAGCGACGAGGTCAGGGCCGGCCCCGCGGGTTTGCGGGCCAGGTCGTGCTTTCTCAGGGGTTGGTCGACGTGCAGCCAGTCCGGACAGCCCGGGTCGAGGTGGCAGCGCGCGTTGAAGTAGCCCTGGCGCATGACGTGGGCGTCGGAGAGGAGCTTGATGGTGACGCCCGTGTCCGCGTCCAGCACGACGTTGTTGTGCCAGCTCTTCTTGGCCGGGCGGAAGAACAGCACAATATCTGGGAGGGCGTTGTAGTGGTCGATGATGTAGGTCAGATAGGCCATGGCTTCCTCGCTGCCCCTGTTCGTCGCCGACAGGCCATGACCGCTTCCCGAGTCTGTCGAGTCGATCGTGTAGATCTTCTTGGGCAGGTCGGGCAGGTCTCGGTCGAGCCACGACGTGTCTTCCCCAGACAGCCGTGTCGTGACCAGCACACGCGTGTAGTTCTGCCCGGCCGGTTTGGCGGTCCCGGGCGAGAAGCGGGCTGGGTCGTATAGTGGCCCCTTCTGGCCTTGATAGAGGTATGCTTCTCTACTGCGGGTGTTGGTGACGATCAATGTCAAGACGAGCGCCACGAGGACCAGTGACAGAAGTGACGGGCGACGGAAGAGGCGCATCGTCAGGGATGAGGTCGAGCATGTGCGTTAGCATGAGCATAAGCGTGAGTAGTAGTGATCATCACTCTCGTCTTCTGCTCTTTCATGTTGCTATTGCTATAGGACTAGCACTCCACAAAGCCTAGCTAGCTTACAAGCTGAGCAGGTAAAAGTGTCTCTACGGAGGAGACGAAGGGACCTTTTTTGAAAGAGAGGAAGTTCCAAGCTTCTCAGGTATTTCCACAATACAAAACAAACGAGACGAGACGAGACGAGACGAGACGAGAGCAAGAGTTTGACAGGACCAAGTTCGTTTGCAGAGCCAAGATGTTTAGATCTCGGAAAGCTAGTGTCTTGAGTCTCGAGTCTTGTGGGTGACGATGGTGGCAGATATGTATGGACTCGCGCTCGGTTCTTGGTACGAATACTCGCATGTCCTCGTACTCTTGAATGAATGGGGACAGGGGACAGGGGTTGGAGTAAGAACACGCGTAAGAGATAAGAAATCAACGACGGACCAGGCTAGATAGAGAGAGGAGAAGGGGTGACATTCTCGAGTGGTAGCCAGGTCGAACAAGGGGGGGGGAGTAGGTGGGTGACGGTGAAGAATGTACTCGTAGTCCTAGTAGTAGTTCTGTACTATGAGTTGTTGGCCGGTATTAGTCTAGGACCAGGTATGGATGTGAACAAGGAATGCCTCGAGTCCCCTTGTCGGTGCATACTGAGTACGCGTAGATTGGATTCGCGATATGGTGGAGGAGTAAATATCAAGGTACAAGATAGAATGGGTGTAATTTCTCTTGCCGAGGAGGTTTGCGACTTGATGAAATTGCATTGTCAGGGCGCAAGGCTCCGCCTCAATGCCCCCATGCTCCAGTAATGCTGCAGTACCAAGTATGTGGAGGGGATCACTGATAATTCGTTGGTTTGAATCATTTGTATTTGTCTCTGTTTGCCATCATACCTGTGGCGTTGTTGTACATGGTCGTCCCTGAGATATGGTATATACAAGTATCGACATGAGGAGAGGAGTTGCGCCGCCGCTAATGCTCTATGTATATCCAAGATCTATTCCCACCCCCTCCGCCCTAATCTGATTTATATGGTATCTCTTTTGTGGTTGTACAGTCCAACATCTTGTAGTTCTTTCCCTCGTCGACCCGTTGCGTGACATCGTCAATCACATCTCCCGTCCTTCCACCCGTCCTTCCATCTCTGCTTCCAGAGACTACAATCAAACTCGGCCTTCCCCAGCTTCACATTCACCGCATTATGAGCTTGACACATCCACGTGCCCAGGTCGTCTTGTCCTTTGACCTTGGGTTCGTTCCCGGGCTTTTTCATCCAGTCTCGAAAATCGTCCGCGCACACCCAGCAAGGGTAGAGCATGGAGAAGGTCGAAATGAACTGCTTCATGACTGATTGAGTTTCGGGAGGGGCCGCCTCGGGGTATGTAGCCGCGATGCTGTGCAGCAGCGTCCACGTAGCTCTACCAAGTTCTTCGACGTCCGGTGGGCATTCGGTTCGTGGAGGAGGGACTGGAGCGGCGGCGGCTTTTGTCTTTTTGCCCGTGCCCTGCTTCATCATCGCCATCCATGCGGCAGACGAAGTACACGTTCGACATCTATTCTGTAGTTAGTATGGAGCCGAGTGTTCCACAAGAGACAGCAACCCACGGTTTCCCATCCTTGTCCAGGACAACTCCCGGCGCAGTCTTCTGTGGCTTCTTGTCCTCATCCTCTGCGTCCCTGGTGCCAGATGCTTGGCCACCTGGAAAAGGGAACGACATTTGTCTGCTGATCTGCGATGGCCGCACGCCTTCCTCACAGGGGGGTCCGCCGCAATCTTCCCTCACGCGCCTTAGCAAGCATCAAAGTTGAGGTCGGGGCATGATTGTAAATCAGAAAAATGAAGCCTTGCCTTGTGGCGCGACAAACGCCGATTATGTCCGATGCAGTCTCGCTTCACCTTCCCCTTTCATTTTCCCCAGATAGGTCTAGACCGGTACTATCACGTGCTTGATCGTGTTTACGTTGCGGGGAAGCCTCGAGCCCATCGCAGAAGGGAAATCAATGGTCGACTGGCCCTGATGTGACCAGCGCGTTTTTTCATTGATCTAACGGCTCCTGCGCGCATTCGACCTATTCATACTCTCTTTTGGATAATATAGTCATCGATACCCTTGATCAGAGCAATATGTCCGCGTCCGACTCGGAACTTTCAGAAGCCTCCGAGACACCCACACCACCAGACAACGAACTCGAGCAAAGTCTACGCCGTGAGGTGGACAAGGCGCTACAAGATGGAATCGAGTTCTCGAACAACTCCATTCGCGCAGCTTCCGAAACGCAACTCGGGCTGACAAAGGGTTTCTACAAACAGCACGAGGAGTGGGCACAGCGAAGTAAAGCTATCATTGCCGACCAACTGGTATATCTGGATGCTCCGAAGTGGTGTGTCGCGCACAGCTAATACTGCGACCAGGAGGCTCGGGCAGTGACAGAAAGCCCTCCCCCGGAGGAGGCCAAGCCCAAGGCCAAAGAGCCCGAGAAAACATCCAAGAAGCGCAAGACCTCACAGAAACAGAAAGAGTCCACACCGAACAAGAGACAAAAAGCTGCTACCGCAAAAAGTCGCGACCATGCCTCAGAGAATCTGTCTTCCCCTTCGGCGCGTTCAGACTCGGAAGCGATGCAAGAGACGCCAAAAACAAAACCAGGAAAGAGCCCTCAGAAAGCACGCTCCGTCAAGTCCAAGCCCGTCCCAACCGAGCGAGCAAGCGTGTCAGACTCTAGCCAAGATGACGAGCAAGGGAAGAAGAGCAGCAAGCGCAGACACTCTGCGGGGCAAACGCTCAAGAAGTCCGCCAGCAGACCCACCACAAAGCCAAAAGCCGACGCCAACCTCGACACCGAGCAGGCCGAAATCAAGCGTCTTCAAGGCTGGCTGATGAAATGCGGCATTCGTAAGCTGTGGGGTAAAGAGCTGAAACCCTACGAAACGTCTAAAGCCAAAATCAAGCATTTGAAACAAATGCTCGCCGACGTCGGCATGACTGGCAGGTACTCGGCAGAGAAGGCAAACCAGATCAAAGAGGCTCGAGAGTTGGCGGCCGACATCGAGGCTGTCCGAGAAGGAGAAGCACGCTGGGGTGCTTTCAACGCGGAGAACGGTGCGCGAGCTGAAAAAGGTGCAGATGGCCCGCGACCCACAGCGAGACGGTTGGTGCGAGGAGCGAAGAATTATGACTTTCTGAGCAGCGATGGTGAGGAGACCGATTGAAGTCGGAACTCAAGCCGTCCTTCAGAGGCGCTTGGTCAGGCGGTTTCTTTATTTGATTGCTTTATTGCCGCTCATGCGCTGTGCGACTAGGCTGAAGACGGCTACGGATGAAATGAACAGGACCAGGTTGTAAAACTAAGCAAGGGAGGTTAGAACTATGTTGGATATTTTCTGTACTGCAAGGAAGCTTACGGCGTTGCGGGAGTACTCATTCTCTTCTGCCTCGGTTCGAGCCTCGACGAAGAGACGGCGTAGATTTGGCAGAGCCATTTTGACGAGCGGGATACGAGCGCGCTTACTGATGAGCTTAGAACTGACGGACTGGGTTGTTGTAGGAAGATGGAATAGAAGGATAGAAGGAGAGCAGATCCATGCAAGTCAGTCGGCACGAGGCTCAGCATTCCTTGGCAGCGATCCACTTCAGCCTTGTGTCAGCCTCGTCTGGTTCTGTCACAGCCTTGCCTCGGCATCTCCGTCGCTGGCAGACAAAGCTGTTTTCCACGTCTTCGAAAAGTGGTCTGTCAGGTCGCTTCTCACCAGAATGTCATGCGGCAGTGGATTGAACAAACGCGGATGATACTCTCATCGCCACTGCCATCCACCCTTGAGCAGGATATGCTGAGAGAAAAACCACGTTTGGTCGCCTGTTCAATGATGACCTTGGCAGAGCGACTCGATCCCACCTTGCAAGTCTTTCCCAATTTGGAGGACAGACTCGCTCCCTCACGTCGGATCGTTGGCAACTCCTGATACAACCATCTTCAGGCGTCCCGTTGCCACATCACAACGTCTTGAGGGATATTGAGCTTTCAGGTTTCTGTTGCGCGGTTACAAGCAGGCTTTGCTCGATTTGGACGTGGCGCATGTAATCACAACCCCAGTATAACAGACTGCTCCTGGCTACTTTTGAGTAGCAAAATCCGTTGATTGGTCTCCTGTCTATGCTCCAACAACCCATGCTGGAGCTCCTTGTCCGGAGGAGGCGGAAACCACAGTGTGAACCGACGGTCAGCACTCAGCACTTCTCAACCTCACAAGCCGGTTCGAATGTGGGCACCCCTGTTTAGGGGTCACATTACAAACGCAGTTGTGAGAGCTCGATACGTCGCGTTCAGTGGTGGAGTTGGCGGCCTCAACACTGTCCTTATAGGATCCTCGTATAGTGGACCGACTGCGGCTGGTCGCCCATTCCTAGCAGATCATTACCTTACCGCTATAATCACCATGGAACGCCTCCTCTATTCTTGCTATATTAACCACGGGAGCTATACCATCGCGGTGTGTCTCTCTGGAGAGCAACATCTCTCCACTTGACACTTTGTAACCATGGACGGCTATCCACTTGCTTCTATCCCGGCACTCACGCTCCACGATGGCGTCAAACGCGATGAACTCAATGCCAGCGACATCGTGACCGACTGGCTCGCAGCTCTAGAGAAGCGTCCTAAGAACGGTCTGTCTACTGACCTCGCGGACCTCTTTATTGACGACTCCTGGTGGCGGGATTTCACCGGTCTTTCATGGGATATAGTGACAAAGCACGGTCTCAAAGACGTCGCAGAGTATCTCACCAGCTCGACCACTGGATTCGGACAGCTGGATACCGTCAAAACCGGGGGTCTGCAACCCAGCTTGGTAGACATGCACGGAGCTATCTGGATCCAGGGTGGATTTACCTTCCGGACAAGTGATGGCTCGGGCATCGGTCTCGTTCGATTGATCAACGTGGACAAGTCTCAGTGGAAAGCATGGACGGTTTTCACACAGCTTGAGAGGCTCAATCATCAGGACGAGCTTGACAGCCAACGACTACGCCAATCCTACACCCAGACAAAACTTGGTCAGGGGGTGAATGGAGAACAGAAGGTCGACCTTCAGGTCTTGATCATCGGTGCAGGTAGGTCATTACACGTCGCTGAGCAGCCACAAAACTTATGTATTTTCAGGACAATCGGGTCTTATGCTCGCTGCGCAGCTGAAGAACATGGGCGTCAAAGCGTTGCTCGTCGACAAGCTCCTACGACTTGGGGATCTGTGGCGGTCCAGATACGAAACAGTTAGGACCCATACACCAATCTATACCGACCACTATCCCTTCCTCAAATACCCCACCAACTGGCCGCGATGGCTGGAGCAGGACAAGATCGCCAGCTGGATGGAACATTACGGCCAAGTGATGGGACTTGAATACATGCTCAGCACCACTGTGAACAAGATCGACTACGACGAAGAGGTGCGCCGATATACTGTTGAGGTGGAGAATGAGGACGGCAAACAAACCTTCCACCCTCGGCACCTTGTCCTGGCGACCGGCGTGTTCAGTCGTCACCCCATCGAACCTGAGATACCCGGCCGAGATCTTTTCAAAGGAGAGGCGTACCATGCAATGCACCACAAAGCGGCACGTCTCACTCCTAACGTTGGCAACAAGCGCGTCGCTATCATCGGATCCGGCACCAGCGCCCACGACATCGCCCAGGACTTTGTCAACTCCGGAGCCAGGGAAGTGACCATGATCCAACGCAACGCTATCTTCTCCCTGTCGGCCAAAGCGATTGAAGACGCCTACTTTTCCTTCTGGAACACGCCCGGCATAACGACCGAGGAGGCCGACACCATCACCAACTCTTTCCCCATTGCCGTCGCTCGGACACTCAACATCGGACAGACGCAGATGATGCAGGAGCACGACAAGGAGCTGCTCCAGGGCTTGGAGAAGGCCGGGCTGAAGGTCAAGCACGCAAAGACAGCCGGGTACGGCTTTATCGACCACCTCGTCGTCAAGACCGGCCACTTCTACATCGACCAAGGCGCGAGCCAGATGATTGTGGACGGAAGAATCAAGGTCAAGTCGTGCGCGGACGGTGTCAAGGAATTCGTCAGAGACGGGATCGTCCTCGCCGACGGGACCAAGGTGGACGCCGACCTGGTCATTCTGGCGACGGGGTATCAGAGAAACGTGCTGACCGTGGAGGAGTTGATGGGGAAGAAGGTCGCCGAGCGGGTTGGCGATCTGGGCTTTCTCAACGACGAGCAGGAGCGGATTGGAGTGAGTCACTTACTTTCCTCTACTTATTTATTCCCCTTGGACTTGTTCAGCTGTGTGTTGTGGTATCGCTTCGCTGACTGATTCTGACTCTGTCACAGTGGTGGCGACCCACCGGCTTCCCGGGCTTCTGGTACATGACCGGCAGTTTCGTGTGGGCGCGACAGTTTTCGCCCGTCCTCGCCCTGCAGATCAGCGCTGTCGAGCAGGGCCTGAACCCGGGGTACTGGGAGCAAACGGCGCGGAACAGCAGGGGTATTGGCACCGTTGAATACAGAGTCTAGAGCCATCGCTACCACCAACACCATCACACCAGGTAAGCCACAGAGGTTGGTGTCTGGTAAGGTAAGTTGTCCCCAGCGGGGAGTGTCTCTTCCGTGATGTTGGGGGATGTGGATGATTGGGTGGGTGAGTGAGTTATATCCATGATATAGAGTTGACAGACACCATGGGTGTCGAATTACCTTCTTTGGAGCGATGTGGTGCCTTGACTCTTCTCTCGGCTTATATCTCGAGGTCTTCTCTACTGTCGACCGATTCATCGTTTGTTTCTTGCTTACCTACCACCCCTTTTTTACCCAGCCTCGTCAATCGTCAGTCGTCCGCTGAATATCCTTTGGTGCGTGCTACATGTCTTTGTCTCATTGTATCTTGTATCTTGTGTCTAGTGTCTTTGTGCCTCTCTCGCCATTGACATTGACATTGTACAGCCTCAAAGTCATCCCTTTTCCCATTGTCAATGAATGTTGTCTGTACCGTGCACGTTGTCACTCATTCATGAGAAACAAAGATTTGAGGTCGTTTGTTCATTTCCACTACGAGAGACATCTTATGCTCAATGTTCGTTTCTTACATGCAACCATACCTACCTACTGTGATTTTTTTTAAACCAAAAAGGAAGCAAAACCAATTCTACATCATCATCATCACCACCACCACCACCACCACACAATATAACCGACGACATCATCACAAGGAAAGAGAAAAAGAAAGAACAAAGAAATCTATGACTAGTACTCCACAAAATGAAACTCCTCACCACCGCAACCGCCACGGCCATCATCGCAATACTTGCTCCAATGACGTCAGCTTCGACCATCACCGACCCGTCCGCCCTCGCCGCGAGCGTCAACACCTTCGACCTGCACGCGCGCAGCCTGAAGAAGATGGACGGCAAGTGCACCCCCGGCGGCGGATGCAAGGTTCCCGGCGGCCTGCACGCGGCGTATCCGTGCTGGAATTCGGAGTGTGTCGTTCCCAATCACACAGACGCCGACAAGAAGGAAAAGGAAAAGGGGAATGGCAGTCTTAGTGGTAACCACACCGGCAAAGCCAATGGCAAAAAAGGCGACGGTGGCAATGACACGGGCAAAAACTGCACCATCGCGCCCGGCGTGGACGGCGCGTGGGTCGCAAAGTGTCCGACGAATCTGTTGCCGTATGAGTGGGCGTGGCCGTGGGTGCCGCCGCCAAAGGAGAAGACTGGTCATAAGGACGATAAGGAGTAGTGTCACGAATAGGAATAGGGAGAGGACAAGGATTAGTATCCCTTAGCAACAGAAATGAGATTAAGGAACGGGAATAGGAATAGGCACTCGGTGGCAAACGTGCCATCCAGGCTGGTTATGGATGTTTCAGTTCTACATTCTATGTCTCCGTTTGTCGAAGAAAATCAAAGGTTGTGTAGGATAGTTACAGGGTGGGTGATATAAACCCTGCTATACACTGCAGGGTGCTATACCGAGTAAGATGTGTATATCAAACTCCATCTCACTCTCGTCCTTTCCTATCCTATCATATACTTGTGCCCTCGCTCGCTCACTCAAACAAACTCCATAACACGCACCAAGCTATGTAATTGTCCCATCACCGCTGGAACTCCCCGAGAGCTTCGACCTTGTCGTGATCTACGTTCCCAACCGTGCTGGTGAAGCCATTCTCCTTGACCCGCGCGAGAGCATCGTCTTGGTTGCCACCACCCCTGACGACGGTCGTTGTCTTTGAGGACGACGACCCCTTCCCCACGACGACCGCCAGGATCTGTTGGACGTCCAGCTTCTTCTCACCGTCTTCTCCCGCACTCTCCGCACACCGCCATGCGACGTGGTCGTCGGGCCTGACGAGCACGGCATCTCGCTCCCACACTGCCCTCACGTGCGGCTCGTCGGGCAGATGGATTGTCTTGAGCGGCACGCCCATCTTCTTTGCCTCCGACTCAAAAACCCCGATATACCGGCCCTGAGGCGTGAAGTCGACGAGGGAGTATTCCTTGCCGCTGCCAAACAGGTCGAACACGCTGGTTTCCCCGTCCTTCAAAAACACGTGTGGAGCCCGTGCACCGGGCCAGGTCGACGGCACATAATGCTCTGGGCTCCACTCGGGCTCGGTCGTCGTGCCAGCCTCGTCCGCGAAGATGACAGGGGAGCCGTTGTACCGGTATCCCATCTCGATGCCGTGGTCCTTGTTCTCCCCGTCGTGTGCGACAATGTACTCGGCGATCTGTCTCCGGATGTCGTCACCCTCAGCCGTCTTCGCGGTGACGGCATCTCCCGTCTTGTCGACTAGCTCCTTGTAGAACGTGTGCTGCGACCAGTGCACACCAGATCGCTCAATGTTCCTGGCTGCCACGGGCCGTCGCTCGTCCTCGTACGACTGTAACAGCGTAGGGCCACCGTGGCCGGACAGCACGGCGGCCAGCTTCCAACCAATGTCGAAGCTATCCCCAACGGCCGTGTTCATGCCGTAACCCCCCGTGGGGATGTTCTGGTGTGCCGCGTCGCCGGACAGGAAGACGCGGCCTTTCGGGGAGATGTACTTGTCCGCAAGGTAGATGTTGGGTCGCCACGTGCTCGTGACGAGCACCTCGTCGATCTTGATGGGCCAGGGCGCACCCGAGCCGCCCAACACGCGGTAGACGGCCTCCTTCGGGTCGAGGGTCGACTCATCAAAGTCGAGCGGCAAGGCCGTGTGCGCGGTCCAGGTGTCGACCTCGTCCTGCGAGATGATGACGTGTCCGCTGGTGAAGAAGATGTGCCAGAACTGGCCTTGCTTCTGGATGCGGCTCAGGTCGCGAGACTTGAAGTGGACGAGGTAGAGTTTGGCAGGGCTAGAAATAAACTCGTGAGCGGGAAAGCAAACAAAAGAGTGATTGAAGCGTGATATGCCCAAAGAAGCACTCACACTGGCCCTCCTGTTAGATGGATGCCGATCTCTTTCCGCACGCGACTCCCTCCGCCGTCGCAACCTACGACGTACTTGGCCTTGACCCTGTGCGTTTCGCCGCTGGTGTCGATCAGGTCGCACTCGACACCCGTGTCGGACTCGGTCAAGTGCTCAAACTTCCAGCCAAAGTGGGAGTCGATCAGGGGTTGTGCCTGGATGCGAGGCTTCAGCCAGGCTTCGAAGATGGCTTGCGAGCAACGTTGGTATGGCTCGCGCGGCATGGTGCCATCATTACGAGCTTTGATCTGAGCGCGCCACCAGTCTGGCGAGGGAAGGTCCTGGGATATGATGGAAGTGTCAGTCTTGCCCTACCACAACCATCCGTCCTCGAGAGCGGCAAAGAGGACAAGTCGCTTGGGAGATAGGGAGGAGGAGTTACCCATTTGGCAATGCGTTCGCCATCAGCCAAGCCAGAACTGAAATGAACATCGAACGAGTACTTTTGCGGCACGCCTGAATTGAGCGGCTCATCAGCTCGGTCCATTCCATCCCGTTCTTCCACAACACAAAAAGACGGTCAATAAAATGCTTCGAACGAACCGACTTCGCGGAGCCCCTGGTCAACCTTGAGGCGCTTCAACAGCTCCATGCTCCGGCAATTTGTAATGTCCATCTTGGGCCATTTGGTCGTGTCGAGGTTTCGCTCCACGAGCATACACTCGACGCCGTTCTCGGCCAGCTGCAATGCTGCGATCAGGCCTGCAGGCCCAGCTCCGACGACCAGGACGGGCGTTTCGTGGTGAACAACCTAGGTGAATGTGAGTGACCGAGGGAGAATCTACACAGTATGCCTGTCTGCTTTAAGGACGCACCATCTTGTTGACAGAACCTCGAAAGGTTTGAGTGGACTCGCCGGTACGATGTGGAAAGACGAGAGTTGACTCGAAGTTTGTTAGATATATCTCTTTATCCTCTTATATGCCTACCTCCACCACGATTGATCTGATTCTGTGACAGACGGTGACTTGTGTCTTTTGCGTGCAGATCCCTTTGCCCTCTTTGTCCCACTAACGTCAGTCGGTACCTGGTTCCTTTTAAATATTAGTAGCACGGAGACCCTCCGCATTATGTACTCGCCCATGTTTTTGGGGAAGGGAAGTCTTCTAAGGCTTAGCCCCCGTACATGTCAGTATCACTCGACGGTCTTGGTATAGCGGTGCATATCGAGTCGAGTGAGCGACCGTTCTTTAGCGCAGGTACAACCGCCCCCCTAGGGCCCTCTCCCAAGTTGGCCCCACGTCATCACTACACGCTTCTCGTTCGTCTAGCCTGCGCCAAAAGGCTGCTGGTCTATCCTTTGTGGGAGGGCGGGGAGGAGGTGAGGTGGATGATTGATTTGACAATGATGATTAAGACGTGGACCAGAACCCTTTCCCGGGAAGAGGGTCAGCCACGGAATAGCCCAATGGTGCTAGTAGCCGTGCTGCTGACCATCCCCCAGGAAGATGGAGGTGTTTGTACGAGGTACCGAGTACCAGCTACTCGTACTGTGGAGGGAGAGCGGGGGAGCGCGGTGTCAATGTTTGCACCGTGTCTGACCGAGGAGGGAGCGGCCGCGGTTGCCGCCAGGAGGATGGAGAATGGAGGACGGAGGATGACTTTTGATTGAGGGCAATTGTGGCTGACGAAGAGGCTGATGGTGGGACCAGTGGGAAGATGAAGATGACGTTTGAGTCTAGACTCTCTCTACGAGGTCCAGTGTAAGAATATGGCAAGTAGGCATAGCTGGTGAGATGGTGAAGACAGATACTCGGTGGTTGAAGGCGCAGGCAACTGACTCCCTCTACAATGTCTTCCAAGCACCCACACCCACACCTACACTCACACCCACCTCAACCGTCACCATATACTACTAATAAGACTGCTCTAGTATGTTTCCATGTCTGAAACACTCTCAGATCTGAGACTGTACAGCAAATTGCTAGCTAGCCATACTCGTGTCTAGCTTGTCTTCTTCGCCTAGTCACAGCATTCCGCCCCCTTCGCCACTCGCTCCTTCGTCCTAAGCCGTCACCAGAGGCGGTACATTGTACTGAGCTGGCTTCGCCTCCAGCGGGTCTGGTGGCACAGGCACCTCCTTGCCGGCGTCTTCGATCTTTCCCGACAGGAATGCCAGGGGGATATTGGGCCCCCAGATGTGTAGTGTATCGGGGGCTGCTGCCTCCCTGCCAAACGGCGTATCTTCGTTGACCAGGTCGCCGTCCGAGTAGTGCTCCACTATATTTCCAGAGCCGTCGAACCTATCACCAACAAAGTCAGCCAACATTCCAGAGGAGGATCGCAATGCCAGTGCCCAAGACATCCATACCAGTAGTCGAAAATCTGACTCCCGAGAACGTGTCGCCCAATGCCCCAGCAATTCGTCCAGCCCTTGTCTCGGAGCCAATCGTGGCCGAGGGTCTGCGTGTCAAAGTCATTGACTTCATAGCTCGAATGATGAACGAACACAGGCCGTCCCTCGGGTCCGGATGCGACAAAGAAACTCTGCCTCCCTGTCAGTATACAGTAACCAGCCAGACCACGTGTAACTCACATGATGATCCGTATATTCCGGTCCCAGGTCTATATGGCAAAAGCACGTCTCATCCTTTCCCGTGTCTGGATTGAAGACGGCATCGGTCGGCTTCAGATTGATGAGGTCGAGGTAGAAAGAGAGCGTGCTCTCGAATTTGCTCCCCGGGACGATAAACCCATAGTGACCCAGCTTGTGCACAGGGGATGCACCTGGTTTGAAGCGTCGGAATGTCCCCTTCCGCGGTTTCTGAATAGCAGTGTTTGATATTGGTTCAGTCTTCTCGAGAGGAGGCACTGGACCATCCGACTCTCTCAACTTCTGCCCGTAGACAAATCCAACTTTGTAGCCATTGGGGTCCTCGACCGTCACCACCTTTCCACCTCCGGGTGCATCACTGTCCTGAATGGGAGAGGCGCCTGGACGAGCAGCGGCTGTTTCCAGATCTTGCAGGCTATCCACCACCCAGTAACCCCCAAGGAAATGTCTCTTGTTGTCTGGAGATCTTTCGGCCACGTAGACGACTGGCTGACTCCCGTACCCGCGCAGGTACACGCGGTCCGGTGTTCGGTGCTCCTCGACAAAGCCAAAATCGAAGAGAAAGGTGAGCGCCTTTTCCAGATCCGGGTGTTGGTATACAACGTGCGCCAGTCGGACAACACGAACTCGCTTCCCTGTCATGGCGTCTTTCTTTTAAGGATCGGGTTGGGCTGTTGTGTGTTGTCGTAAGTTGGGTGGTGTCCAAGACGTCTTACACAGACGCAAGCTATGCCTTCCAGAGGAGTTCCCTTGGGGTGCAATATATCAACACTCCCCAGACCACCCCGCGCAATCCGGCCGTACAGGTTAATGACAAATTGTGGGAAGGGATAATATCGTCCCGCAGTCCCTCTCTCCGGTCTTGACAAGATCCGAGATGGGCAACTGACGGCCACGGTCATGGCCGGCTTCAGCAATCCACCGATCACCGCCCACGTGACAACAGTTTTGATGGATTCCCTGCTCGGTGCGGCGCGGCATCCGGTGCGTTGGTATAAAAAGCCAAGCAGTGGCTGGCATGCATCCTTCCCTTCCAGGCAGGAAGCTTTGATTTACCCGAGAGCTCGGCGGCGCCATCATTGACTCGGGCCACTCATCCAGGCATGAAATCCAAGTCTTGGTATCCACCAAAGAAGTCCGAGAACCCAAAGTCAATCTCATTGCTTCCATCATAGAAATGAGGTTGAAGCAAAGGAAAGGTTTGAGGGTCAAACATGGGAGCTTGATAGTTGGCCATGTTCGTTGGGTCAGGCACGTCTAGCGATGTGGGATACTCTTCCTGTGCAGCGGGTTGTTGTTGCTGCACCTCTGTGGGCCCTGTGTAGGGAACACTGTCGCTGATTATCGAGGTCTTCCTCTCTCGTCGATTGAGATCCGGAGGGCTGTTGCCGATGAGTCGCGGCATTCGGAAAAATACTGCATATCTTTTGGCTAGCTGTCTCTCCTCAGCGTTAAGTACGCCTCCTCTCTCAAGAATCTTTGCCAGCTCTATTCGAATGGTCAGAATGAAAAAGCATTCGAGGACTGTTCAGTCTTACCTGACACCACGGAACCCAACTTCCACCTCTCGCTGAAATGTGCGAGAACCAATTTCCCCAAGTCGTGACTAGAAGCGATCAGAGGCTGCGTCCTCAGGATATCACCATCCACGTAGTAAGGCGGAAGCATCATGCATGTAAAAAAAGGGTGGGCGACCGCAATATACCTAGAATCCCAAAGACTGATAATCCGTGACAGGTCGATGGCGCGCTGTCGGAGCGGTGATGAGCTGCTGCCACCCACACTCGACACACTGCGATCGTCGTTCTCGGCAGTGATGATTCCAGAAACCATAAAGGACGCCGCCATCAACATGAGGTGTGTGCCAATAACCCAGTTGCAGCGGGCAAAGGTCGCTGGAGTGAATGTCAACGTCTCGGCGTCGAGTCGAAGCGATGAAGGAAGGGCAAGTTTAAAACAGCAGATTTCGTTCTCCAGCGTCAGTTTCTCATCTGAAGATATGTCTTGTTTCTGTTGCAATCGATCATGGACCGTTGCCATGAAGTGATTGGCAACCAAGAACCACGCCCGTTCGTCTTGGTTATTACAGCCCTGCAACGACCTCCACGATTGACCGGGTAGCATGTTAAGCTCTGCAGATGACATCTCGATTTCGGCAAACCAAGCTTCGTCCGAGATCGGTAGCGCTACAGCCATCCTTTTGCGATCAATTGAATAAGGGTTCCGGGAGACCGTGGATGCAAATGTATCGAGTTCCCACACTGCCCACCAGACTCGCCTGCATTCTTCCTTCTCAATTGAGTCTGTGGGCGTGAGAGGGCTCCAATCTTCATCGTCAATTTCGGAGAGTCCCAAGTCGTAGGCTAATCGGACACAGACCCCGATAAGGATCCAGCCTTGGTGCGTCGGGCCTGACGTGTAAAAGTAGTAGGCTAGGAGAATACAGCCTTGTAGATAAGTCAGTGACGGACTCCGTACGGAACGGGCTTTGGCGTAGCACTCGCGCGCTCGCTGGGCGAACTCGTGTCCTCGCTTGTTTGGGGCAATTCCGGCAAAGACTGGATGGTTGGAGAATCTCGCCGACATGGCAAACATGCTATAGAATAAGAGCGATTCGTCGATTGAGAATCCTTTCATCACATCGCCTTCAACCAACAGGGACTTTTCGTACTTTGCTAGAAACCGCGGCCGGTGGAGGATGGGGACCCATGCCTGTATTTTGTCGAAGAAGACATAGATCAGATCTATGGCCACTGAGCAAGAGATCTCGCCACCAAACGCCGAGGGCAGTGTTGGCGTCGAGAGTTTGGTGGTGGGTTCCGTTGAGATGGGAGGTGGCGATTGTTGCAAGTCTTCCCCGTCCATTTCAGGCCCTAGTTCCTCGATATCCTCCCCGTCAGATACGGAGTCATTCTGGTCGTTCTGCTCAGCTCCGTGGTCCCGACCCTCAGTAGTGCGGTTCTCGGTCTCATCGATCTCGGCGAGGAGACCTTTAAGCGAATCTCGAAGTAGTGTCTGGGGAATTCCTCGTCGGCCATCTGACTCAGCCGACCCTTCTCCTGCCCGAGAAGCCGCGTCAAGCACCTGAACTAACTTGGACAGGCTGTCACTGATCTTGCGAGATTGTGTTTTGAGCTGAGGTTTGCGCGTGGGCTTCTTCCGTTTCAAAGGAAAGGTGCAAGAATTGCCCGTCCGTAAGCAAAGGCCACAAACTGGTCGACGCATATCACATTTTGTCTTTTTGCGGTTGCACTCTTGACATGCTCGGCGCGGTTCATGTTGCGGGACAGTGGCATCGGTATCGGCCATGATGGTGCCCGAAGGAGCTACGTAGCTCGTCGGTTCAGATGCACAGACATTGAAGTCGGCGCACGGAGACTCGCAATATCACTGCCACGAGGATTGAAAATGGAAGAAATGAGATGTTTTACTGGCCCATGAATCTGACTTGGGCTCGACGGTTGAGTCTCCGGCGCTAGACCAGAAATGGTTACCGTAGTATCCTCAATGTGAACAGAGAGTGGACGAGGAAGTGGAGCGGATAGTGGGGTGCCGAGGCTGGGGATCTTGGCATGTCACGTGCATAGACAGGCTGACTAATGTCAAATCCATCTACCGACGCAGCCTTACGCTCCGTGGCTCATCAGTACCAGAGACGAGGCTCCTTTTACTAGGTACAAACATCTCAGTTGCAGCCCGGCCAATTCTGTATCAACCAGACCAAAGCACGGTCAAATAACAAAAATTGGGGTAACTTTATCAAGATTCCTCCTTTTGTTGGACGGTTTTCCCTCTTCTTTTGGCAGTTCATCAGATGGTTTTCTTTCTTCTTTTAGCAGTCCACTAGATAGTTTTCTCCCTTCTTTTGGCAGTGTATACCCAGATAAGCCGTTGACCGTCTGGAAATCTCGGAGAAGATCGGGTAAGCTCTCGCCCACGTAGCCAATGTCGATGGTTTTGGCTGTATACTGCACGTTGTACACTCGAGTATAGTGAAGGCGGCTGGACTCGGCGAGATTCTGTTCAGGATTTGTTTTCTTGATGGCTATAGGCCTTTTGTTCGAACTGGGTTCGTTGTATAGCAAGTGAGGGGCTGTACCGTCCACATAAATCACCGCATGCGCATTGACATCTTTGGGAGAATGAATGAACTTGACCAACCCTCGTTGACCGTAAGTGTCGACTTGTATGCACTCACAATAGCCACTATGCGCTTGGACGACCACCATAGTGTGGACAGAACTAGAAGTCTGGCTCCCTAAGCTTCCCTTGTTTCCGCTGAGATTCACTGTCCCTGGTGCTATAATGTCCATCATCTGTGGTTCAATGTCTTGTTCATCCCAGAGCATGGCAAACACGCGACCCGGCTGATAATATGCTGGCGGCCTTTCACTGAATCTAGCGTCTAATCTCGAAATAGTTTCGTCTGATGCCCGCTTGGAGGGAAACGAGGATTATCGGACCTATGTTGTCAAACCCTTGAAGACCACGGAATGTGGCAGTCGAAGTGCTGCTTGTATCTGAACGAACATCTCTGTTCTCGGCAAAGGATGCCTCCCTCGTGAAATAACTGCCTGCTTCATTTGTGGTGCTGTCACGATCATCGTGTGGTGATGCACCAGTGTGAAACATCGGGGGTTCTTGTAAACCTAGCGAAGATGCCACCTTTGTGCGTCCTGTATCGATAGCGTCAGGATGGCAAATTGTGTTATCGGGAGCCCAGGGAAGGGCTAGTAGTCCAAATTCATGTATGTGCTCAGCAATATGTCTCCAGCTCGTCCGAGCTGTTCGTGCACCGGCCTCGACGATCGGCCTTCACAGTGGACATGACAATGTGGTAGTGGCTGGCGACATGAATGCTTCGAGAACCGTTGGAATTTGATCGGTGGCGATTGAATCAGAGTGATTTTGCTTGATATGGTCAGAAAGAATTGAGCAGTCCCCATATAGTACACCACGCCAGAGATCTTTCACGAAATAATGAAGTTAACATCAACTCGGAATGGCTATCGGCACAAGAGTTCTTTTCCAGAGAGATGCCATGGGATACTTTCGACTACAGAAACTACTGGGAAGCTGTGCGTATTTGTGTCAGCAGTCAATTCATCATCGGAGGTCCCTCATCAGGCAGTTCGCTTGTCGACATTGAAGACAGGCGTTTGACTCCTGCAGAGATTCGGTCGCTTCTCGCCAAACTGGGGATATCACATCATCGACGACAATTAGAGCGCAGAATGAGTCGCTTTCTGGAAGTCCTTCAGGCCAGAGATGAAAGGGTGGCATATCCTGGAGCGGAGGCAGACACACTGTTTGCGTGCTCTTCACTGCATCGACACCATGAGGCTGGAAACTGTCAGACCTGTCAACCCGATAGCATTTGTCGCGCCGCCATCAAGAGCAGCTGCGAGGATTTGGGAAGTTACAACAAGGGTATCGTTCGGCGCACGCGTTCCCAAAATGGCACTCAACCTGGCCATATGGCAGGAGAAAGAAGCTCGTACCGGCCAGCCATCCACATAGGCAACATGGGGTCGGGGGACACGGTGATGAAATCCGGTCATCACCGAGAGAATGTTGCGCTAAAGTACGACATTCTCGGATTTGAGATGGAGGGCGTGGGAATCTGGGACTTCTTCCCTAGCCTCGTCATCAAGGCCGTGTGCGACTATACCGACAGCTATAAAAATAAGAAGTGGTAGATGTATGCCGCCGCCACAGCGGCAGCGGCCACGAAAGCATTTCTCGAGGAATGGAGGCCCGGAAGTGAATCGCCTGTGGACTGAATGTCAACACCCCCAACCCGATTCGGACAGTCCTCATGAAAGGACTGGTGGACGAAGCACCAGGGATTGTGCCTGTGGCATCGATCAGGAGCGCCTCAAAGGCGTCCAATCCTTCAGCCTGGTGGACCCTTGGTCGGCAGCCTTGCAGTCATCAACCAGCACAGGGGCAGGCCTCGATTCACAGAGAATGATCCGAAACACCAGTCAGTGAGATAGCACAGACAAACAATGGCGGTTCTCCGAGTGGACTCTTCCATCTCACTAGACTTCACCCCAGGAACAGGACGACTCGTCCATTTCTCTCTACTTGGGCCTTGCTACGAGTGGGGAAGTGGTCGATGTACACCGATATGACCCAAGTGTACCTGATCCGAGGCTGTAAGAAGACTGACCTCGGGAACAGAATTGGAACTACAGACGAATTACCCCAGACGAGGCTTGGTAGAAGAGCCCAACACAGTACTCGGCATTCCCCGAGTGGTCAGGGCGGAGTTTCCGACCTAAACAATACGCTAGGGAATTTTCAATGGACGAAATCAATGGCGACTCTTTGGGTTTCCGAGCAATCAGCATCGTTCTGAAGCAAATCTTGGATCCCAAACCATGTGGGAGGCCCAAACCGCAACGAGCTGCTCCCGTGGGGACTTGTTTTCCTAACCACGAATAGCCACCGAATCCACGCGAAAGACAACGTCTGGGCCTCTGCCAGCATTTAATCTAGTCCTAGCCAGTGGATACTGTGGCTACAAGTAGTACAAGGTGGCCCTCACCAATTCGCCTGCGCAACAGCAACCCATGGCCCTCCCCCAGGTTTCTCAGCGAAACTAGCCGCAAAGGCCAGGAAACAAGTCTCTGGGCTCTTTACAGCCTAACGACCCCTTGCTTGGCCAATCGTCGAGGGGCAGGGAAGACTGAACTCCTCCCCGGGAAGTATCATGTTCCCCCACTCAGCCACAAGAGCCACCGCCCAACAAGAAAAACCCCCACTAGCTGCCCAGGACTTTGGTGTCTTTCCCTTGTGTCTCCCAGATCCGTGAACTGAGCACTGAGGAGAGCCTAAGACCTAGTGGTTCTCGACCTGCTGGAGACCAAGAAAATAGCCACTTGGATTCATCTCTCCTTCCCGAACTGCTCAGTTCCTTTTGCGATCCTCTGGACTATCAACCAAAAACCACCAATCGTGGGCAAAGGTGGCCGTCCTGCTGACTTGATCTCCGAGGACGAGAACAAGCCGCGTATTATTATCCGCCTTGTGTCTTCGAATTCGAGGCAGACCATCGGGAGCTTATAATTGAGAAGAACCAGCTAACCATCTAGCCTCTCCCGAGCCCGGGAAATCATCGCCTATAGCCGTTGACAACCGGCACACCTACGGAATCCGGCAAACGGCTTCATACCACTTGCACGAGGACCGGAATGGGGTTCATCTCTTCTGGACTGTATAGCAACTTTCCCTGTGCAGCCCCCTTGCGTACAGGAGGGGTGGGTTTGGAACGACACAAGAAGTCCAAGGGTCGAGAACCAAGCGATCCGAAGTCGGCGAGCAGCGTATTTCTTTTTCAAACATGAACAAACCATGAGTCGTCGGTTCCTCGGCCCTCGCGTAACTCACTAGAGAAATGTCAAGTTTTCTTCTACTTCCGCCAAACTGATTTCTTGGGACTCTCCCAAAGTGACTAATTGGACCCCTGCCATGGGTGATCCCAAAGGCATGGCACATGGCGCTTTCGGGATTCGGTTCAGCTGTCCCTACAATTCGTGTGATAAGGCCGGTGACCACCCACACCCTACTGGTCTGTCTGTGTGCTGGTTAGCCCGAAATTCCGTGGGAAGTCAAAAAAGATATGGGCTAGCTGACCCACCACCCAAACCATGGCTGTCCATGGGTCGCCTTCCCTCTTCAGGTCAATAGAGTAAGGGGGGAAAGTCATATATGCCCCCGGGCAAGTTTTCTTACTCCCCGGATTTCCCAGTCTCTCGTAAAGACTCTGTCGCATCTAGAGGGGTGTTCGTTTACAGCGAACCTGAAGACAACACCATGATCTATGCTCGTTTACAGGTTGGGAAGCCTGAGACGGGCAAGGCTGTGTCTCCTTTTTGCGACAACGGCAACGATGTCGCGTGCAATAGAGCCCCGTCTCGAATCAACGGTCGGCTCAGTGTCCTAGACGACTCTATAAGACAGCACATGTTTGACACGGTGCAACTGTGTTTGCGAGGTAATACCACCGACACCACGGGGCCCTTGGGAGAGAGAGAGTCTGACTTGATACCAGGTGTCATCACATCTTCGGTGGGTTACAAGCATGCGATTGAGGACATCATCACCCTCACCGATGTCAAGGCGGTGTCGGATTTCAAACCGGCCACATGTACCAGCGAGACCGATACGCGCAAAAGTCGCCATTTGGACTTTTACTTTGAACTGCCCACCAGCATTTCCTGCCGGGATGGCATCTTCCGCTCTCTTCCCCTGACGGGCACGTTCACAGGCACCACCACGATCACCCAGAGCACGGCGCTGAACGATCTACGGGTCGAACACGGGAGCTGTGAGGTGTCTTACTGGGTCGAGGTCACGTTTCGCCTGTCCGGGCGGCAGATCGGTTTCTTGACCCAGCACACCCAAATCCCATCTCTCTACCCTCATCTGCGGGCGGCGCCGGCGAGAGGGATCCCTCTGACCCACCGTGCGAAACCCGACATCCTGGCGCGCTGTCGGTTTCACAAAATCCCGGACCTGTCACTCACCTTGTCCGAAGCGGACATGACGGTGCGACGGGACCCAGAGACCGGGAAGCGACACATCAGCGTGCCCCTCAGCGTGGCCAGGGACGCGTCCGAGAATTTTGGGATAGACGGCCGTCAATCGCTGAAATGCTCGGTCGAAGCCAAGTGGGAGGTGAAGACGCGCTTCTCCACGACCCCGGGTCGTCCGTCTTCTGCAAAGGTGAGGGCGGGCGAAGTCATTTACAAAGTGACGACGGCGTCGACGCAGAAGTCGACCATCCTATTCCGCCCGCTACCGCAGTACGACGACGACTCGCGTCGCACACAGAACGCGAAGAAACCCCCCGCCGAGCCGTACGTTGCGACGTCTCAACTCGACCTCTCCGTGCCGGATACCCTCTCCCAGCCATCGCTAGACTGGATGTATCTCTCGAGGACCTACGCTCTGGACCTCTGCCTGACGTTCCACGGTGGCCACGGCGCGCCCAAGTACTCTCTTCACACCAACATTCCGCTCTCGGTCGCCGCTTACGGGTCGAAAGCCGACGACGCAGCGAAGAACCAAGTCGTCGTGGGCGTCTCGGAGATTGCCTCGGGCTGGGAGTCTGAGGAGGAGGAGGGGGAGGACGGCCACAGTGAACTCCTCGGACCGCTGGGTGTGAGCACGGCGCAGCGGCAGCAAGGACAGCGCAACGCGACGAGGACACCGCCACCGGCTTACTTTCGATGACACGACACCAAGGAAATACCAATTCAATTTCCACGGTTCTGTGACCTTGACCTGTGTCCTCCATGTCTGTCTTTTCCACACACACACTCCCTGACCAATGCCTGGGGGGGGGGGGGGGGGGGGTTAATATAGCGAGACGACGCCTCTCACCTAGACGTGGAAGACGGACACTGCGACTTCTCGCAACCCACTCGACTTGGCCCAGCGGTACATATTCTCGGTGCGTTTCGTGTGCAACCTGCGCATCTACACCCACCGCACCGCGCGCCAAGCAACTCGGCCGCTCAGCGATATTCTCTCGCGGACTGTCTTCTGGGGACCAAAGCTTCTCGGAAAGATCCATGATCCGGGACTTCTGCAGTACCACGATTGTCGCAAGGCTGCAATCCAGCCTCTCTCTACGCCAGTTCTACAAAAAAACCTTCAGGCAAAACATTTTCCCCGGCGAGAACCGAGTCCTTGGCTCTGCTGCTTCGACGGGGCAGGCACTAGTTGAGCCGGTCGGCCAAAGTCGACTGACTGAGTGTCTCGTACGCGACCGACAAATTCGAACATGGTCGAGAAGGTAGAAGGGGTGGGTGGGAGGATATTGATTCGGGCCAGAAAGAAGGTCGGCTCATCCCGATGAGGTATACGCGTGTGCGCGGCACGATAGGGTAAGCTGATTTGATCACCATCTTATCTGGACGGTAAGAGGCGCGCAACTCCTGAGACCTGGGTGCAGCCCTTTCCTCGTGCTAGTGTTAGGATATCAGCGCCGAACTTTGGACGATAACGAACCTCGCGGACCCCCGTGGCCCTGACACACAAGGCATCCGAGTGCCTCGCACGAGACTCGATTTCCAGCCCCACCGGCCACGCTATACATACGAGTATGGCATGGAGGGAAAGCGAATCTGAACTACCATACGCGACGCGGGACTACTTGTCAGTATCTTGGTGATCCTGGTCGATGTGATCGCAAAAGGCGGCAATGCAGATTTCGTGGGGGTTTCGTTTATTTGGGGGTGAGGGGGGGCGCAGCGCAGGGTCAGCGAGTCGTGTTCTTCCAAACACAACACACACTCGCTCACTCACAATACACACCACGATTGTGTACTTGTGCGAGCTGGATCTCCAATTCGTCACGCGGCGTGGCGCATGGGCAGAGTCAGAGACGCACCCCCATGCGAGTCATTTGACCTGCACGCAACGCGGTATATCAGCACCGCCCGTTCTCCCGCTTGAGGGGAATGGCCTCGTCTAGTCTCGTCTCGTCTGGTCTCGAGGTGGAAGCAACACGACAGAGGACAGAGGAGGAGAAAGAGCTGGACGTGGGAGGGTTTAATCTGTGGCTCGCTGGATGGATGGATGGATGAATGATTTCATTTAATTTGGGTTGATTGGGTGTTGTGCTCGGTTCACTTGGATGGATGGATAAACGGATAGCAGTGCGACGGGAATACGGTACAGCGAGGGCTACTTTCGAGAGTTACAGCTACAGGTGATAGACCGACATGCCTCTCTCACTTGCTCGTCGGACGGTCGATTCCCTGCCTCTCCGGTTTTTCTACCGAGTATTCTACAATCAAATTACCTGATGGCACCAATCCAAGGACGGAGGTGGGAGGTGGGAGGTGAGAGCTGGAAGGCTAGAAGGTAGACGAATAGAGCAGTCCCAACCCCACACACAGGTACAGACAGGCACACTCAGGTAAATAGGTTAGGTACCCACCGAGCGCCACGTACCTTCTGCGGAGTACCCATTCACCAGTATCCCGTGGGACCCGTACCCCTGCCCAGTGCCCACCAGTACCAGTACCAGTACCAGCGAGCAACCAGTGGGTGGGGACAGAGGTCCTACATTCGGTACTCCAAGTAGGTAGGTAGGTAAGTAGGTAGGTAGGGTTGTTGGTGTCAATTGAAACGAAAGGAGGAGACTGTACCAAGGTATGAGGGATGAGGTGCATGTATGTATGTACAGAGTACAAAGCAGGCATCTAGGATAAAATCCCCACCGCTTTCAAAGGTGTGGGAGGAAACATATTTGACTTTGTGTCGTTTGTCATTTGTCGTTAGTCGTTGGTATTGGGATTTGGGATTTGGTACGGACTGAGTGAGTGGTCTTTATATATCTGTACAGGTATGGGTACAGCGCACCAACAGCACCAGCACGAGGGGTGCACATTCGCGCCCACGTCATAAGGCTGTCCAGCAACCAGAAAGGGACGGATGGGTGTATATATCCAAGGGCAAGAGAAATAAAACCCCGCTCTGCCCATGTCCCTTTCCGTGCCTGCCAGGTTCTTCATCGTCTCCTCCTTTTACGGTCATCGATCGAGAGCTTGTTCCTGGCACTGCAATAACACGGGACAATGCCCCATCTCGTTAGCAAATCATAAACCTCTTACAAAAAGACACAGTGTTGGGAGGAATAAGACAGAGAAAACTTACCATCTGCCAGTACGCGCCCCGCCGGCTCAACAGCTCCTTGTGCGTCCCGCGTTCCAAGATCCTCGAGCCCCGGCCGGCTTCGCTCTCGCCAAACACAAAAATCACATCGGCTTTTTGCACCGTGGCCAGACGGTGCGCCACTGCGATGACAGTCATGCTGCGCTGCCCCACCAGCCGCTCGATCGCGCTCTGCACGAGCTTCTCGGACTGCGAGTCGAGGCTGGACGTGGCTTCGTCGAGAAGCAACAGCGACGGCTTCCGCAGCAGCGCACGCGCCAGACACAGCCGCTGCTTCTGCCCGCCGCTCAGCGACGTCTGCGTATTGATCCCCAGCGGCGTGCCGAAGCCTTCGGGCAGCGAGATGATGAAGTCGTAGATCTCGGCGTCCTTGCAGGCGCGCACGATGTCTTCTTCCGCGACCTCTTCGCCCTCGAGGCCCAGCACCAGGTTCTCGCGGATCGTGCCGTCAAAGAGCTTGGGTTCTTGCGCCACCAGCGACAGGGCGCGGCGGTACGACACCATCTCAATATCTCTGAGGTTGCGGTCGTTGAAGGTGACGGTGCCCGAGACGGGCTCGTAAAATCGCTCCAGTAGCGAGATCACTGTGGTCTTACCACAGCCTGAGGGACCTACAAAGGCCACGAACTGCCCGCTCTCGATCGACAGATTGAGGTTGCGGTAGATGGGGGTTTCCCGGGTCGGGTACTTGAAGCCGACGTCCTTGAACTCGACTCTGGCTCCTGTCCTCTTTTCGCTCGGTGGCAGCGGTGTCCCCACGCCATACATTTTCGCATCTTTGTCCCCGATATATCGAGACCCCAGAATACGGTTGGCTGCCCCGGTGGCTTTCGCAACGTTGGGCGAGATACTCAAGAACTGGCCAGTCCCCTGTGCGCCTTGCACAATTGCCGAGTAGATGAGGAAGAACTGGATAATGTTATATTCGCGCGAAGCCAAAAGCTGTCCGCCGTACCTAGAAAGAAAAGGATCTTGTCAGCCAATCCGTCTCTTCGTAGAACAAACGCAAGAAAATAAGCTCACCAGAAAGTCAAGGCCATGGCACAGAGCTCGATGCTGTCCGACAGGGCAAAGACAATACAGCCATGGGTCGCTCGGCGAGTCGCGTCTCGAATCTGCTCCTGCAGGAGATCAGAGTATTTGTTGAGGATCGAGTCTTCCATGGTCAGCGAGGTCACGGTCCGAAAGGCGCCAACCGCTTCCGTCGCAAATTGCGAGCTGTGCGCAAAGACCTTTGCGTTCCACTCCTCGAACTGCACCTCGTATTTGACCCGGATAAAGGCGGCGACTATGACGACGGGCATGGCCGAGAAGAACGTCACCAAGGTCAACTTCCAGCCAAAGTAGAAGGAGATAATGACACAGCCGGCCATGTTGAACAAGGACACCAAGGGGAAAGCGCCGTTTAGGCCGAACACCTCGGCGAGGAGCTTGAAGTCGGTGGCCAGACGGGCCATGAGTGATCCCGAGGCATTGCCTTCAGCGTCGAAGTACGAGACAGGATTCCGGAGGAGATTTGCAAAGTGTTCGCGCCGATAGACGGACGACACAAGCTGCGTTGGTCGTTAGCCATCCCAGCAAGCCCTGAACTCTCTTTCTGCACAAGTTGAACGACCCCCTGACTTACCACGGAGATATGGGTGGAGAAAAACCCAAGGGTGGCATAGGCCACTAGCATTCCCAAAGCGAGGATGAAGAACATCAAGGACCAAAAGTCGCCTCTGTCCTTCAACTTTTGGCCCGTAAAGGTAAAGACCTCCATCAGCTGGGCGAAGATCCAGCTTTGAAGTGAGAAGGCCGCTGTATCATGTTCGTTAGTCTCTGCCTGCCCCTAGCATCCGTGTGTCAATAGAATAGCTCGAAACTTACAGCCTGCCCCCATGGCTGAAATCACAACCAAAACATAAATACCCCAATATTTTTGCTGCTCGTACAAGATTCGGCCGACGGACATGACGAAGCCCCTGTTTTTGTAGCCTGCAATGCTCTCTTCCTGCGGCTTGGCCGAGGCAGCCGTGTCCTTCCTCTCGAGCTGTTCCATTTCGGATGCCTCAATGGCTTCGTTTGTCGGAGGGGCTGTCTCGGCCTCGAGCTGTTGTGCGTGCACGAGACCCGCGTAGATTCCGTCGGGGATCGCGAGGAGGTCGTGGTGTGTACCCTCCTCCATCTTCCGTCCGTCGCGCATGACGATGATGTTGTCGGCCTTGCGGATAGTGGAGAGGCGGTGAGCAATCACGATCGTCGTCCGATTCTTGGAAACCTGGTCCAGGGCTTTCTGCACGATCCGCTCGCCGCGCACGTCGATCGAACTCGTGGCCTCGTCCAGGATCAAGATCGCAGGCTCGCGGATGATGCTGCGGGCGATGGCAAGGCGCTGCCGTTGTCCGCCACTCAACTTGATACCGCTCTCCCCGACTCGTGTTTGATAGCCCTAACCCCTGCGTCAGTATTGTGGCCAACAAGCATAGTTGTAAAAATCACTCACGTCTGGGAGTTGACGGATGAATTCGTCCGCAAAGGCTTCTTGACAGGCCTTCTCGACTCTCTTCTGCTTGGCTGCATCGTCATCCTTCTCCCACGCCGTCCCATTCAGCCCGCACGCAACGTTCTTGAAGACGGTGTCGTTGAACAAGAACGGTTCTTGTTGGACCAGGCCGATCTGTGATCTCCACCACTTCAGGCTGGTGCCCTTGATATCTTGGCCACCAATCGAGATCAGGCCCTCGTTTTTGGGCGGTCGCTCCTCGTCCTTCTCCGTCGTCTCGGCGGCAGGTGTGGCTTCGTCCTTGTCAAGATCATCTCCATCCAGCTCATACCAACGTTCCAGCAAAGCCACAATAGTGCTCTTTCCCGATCCTGAAGGGCCTACCAATGCAGTTGTCTTACCCTTCCTAAATAGAGCATTGAATCCTTTCAAGACCTGGACTTTGGGACGACTAGGGTAGGCAAAGTTGACGTTGTCGAACTCGATGTCGTTGTGTGCCGACACGTCGGGTTCAGCAACACCCTCGTACGAGACTCTTGGAGCATCAATCATGGAGAAGAACTCGGTCGAGGAGCCGATTGCCTTCGTGATAGCCATGATAGGCGTGGCTAGGACTCCCAACAGAGCCATTACGATCATGACCGAAAAGAACACCCTGTGAGATTATTTAGCAGCGGCTGAATGTGATGGCAGGAGGACATACGTGACGACAGTGCCAATGTTGTCAATATGGCCTTCCCGAAATTGCTTGAGTCCGAACCAGAAAGACAGCGCAAAGCTCGCGTACATGGCGAAAAAGCCAGGGGCTACCTGAAGGCCAAACAGCGGTGACGTGGCGAGCCCGCACCTTTGCGACTCGTCGACGGCTGCATCGTATCTCTTGGTCAGGGTCTTTTCTGCGCCCAGCGCGAAAACGGCGCGAATGGAACTAAAGACCTCCCCGGCTATTGAAGCAGCTTTTGCATCCGCCTTTTCGACCTCGGCCACTTTCTTAATCAAGAAAGGGGTTGTAATGCTGTAGACGATGACGACGAAGACCATGGAGGAGCTTGCGACGAGCGTGAGAAGTGGCGAGTATCGAAAAGCAATGGCATAGGCTGCAATAATCAAAGCCACAGCCATGAACAGAGAGTGGAGTTTATCCGAGATACTGACTTGGATGACATTGGACGAAGCTGTGATGGTGTTGGCGACGGTGCCGGCCGAGACTTCATCGAGCTTCTTGATAGGCTGGGCGAAGAGCGACTGGAGGTAGGAAAGTCGCAGTCTGGCAGAGATACGTAGGCCGGTGATGCGGAAACAGAACTGTGACTGTCAGTAACGGGCACCGACACCAGCATCCAGAAGTGGTCTTTTCAGAGGGCTCACCGTCGAGATATATGTCAACACAAACCTGCCAATGAACAAATAGACAAGGTATAGGCTGCCATGATCAGCATATGCATCTTTTTGAGGGAACCAGCCCTCACAACGTACGAGTTCTTGTTGATGGCTGATTTGAATTGACCCTCGGTCACCGTCGAATTCGGTAAGAAATAGCCGTTGAAATCTTTGACCAGATCTCCAAAGACGATGTTCATGAGTGGGAGTGCCTGGCCATGCATCAGATCTGGAATGCGAAGATGATCAAGATCACTTACCGTGCCTGATCCAACGGCACACAGACAACTAATACACAGCGCAACTCCATCTCTTCTCGTGCGGAAGGACAGTATTCGCTAAGCCGCGTCAGTGAACTCTTGCAGACCCAGAATCTCGGCGATAACAGACCCAGTAATTCGAGAAAGGTGGCCGCTCTGTCTGTTCAGGCTTCTTTTCATCCTTCTTGACAGTGATGGCAGTGTCTTCGGCAACCAGCGTACTGGCGACTTTGGTATCGGCGACAGGCGCCTGCTCGTCTATGGTGCTCATTGTCAATATCGCAATATGTTAGATTCAAGTCCTCCTCCTCCTGCTGCTGCTGCTTCGGCCGGCGTCAAAGTCCTTTTTAACTGTTCCAGTTCGACATGACAATGGCAACTAACAGTAAGGATAGGAGTAAGGTCCTCTCAACCCCGCAATCGAAGCTTACTCGTACAGAGGAGCCATGGCAATTTCGTTGGTTCAAAACACAGGACGAGGGGCGTGAGGACGTCGACCCATGTGTGTTGATACAGGGATGAGTTTGGTTGACCCAGTAGGAAAGCCGTGGTTTGCAAGTGTCTGCTCGGTACAGAGTCTGCCTCGAATCTGCCTCGAACTCGGAACAGTCTGTCTCGAGGTGTCTTTTCTCCACCTGGGAATCTCAGTCAGTGGTTATTATTACAGATGTTGTCAGAGGGAAGAGAGGAGTTCATTCATGGTGGGGAGAAGAATAGGAGATGATGATATGGCAAGATGCTGCCTGGCTGCCCAGAAAAGTACAAGTGAGAAAGGATCGTGACTCGTCCGCATGCGCATTAAATGCGGGTCGGGCTTGGGATTCCTGGCTTTCGACGAATACGATCACGAATACGAACCATTAATGCCAAAAAGCATAAATTCATCTCGGTTAGAGAGCCGCTCACGGCCCGTTGGAAGTTCCCAATACGCGAATATTCAAGGACTAAAAAGTTATGTAGCCAAAGAGCCAGGGATTCGAGGAACAAGTCTACAAAGTCGGTATAGCAATAACAACCAACACAATAGTTCCTGCAGTCAAATCACAAAATGTATTAGAACGAGCATCCCCTATCCAGCCCCAAAGAATGGATTCCTTTCTAGTGTTTCCATTCAGCCAGAACCTTTAGAGAACCCCCCAGAACGAAAAGTACAAGTAGCCTCGTACATGGTTTGATCCCCATCCCACAAGTGCCCAAATCACCACAAAATGCCCAAATCACCGCTTATTGCCCAAATCACCGCCTGGCCTCCCCCCTTACCACCAGCAACACGTGTGCTCCGTCTCAAACTTCCATCACAAGACTTCGGTCCAGTTCCCGGCCCTCCTGTCGAGCTTGAGGATGACATCCGGGATACTTCCATCGTCGATCAGAGAATCCCGAGCATGTCGCCGATTATACTCCATACGCCCAGCGAGAGATCGCTTCTTGTATTGCGCCTGCGACGAGAATTCCGTCCCCGAATTGCCCCGAAGAAGCCCAGCGGCGAAGATGTTATTGTTTTGCCCGTCTCTCAGCGTGGCCGGGTTCGAGCCAGATACAACGCCGGCATTGGAGGGATAGAGCTGACATTGGATGGTGGCTGCAGGGACGAACTGCCACAGGTTGCAGTCAATCCCGGTGTTGGCCGCGAGCAGGAAGGCGCTGTGATAGGATTGACAGACTCGGGCGCAGTCGTCCGGCGTCGTTGGAGCAGAAGTCAAACCGAAAACCGGTGTCGCGATGGAATAAACTGGCGTAATTTGGACCCCCGACTGAACGTTCTGGAATGAGGCTCCGCAAGACGCGTACCAGATGTTGTCGCGGTTCACGTTGATCGTGGCAGGCCCTGTCCCACTGGCGCCGTTGTAGTACACCCCGATAAAGGTCAAGTGGTAGTTGTTGTTGGTGCAAAGACCCAAGTCGGCACCAGGAGCCAGGAGATAGGTTGCGTCCACCACATTCGGCACTGGTTGACCAGTGAGGAGTCTTGCGGTTCGAACGCCACTGCCCACAATCTTGGCTGGGGACTGTCCACCAGCCAAGCTTGGTGAGCCACCATTGTTGACCCTGCTGTAAAGAGAGCAGATCCTGGTGGTTGAGGCCCAGTAAGCAACAAGGCATGATCCAGGTCCAGCGGCCGAGCAAGCGTCCATACAGCTCTCGAGAGAGAAATATTGCCCGGGCATGTTAGTAACCGTTCCACCCGTGCTGCCCGCATTCATCCAGCATTCGACCTCATAAACACTTGGGAAGCTGTTCAGCTGCACCTTTTGGTAGTTATAGGCACCAGTCGTTACGGGCAGTGGCTGGCTAACCGCCGGACTGACATTGACCCCAGAGCACAAGGTGCCCACAGCTGCCTGCGCGACGGAACTGAGTGCGACTGGCACCGCTAGAGCTGAGTAGTTCGGAGGGGGTGGTGGGGCGTAGGTGGTCGTTACACTGGTTGGGCTGCCTCCGGGACTACTGCTACTGGCCGCGGGAGTAGTGGTCGTAGCTGGGGCAGTTGAACTACTGACTGTGGAGGGCGGCGACAATGTAGTCGTCGTCGAAGCTGTCGTGGCTTGCGCAGTAGTCGTGGATGGTGCCGAGGACGGCGCGACGGATGTCGTCGACGAGGATGCTACAGAAATTGAAGTCAGTAAACCTGAGGCAGAAGTGGAAAACGACGATACACTAGAGGCAGTTGTAGAAAAGGGAGTAGAAGTACTAATTTGTCCCGTCGAGCTCGTCGCGGTCGACGTGGTAACGCTGGAGGTGGTTGATCCGGTCGACCCCGTACTGGCAGAGCCTGAGGCCGTGCCGGCGGTCGAGCTCGTGGAGCCTGTACCAGCGACACTCGTAGTGCTGGAAGTACTTGATGTTGTCGAACCCGTAGAAGAAGAACTCGTCCCAGCGCTGCCTGTTGTTGTAGTAGATGTCCCCACAGCCGAGGTAGTAGCTGTCGAGCTTGTGCTCGAGGTAGTTGGGCCCGAGTTGGCACTTGAGGATGCGGTGCTGCCCGAGCTCGAACTGGCCGCATTGGTCGTGGTAGAACCTGTGGCACCGGTAGTCGTTGTTGCAGCACTTGTAGAAGTTGTGGAGCTCGATGCTGGAGGCGAAGAAGATGGAGAATTTGATGTCGTGACTTGATTGACAGAGGTCGTTGACGTGGTTCCCGGAGAGTTCGCAGATGTTCCAGAAGACGAGGAAGCTAATTCATCGAACCACGTTAGCCAATATTCACAGCAATCATCCAGTAAGAAAGTCAATACGCAGGTACAATGCTCTTCTGTCCTTTCTACCACAGGATATGTCGTAGGATTGGCCCGAAGATTGAGGTGTGACGCATAGCCAGGGCGTGCTCAGCCAACAACTGATGACAAACATCTCATAGTGGTGTCGTTACAAGAGCTTCGAACCTGGAAATCAGGAGGAAAGCCATCGTTGATCACCGCACTAGGACTTCGTATAGTTGGGCCTCAAGAAGTAGCTCAGAAAGCCCAAAAGGAATCGCCCTTCAGGGGGACCAGAACAAGAAGAGTCGGAGAGGGGATGGATGACAGAATTAGATGGAGAATGACATTTGACGCACCCATGGATGATGTTCTCGAACTGCCCGGTGAGGATGCAGGGGTGGTAATCGATCTAGACGAGCTTGACGCCGTCGTTGTCGAGGATGGCCCGGCATTGGTGGTAACGCCGCCTGCAGCAGAGGAAGCTGGAGAGGTGGTAGGTGCTGATGAGACCGTGGTGCTCCCACCCGTTGATGTTGTCCCAGCTGAAGCACTGCTGAGGGTCGCAGTACCAGTGGCACTCGTGCTCGGATTAGAAATTGATGAAACAACTGTCGTTGGTACAGCTGCCGAAGACGTGGTAACTAAGGTGACAAGAATTGACGATGTAGTGCCAGGTGGTCCAGAGGTCATCAACGTGGTAGACGAAGGCGCAGTCGTCGGGAGCACAGTCGTACCAGCAGGAGTGCTGCTTGAGGTATCCAAGGTTGAGGATGGACCGGGGAGAGAGGTAGAAGGACTAGAAGAACTTGTGGACGCTACAATGAAAGACGTACCAGAGCTTACAACAGAGCTGGCACTAGTCGTGCCACCAATGGCAGTGGATGTAGCGGCATTACTCGTTGTAGGAGACCCTACAATAGAGGTTTGAGTTGTTCCTTGTGCTGTTGTCGGCACCGGAGTGGTGACCAGAGTGCTTGTAGTCATAGAGCTCGGGCTTGAAGAAGTCGTCGGTACTGGATTCGTCGTCGGTACCGGGTTTGTTGTCGTAGGGTTGATTACAGCAGTACTTGTCGACGCGGAGCTTGCTGCTAATGAACTTGTGCTTGATTGCCCGAGTGTAGTGGCTGGAGACGAAGTAGCACCAGCTGTCGTAGCTGCATTTGTCGAAGATGTAGTACCAGCTACCGGCACTGAGGACGATGTAGTTGGTACCACAGGGTTGCTGCTTGAGGACAGGGATGTAGTACTTGGACTGGGGATGACAGTGGATGAGGAAGGAGAGGAAGACACTATACCTGCTGAAGTCGTCGAGCTGGGATTGCTCGTACTCTGGACTGCACTAGAGGAAGGCAATACCGAGCTACCCGGGTTTGTACTTTGGCTGCCAGGGGATGTATAGCTTGGTCCACCTGTGGTGCCGCCGGTGGTCACAACAGGTGTCGTTGGGACTACAGCAGTCGTGCTGGATTGCACCAGAACACTCGTAGAGCTTGACCGGCTAGTGGCAGCACTTGAACTTGACTGTGCAGGGGCAACACTTGTCGAGCTGGATTGCGCAGGCCCTACGTTTGTTGAGCTCGTCATTATCGACGCAGATGATGGAGAGCTAGTGGACGCGGGTCCCGTAGTCACCGGCGGCGCACTTGAGGTGGTTGAAACCACGGGAGGTTGGCTGGTCTCTGACAGGGAGCTTGTTACGACTGGTGGTGAACTTGACGAAGGAGAAGGGGTACCTGATGACTTGCTCGAGGATGGGGGTTCAGGTGTTGTCGTGGCCGATGTCGGACTCTCCGAATCAGGAGTTGTAGTCGTGGTCAGTTCAGGAGTTGTAGTGGCGTCGGGGGTTGTCGTCTCCTCAGGAGTTGTCGTTGCATCGGGAGTTGTCGTCTCCTCGGGGGTTGTAGTCGCCTCAGGGGTTGTTGACGTGTCAGGAGTCGTGGTCGCTTCAGGAGTTGTAGTCGCCTCGGGGGTTGTAGTCGCTTCAGCAGTTGTAGTCGTCTCGGGGGTCGTCGTCGGCACATCTGATGAAGTTGGAGTGCTGGAAGAGCTGGTCGTTGATGAGGTAGTAGCGTCCGGATCCCGAAAAGGGACGGGGCAAGCACTAGCAACAATGCCGCCCAAGGTGACGTTGTAGCAATCAGGCTGAGGAGGAGACGGAAATCCAGCCCACACTTTGTTATCACCACAGCGATAGAAGGTGGCAGCACCTTGGTCGGCCGAATTCCAGTTCAAAATACCATCAACAAAAGAAAACACTGTGGTGACATTGTTGGTATCGGGATCAGGCGTTATGAGGGCGAAAGAGTCAATGGTGTTGCGGCCAACCACATCGGTACCATTTGTTAGTTGACCGCGTTGTAGAAAATACCTGACGGCAACGTCACATGCATTGCTGGAGCCGCCCTCATCCCCCGAAAGCAGCTCAGAAGCTTGGGCGCCTGAGTTCTGTCTCTTCACCTTCGCTCCACCCAGACCGGCAACTGCAATGCCTACAATGACCGCTGATGATGATGGGAGATCTGTTACCGTTCCCGATGGCAGTCCCTCGCCAAGAACCAGTGGTGGCTGCGTAATCGGGATGAGAATGGTGTTTCCCTGCGCATCGATCGATGTAGAAGTCAGGACTGGTGGCGGGGTCGGTGTCGTAACAGGAGGAGGAATAGGCGTGAATTCCGCGGTAGAAGTTGATGAAGTCCCCGAAGCTGTCGTGGTCAAAGTCACGGTGGAAGTTATCGAAACGGACGTCGATGGCGAGGAAGCAGCAGTTCCAGTTGTGGTAACCGGTCCATCACTCACACTGCTAGAGCTGCTAGGGCTGCCAGTGCTGGTAGAGCCGGAAGAGCTGCTAAACGGAGTCTTCGTCGTGGTTGAAGAGCTCACAACGTTCGTGATAGTGGAGATGATGGTCGTGGTAATGTATGTGTTTGTAATGTACGTCGTCGGGGCATTTTGAATCGTAACCGTATCACCGTTACCAAAGAGATTCACAATCTGCGAGGCTGACTGAAAGAAAGAGCTGTAGTAGCCTGGTTGTACAACGACGATGCTGGTGACGGATGGCACTGGACAAGGTCCGCTGGGTCCGTAAGTGACTGTGGCCAGAGCCTGGGCATTCGCTGCTGCAAATCGCAGAGCCAGAGAGGAGAAAAGGAGTGACGTTGACGGCCACATGGCGGGCCAGCGTGTTGCTTTCTTTTTTGTGCCGTATTCTGTGAACAACAAGACTGAAAACAGGATTGATAAGAAATGGAGGACTGCAGAACTCCAAACCAAACGAGTGACTGTCAATGAGAAAAAGGTCAAGGAAGAATAGCAGAGGTGGTTGGCTTTTGAGGAATCACGCCCTGGAAGACGCGAGACCACAACAACACAGCCAGAATGCTGCATTCCATCCCGGCTCCCCTATCGACCACAATGCACGGGCCTGCGATGGCAGAAATCAAGCATTCAAGGTGTGCCCGTGTGGAATGCAGAAGACCATCCTTGAGGATATGCCGAGATAAGCTTCCCTGGCGCATTCCACACGGAGTGAAGGTACGCCACTGGGTCATTCTGGGCAGGGTGGAATGATGGCAATTAGCTGCCAATCCCATAGTCCAGATCAGATTCCAGTGTACTTATGGAAAACATGGTAATAGTGGCCTGAGAGACCTCAAATGGCCAGCACGGTGCTTCTTATCGGCAAAGATCAAGACACAAAGCTCAAGTACAGTGTAGCAACGAGAAAAAAAGGTTAATCAGAGATGGGTCGAAGGTCCCTAAGTCAGCGACCTCCGAGAAAGACACCTACCTCACTCGAGGCCTCAGTGAGACAGAACTCGATCCGCTTCGCATTGCACATGGTATCCTTCAGCATCACAGATAGTCCACGGAGATTGATCAAGAGATAGAGAGAGCAAACTTGTGAGTATAACTAGGGTGAGGGTACTCTTGTTCTCTCGTTCTGGGTCAGCATTGGGGGTTTCAGGTGGTGAAGGGATATTTACCGAGTACTGGATCGGGTATGTGTGGCTTGTTGTTTGTGCCTGGCACGTGCCTGGCACGCCTTGTTGGTCCATCAGAACAAAGTTGGCAAGCTAGTCCTCTTATGGCAATTGACGTCATCCATTTCTGGCTCCCCCATTCTGGCGTCTGCGAGTCTTCAGCCAAGTCGCTCATTTACTCAATCAAGGCTTGACTGCGATATGCACGACCCATGCTCAACGGTGATGCGGGCCTCAGATCCAGCAGATCAAGGTAACCTTCCCTGATTTTCACTCCCCGGACCTTCCGCCAGTGTCACTCGTTTCCATGAGTACAATCCCGCGCTTCGCAACGCATCGTCTTTCGTTTCTCTCCTCTTCGCTGTCCGGGATCGCGTGCTACTACTGTGTTCATGTTGGTGTTCTTCTTAAGGGTGCAGCAGGCTAAATGACTTGTGCGAGCGCAATATTCTGAGAAGGATAAGACGGTATTGTTTGTGGGTGTACCTCTACCTCAATCAATTTCAACTGTGGCTAACTGGAGCAGGTTATCACACTGAAAAGGCAACCTAGTAGCCATGGCTTTGCGCCTCCTCCTTGCGACCTCTTTTGTCCTATTTCAAGCCTCCGCAGTGCCGACTCAGGTGGTCCCAGAAGGGAAAGCATTGATCACACCTGCACCCACTCGCACATTAGCAGTGTACGGATCATACGCAGGGGCGAGGCGAAACATCGTGAGTGATCTGGAGTCAGAGCTGGACTCATATGTGAACTCGGTGTTCAGCGAGTTGGGAACGGCTATACCCTCATACGTCTCCAATGGGCTCCTACCCAATCTACAGAACCTTCCCACGGGCAGTGCTGTTATGAGCTCGGTGGGTGTGAGCAGCTCGGATCTGGTTGCCACACCTACACAAGTGTTGAACATCCCTGGGTATGGGAATTGGACTTCGTCTGGTTGGAATCTGCGGATACACGGGAATGTGTTCAAGCAACCAAATATTTCCAATGCTACGGTAGACCGCCTCGCCAACTTTTTCCTGATCGACACGAGCATTGAGGATCTTCCTCCATCACAGCAGGCCCAGGCCCGCAACCTCACCCGGGAGATATACGTGGTTCAGCAAGGGAATCAAACCGTCACAATGGACATTCTCCCTGGACCCGAGTTTGGCACCAATGGACAGCCTGGAGGAGGTGGTGGCGTGACTCCCGCTGGTGGAGAGCAGGTTATCACCCTCCCCGACCCAACCACTCCCGAGGGCGACTTTGATGTTTTCATTCCAATAGACAACAACTCGTTCACGTTGGCTTCGGGAACTGGCGATGTCCCACCACAAAGGTTGAATGTTTACGCCCAGGGCACTGACACAGGGAATGCCACCTCATACCTCGTCTCCGACCAAGGATTGACCATCATCTCCGACATTGATGACATCCTTCGCGTGACAAAGATCTACGAGCCCAAGGAAGGTCTACTCAACTCTTTTGCTCGTCCGTTTACACCTTGGATGAACATGCCAGACATCTACCGTAACTGGTCTGTCAGTCTGCCCAACATGCATTTCCACTACCTCACAACCACCCCGGAGCAAATCACGCGCAACTACATGCAGTTCATCTACGACACTTATCCAGGTAAGCGATATTTCCGCCTCTGTTGATTGGGATCTCACCTGTCAATCCAGGTGGTAGCTTCGACACCCGACCCCTTAACTTCAGCGACGTCTCTGCCACTCTGTCCATCCGAAAATTCCTCCTAGACAAGATCTTTCAGAGTTTCCCGCGTCGCAAATTCATCCTCGTGGCGGATACAAGCAACTCAGATGTCATGCGCGATTATCCCGAGTTGGCGACACAGTACCCCGGCCAAGTCCAATGCATTTTCCTTCGCAATACGTCCTCTACAGACCCAGGAGATAAGTTTCCTTACAACACCGAAGGCTTCAAGAACCTCAACCAGCAGAGCTACATGTTCTTCCGGGTGCCGGACGACCTGGCTGGACTTGATATTGTGAATGGACAGTGTCTGAATGCGACCATTCCACAGAATCTCACGTTCGGGTACCAGGGACTGCCATTCGGGCTAACCACGGGCGATGGAGAGAGTGGGGTCAGTCGACTACTCGCTGGCCGTGGTTTGTTCGAAAGGATTGGTGTTGTGTTAGTGTCTGTGCTATGTGTGATTTCTCTTCAAGTCTTATAATCCTAACGAAGGTACGATTATTGTTCACGTGGCGTTTGACGACAGAGGGTAACGCCAATGTATAACGTGAAATTGTGGAGTCGGGGGTTGGAAGCTACACATCTTGTACCCTAAAAAAGTATTGATAACGAACAAGCGCTGTACAATCTTTTCTCGTTGTAAGATTTATCACGCAACGCAGACCTCATACTCATAACCTTCAGGGTGTGTGGCAGCTAAGATGAAATCCTCCGCGGTACATACCATGGCATGAAGAGGACGGCTGGAGTTCAGTCCCACACACCCTACACCGACGTGCGAGGGACGGGCCATCGTGGGGTACCCAGGCACCAGATATCTAAGATACCTTGATCCCTAGTTGTTCTGTTGAGGCGTACGGAGTATAATCCGTCCCCTGGTGACGAGGGAGCGGGAGGGACAGAGGGAGTATGTGTGTCTCAAAACGTCATTATTGCATCGTTGACTCTTCTCTCCGCCCCTCCTCATAAAGTAATGCCGTACAATGCGAATGCCATGCCATGCAAATGAACGAGCAATATGATCACAGCGGAGGATCCTGAGATGATGGGGATTGAGTGAGCTAGTGGTGCATGCGTTCATATATGTACTGGGTATATCCTAAGAAAAGTGCCCTGTGCCATGTTTCGCACACTTTTCTTCCATCGAAACCGCAACACAAACACTAGTAGTAAAGCTCTGTTGAAAACCCTCTCTCGACGACCGAATCACCAAGTCTTCCAGGTCCGTTCCATCATGGCTGCGGTCAAGACGTCGCATCTGCCCAATGAAGACCTGCAGGCCAGCAAGCTCTTCGACGTGTCGCACGTCGTCGCGGTCGTGACGGGCGGGGGCACGGGCATCGGTTTGATGATCGCCCAGACGCTGCAGTCCAACGGGGCAAAAGTCTACATCACGGGCCGGCGACAGGAGGCGCTCGACGCCGTGGTCAAGCAGTACAGCAACGGACCGGGCAGTATCCATGCGTTGCCCGGCGACATCACCAAGAAGGAAGAGTGCGTGCGGCTTGCGGACGAGGTGGCCAAGCAGGAGTCCGGCGGTGTTCACTTGCTGGTGAATAACGCCGGCATCGCTCGTGACGACCACACAAAGTTCTCCGCCGCAGGAAAGCCGGACACGAAATCTGCCGAGAGCATTTCGCAGCACATGCTGAAATCCGAGGTCGACGATTGGCAGGAGACGTTCTTGACAAACATCACGGCCCAGTTCTTCATGTCTGCCGCATTTGTAAGTGTTTTCAGCCTTCTTCGCAAATCCCGGGGAAACAATATCAGGATACGAACTCGAATGTTGAGTCGGCACAAGGCCTTCCCATCCTTCACAATGCCTCACTGTTGCCGGGGAGAGGATCGTGTCGCTAACACAACTCGTCAGCTTCCACTTCTCAGCAAAGGCCGCGACGTAACCCCTGGCTACACCAGCAGCATCGTCAACGTCACCAGCATCAGCGGCCTCATGAAAGGTTCGAGCAACGGACAGTTCGCCTATGCCAGCAGCAAAGCCGGGTTCATCCACCTGACGCGCATGTTGGCAAGCACGCTGGCCGAGACGAAAGTGCGCGTGAACCAGATTGCCCCGGGCATTTTCCCGAGCGAGATGACGACTGGTGAAAGCGACGAGACTCAGAAGAGCGAACTGAGTTCTGAGATCAGCAATCCTGCAGGTGAGTTGCGCCTACGATTCTGAGAAGTGACTGCTTGTCCAAATAAAGACATCACTCAAAGCACGGACTCCCGCTTCGATTATCACGACGAGTTGACGGAACTTGACTGACTGAAATCCCAACCGCGTTAGGTCGAGGGGGCGGCGATGCGGACATGGCAGCGACCATCCTGTACTTGGTTGGCAAGGGTGGACTGTTCCTGAACAACCAGCTTCTCCACCCTGATGGCGGTCAAATGCTGATTGCGCCGGCGGCGATTTAATCTGATGGATCGACTCCAAACCGAGCAGCATGGTATGAAAAGGGTGGAAAGCCAGAGCCAGAGCCAGCTCTGTCATGACAAGAACAGCAGTAGCCTAGTGCAGAGATGGTCTCAGAAGTCAATGCATCTTGTCCATGTTCGTAAAACTCCAATGATAGAATGTGAGATCCATAGGAAGTAGGGTTGGCGGAGAATAAGAAGAACAGAAAGTGAGGCTTGTCTCTGGTTGGACAGACTCACAGCCTTGTCTTGGCGTCATAATTGGTAGTTCCTCAGCCTTGTTCGGCTCAACCAATTTTATTCGCTCTTGACGTCCGACATACCAAGTAGATAAGTCGTCCACTCCATTGATCACCCTGTGCTTTGGACGATATTGCCCTAGAGGCACTGTCTCAACTCCTCTGCAAAAAAACATATATGCCCTTGTCGACGCCCAATCATGATGCGGGACTAGACAATCTCATGTCACCGAGCGCTCTGTCTCCTCCAGCAGCCTGGCCCTTTTGACAGTGACGATATGGTACTGGCACCAATCTCACCAGGCAAAGGGACATGAGGCTGCAATATTGAGTTCGACGCCCTCCCAAAATGCCGACTCTGCACCCTCTGCACAATCAAGTCTCCTCGACCCTCCAAACACGGCACAACATCCCCGTCAACCCGCAATGGCTCGACACATTCCTCACGTCGCGGGGGCCGAACCCGCCGCCCCTCCCGGCCCTCGTATCGACCGCGCACTTCCGCATCCTGGCCAGCGACATCACGACCACGGTGTCGCCGACAAGCCCTGGGGAGGCCTTCCCGGAAGACATCAGCGACGTCAACGTCAAAGAACGACGACTCCCAGGCACGGTCATCGCCCAGGTCCTCGACGTTCTGGACGTGGGCAGCAGCAAGTGGAGCCAGGTCGAGGCGATCGAGCGGGTCGAGCGGGGCGAGGAGGTCCGCGGACGCGAAGTCATCAGGACGGTCCACGGCCTCGGGAGTGACAATAACAACGACGGCGATGCCCTCGGCGGAGTCAACGGCACCGCCGCTCCAATTCCGTCGTCCGCGAGCAAACCCCTCAGCGTCGGCCCGCACAAGCTCCTCGTCCAAGACGCCCGCGGCACCAAAGTGCTGGCCTTCGAGCTGGTCAAGGTCCCCAAGATCGGGCTGTTTACACCCGCATCGGCGGCCCTCCCAGCTTCAGCGCGCAATCAATCCGGCGGCGGCACGGCACCGACGATCTCCATCGAAGACCCCGGACTGTTGATCGGGTGCAAAGTCCTCCTCAGGCCGGATACGGTCGTGAGGCGAGGCATGGTCTTGCTGACGCCCGAGACCTGCGTGGTGCTCGGTGGCAAGGTCGAGGCCTGGGACAGGAAATGGAAGGAGGACAGGAAACAGAGATTGATCGCGCTGGTGAGGGAGGAAAATGCCGCTCGGGGTGGTGGTTAACGAGGGGGGTGGGTGAACGAGAAATAGAAAGGACGGGGGTGACAGATGAAAGAACTCATTTTTTACTCGGCTTTCTTTTTCACTTTGAAAAATTGAGAATTCTCAACGGGTATTGTTTGGTATTCTACCATATCTACAAACAACCATGCGGGCAAAGAATACATGCTATTGCGCTCTCGATAACCCAACGATTCAGCTCCGGCGGCGATTCACAAGCCGGATCTTGACAACGAAGGCACAACAAAAAGCTCTCTCCCATCCTTTCTTACAAAGCTTCACCAGCAATTTCCAACTTCCACGGCGCAAGCATCTTCGCCTTGAGAAAGTCCTCCGTCCTGCCGGTCCCTTCGTACGCCCTCGCCAAATCCTCCGGGGTGAGATTGCCGCCCGGCGGGATCTGTCTCTCCGCATTGAGTACCGCCATCTCGGCAGCGTAAGCACCGTCGTCCGCGTCGCCCACTGCTTGCGCAAGTTCAAGCCAGCCTTGCGGCTGCCCTGGTGCAAGCATGACCGCGTTGAGCGCATCTGCAACCACCGCAACTTCGTCGACTTGATCGGCGGAGGTTTCCCGATGCCGACACCCGACGATGCCAGCAAGGACTGTACTGACGCGAATCTTGTCCAGCACACCGATCTCGTCCCCACGCCTCAAGGCCTTGAGGTCCTCCTCGACAGCTTCCAGCACATCTTCATCGTTGTCCAACAGTCCAGTGACGGCGAGCAAAGCGACAGCCTGGACATGTCCCGGATGGTTCTCAATCACGTCAAACAGCTGCGATCTTGCCGCCTCCTTCTCCTCGTTGCCACCTTTTGCCCACAGGACCTGGGCCAGCATACAGACAACGTCTGGTTCGCGATCGGATTCCTGAAGCGCCACTTCGAACATTTTGATCGAGCTTTCGATCTGCTTTAAGTGACTGTGTGCAAGGCCTGCCGTCAGTTGCGCTGAAAGTCGCCATTTTCGGCGAGCTTCTGCATGTGAAGGACCAAGATCACCCGGTTCACCGGAAAGATCAAGCGCCGTCTGCGCATTGGAAATTGCTTCATCGTACTCGCCACATGCAAGCTGTGCCCGGGCGAGATCTGCCTTTGCCTGGGCAAACCTGACCAGGTATTGGTCTGACTCAGACTTTTCGTATTCGGCTTCTGCAGCGTCGCAGACTTCCTGCAAGATCTCGACACCTGTAGAATGATCGCCTGTACGCTCCGCAAACAGAGCCATCAAATGACTTGCAATCATGTCGCTAGGCTCCTGGGCATGAAATTGGCGCAAGGCGAAGAGCGGCTTCAACAGAGCAGCGACCTCCTGCGACCGAGAAGGATCCTTGAGCAAATGGTCAAATGCGGACAGCGCATAGTGGCGTTTTGCAGGCAGGACATAGGAATCCGCAATCTCGAAAGCGTGCCTGAATAGACCTCTCGCTTCATTTAGGCTTCCAAACAATGTCGCCAGAAACCCTTGACCGATCCACGCCTCTGCGTATTCCGGATCCTCTGATTGCGCGCGCGTGAAAGCTTCACCGGCGAGCTGAGCATCGTTGTTCAACAAATAGAGCACTCCAAGATTCGTCCACGTCCACGCGTTCTTCTCGTTAAGATGAAGACTTCGCACAAATGAATGCTGCGAGACCTTGGGGCTAAGTGTCATAGTCGCCACGCCCAATGCATTCCAGAAGTCCGCGTTGCCTGCTTCCAGCTCGATGGCTCGTTTGAAGCATGTCATGGACGCTTTGAGGAATCTGCGAGGTCTCTTTCCCTGTAGACTGAGGGATGCACCGCCCGAAACGTGCGTCTGGTACTCTGCCCAGCCGAGATTGTACCACGAAACAGCTTGGGCGAGTTGGTCGGACGAGCAAGCATGGATAGCGCGTTTCTGCGCCAGGATTGCGGCTACGAGATATTTGTCTGCGTTATCCGTAGGATTGGCAGAGTCGACGGCGGCCGCGAGAAATTCGAAATCAACCTTGTCAATATCTGTGAGAGTGTTGAAGTCGTCTTGGAGGGAGATTTGCAGCAAATCAGACACCGTTTGTACGTCTACCGATTTCGCATACAGCTTGACATGTCCAAGGACAGAGCAAGCATCGCCAACACATTTCCACAGATTGAACACGTCCGTCCCCTCCGCTGCGATATGACTCGCCAACTCAATCGCAGAGGAGGCAAGTTTTGCCGCCTCGCCAAACATACCCAGTGCAACCTTTGCCCAAGCACTCTCGGAAATTGTCTGGAGCAACGCGATAAGCACTCCAAATTCCTTTGGTTTCAGAGCCAGGATCTCTCGGTATGCAGCAATGGCTTCGTCATAGGATCCCATCTCTCGTTGAACATTGGCAAGCATGTATTTGGCGAACCATGTCTCTTCGGGCGACAGACCATGCTCAATGCTCGCAGCTTTGGCAAAAGCCCGTGTGGCAGCGACATGTCTCCCTGCATTGTGGTAGCTCTCACCGAGTCCGACCCAGGAGTGGTAATCGTCTGGCGTAATTCTCAGTGCCTGCTGGAAGGAAAGGATCGCCTGCGAATAATGCTGTTTGTTCATCTGCACCACGCCCAGCGCCGTGAAGGGCCAACTATGAGCTTTCTTCTTCGACCCGGGGGCTGGCCTGGCTTTACCTGACGTAACAACGCGTTGGGCGACCAATTCGACGAGATCCCATTCTGCGTTGTCCGCAAAAGCCTTTGCGAGGCGGTGAGCGGCCTCGAGCTCTGAGGTGGAGAGCTCGAATGCTTTCTGCAAGGCGACTCGGGCTCGTGCTTTGCTTTTGCCATAGTCTTGGAAATAGATCCCCAGCAGTGTATATGCGGGGGCGTAGCTAGGGTCCGCTTTGATGGACGCGATGAGAAACTGATAAGGCCCTGATTTGGATTTTCGGGCGGCGGCGGAATTGTCAATGTGCCAGTAACAGTACGCAATTCGGTAGAGCGTGATGGCTTTCATGGTCAAGTTGTGCTGCTTCTCCGATTCGACCGCTGTGAGCACCTCCTGAAGCTCTTGCAAGCCTTCTTTGAGCTGTCCATTATGAGCTCGGCACCAAGCAAGCTCGATCTTGATCCTGGCATTATCTGGATCACGCTCGGCTGCTTGGAGAAAGAATTTGACTGCCTCAGCATAATCTTCATCGTCCTCGTATATCAAGCCAACACCCATCAAAGCAGCAGTAAGCTTGGGTTTACGCCGGAGAATGTCCTCGAACAATGTCTTCGCTTCGGGATGATGTCGTGGAGACTGGAATGTGATCAAGGCATTTGCAAGAATGAGGTTGACGCCGTCGAGGCTGTTTTGCAAGTCTATGGCGTAGCGCCGTTGAGCATCCAAGTGCAACTTCTGCGCCTTTCGTCCTATGTCGACAGTGCTCTCCCACTCTTTCAAGCCGAGATAGACATGTGCCACGATTCGGTGGCCAAGCAAGGATTCTGGACAGCGTTCAATGCCTTCATTCATCAAAATGAGTTGGTCGGCTTCACTCAGTCTCTGTGGGGTTTCTTCGCCCTCCTTCTCTTCAACTGGCAGATATGGAAATGGCGAGGCATCACTGTCGAGAAAGCCACGTAGAACCTTAGTCAAGCCGTCATCTGGGAAGAAGCCAATATACTCGCGAAAGATGTTGACATCCCAGTCTTGCAGCTCCTCTGCATCAACCCACTCAAGGGCGACCTTCCAGGCCAGGTGAAACGGGTGTTTGATGATGACCATGCCATTCGCCATATTCAACACCTTATCCCGTTGGTCCGGCTTAGATTCCTGCGGCAAGACGAGCAGATTGTCGAACATGCGCTGAAAGAGTTTCTCCTCGAGGTCATGGCGAGCGTCATCATCCCTTGTCCAGTCAATGAGAGCTGCATACTTTTCTTCGACCTGGAATCTGCTTATAGCCTCGCATCTAACTTGTCGGGTCACCTGGTCAATCTTTGCTCCTAGCCGTGTCCTTCTTTCTCCAATCTGCGTGTTGATCCACTCCTTCTCTTCAGCCTCCGCCGACTCTAGGATGCGCTGATACGTCAAACCGGGTTGTAAGACACGGCCTTCGAGTGTTGGGTAGAGGCTGGAGGTCGGTAGAATGAGTTCGAGCGCACGTCGGTACTGTGATCGGCTCCCATGCTTTTTGGCAAACAGTTCGTATTTGTCGATAACGTTCTGACATTGCCCTTTGTCATCTTGCTGAGCATATATCTCTGCTAACCTGAAGGCCACATCATGGTATTGATCCAATTTGGCTTTCCCTTGTTTTTCGTAGAGGGTCACCAGCCCTTTGTAGGCCTGGACATCATCGGGCTTGACGGTGGTAGCTTTGTGCAGAGACTTCGCTGCGGCTTCCAAATCTCCAAGTTTCTCTCTTGCGAACCCGAGGAAGAGTAAGGTGGTGTAGTTCTTGTCGTCTTGCTTGAGCAAATCTTCGGCCTGATCAGCGGCTTTGGCGAATTGACTAGCATCCAAGGATGCCTTGACGGCTTTCAAAGCAGCCTTGGACGAAGCCATTGTGAATTATTTGGTGACCCAACACTCTCCACGCTGCGAGTTAACAAGAAATCAAGTTTGTCTCGCGCCAGTCAGTGTGGACGCGAACAATCTGGCCAAGCCAGTTTGCGCTTACTGCCTCACCTGACGCAGGAGGTCTCTAAACCGATTTTACCCCTTTCCCGTGAGGGGACCGTCTTTCCCATACTGGTAACTTGACCTGATAGTAGAGTCTTCCCCGAACTGCTTGTCCGTGATTGTGAACGACAAGGTTGAGCAAGATGAAATCATGGGGACCGTCACGTGTGAGAATGATCTCATGTAAATTATGCTCCACCGAAGACTTGGCTACGGAGAAATATTTGACGCTTTTGTGCTCATCTCATTTCAGCCATGCTCGATACTCCGGCACTCCCTTTGCACTTGAGGTCGAGCCTTTCACTTGGTCGTTTTCACAAAGCTTACGTTGGGACTGCGGTCTACTAGACTGAGGGCAGCCATGTCTACATCTGGGAGTTTCAAAGCAATGGGTCATCAACCCCTTGTCCAATCATTGACTCACATGCACAACGACTCTGAGATTCCATTCCACGTACTCGGAGCTTCATGGTCTAAGGAAGCCTCTTGTGCTTGCGTGCTCCACTTGGCTGGACAACTCCTGGAACAGCTTATGCAAATGGAGGCTGTCTCATTACAGTCTTTGATTCTGTCTTCCGGTCTAGCCATGGAGTGAATATCGTCCAAGGCTCAAGTTCTTTCGCTTACACAACAAGGAACAAATCGTGGCTGTCCTATGTGACCTCAGTTCGATGTGATGAGACTTGGTCTTTCAGGGAGAAATAGACGAAGACGACGGCCCTTCGAAGAGGAGAACCCTTACTGGATCAGGTATCGATGACAAAGTAAGTTAGATGAGCAACCGGTTACAGATTCCAAACTTGGGTTGACCCTGGTTGCTAAACCTGCTCATCATTTACAACATACCTCGATTCGACAAATTCCTAGCTCTTCCTCAAGCCAAAGCCTCTCGGAAACATTTTCAGTGCCTATACTGCAGGGTTGCGAACCTAAAAAGAGCTCGGAGAGATTTTTCATATCTGTCCGATCTGGCGTCGGAGAGTATGTACCTGCAGAAATAGACGATTAAAAGGATATTGAGGTCTTAAAGGCTCAGACAGCCAACAGGACTGACATCTTTCCGACTCTTTTCGCCGGAAGTGGGCTGTCTATGTCTTCGATAACCAGGCTCTACACTGAACAATCCATTGAAGTACCAAACTTACTGTCTTTCTGGCCTCGCTTCTGATAGCACAACATGGATCCCCAGCAATTTGAGAAGATGTTTTCTCAAGCCGATTCTATCATGGGCCCATTCGCAGAAGAGCTCCTCCGGAGGGCGAACTTCCCACCCGAGGGTAATTCCCGCCTCATTGTCCTTGATCAGGCGTGCGGGAGCGGCGTCGTTTCCTCTCACCTCATGTCACGGCTCTCCGCAGAAAACAAGTCCAGACTTGACCTCACATGCGCTGATATCTCAGACGCCATGATCTCAAATGTATCAAGGCGTGTCGAGGTCTCTGGCTGGAACAATGTGTCTGTAACAAAAGCGGATGCCATGGTGCGCCATGCCCTTTCTATTGAAATGACTAGGACTGATACGGAGGCTGGCAGGATACAAAGTTTCCCTCTTCGCACTTTACGCATATATTCTTCAACTTCGGGCCTCAAATCCTACCCATTCCTCTTGCTGGCATTAAGGAGTGCCACCGCATTTTACAGCCAGGTGGAACTCTGAGCTGCAGTACCTGGCAAGAAGTTCCGTGGTTCGCAGACTACCGTGCAGGTATCGCGAGGGATCCGGTTTTGCCCCCCTTCCCATCGGACGAAGCTCTTCGACACGCGTTCTCTGAGGCACCAGAACGTTGGGACAGTATTGCTGACGTCAAGTCACATCTGAAAGAATATGGCTTTTGCGACGTCGAAGCTCAAGTGGCGGAGAACACTACGACCATGACCGTCGCAGAGGTCGAAGCCATGCTGCCATACTCCCTGGTCATGATGATTGAGAAGTTTTGGAAGAACCAAGGTTCTTTGAAGACAGAGGAGGAGTTTGGACAGGCCAAGGAGAGTGCACGACGGAGCGTCCTGGATTACATGAAGGAAAAGTATCGGTCTGGCCCGGTTGTGTGGAAGTGGGTGGGCATCGTTGCCAAGGGTCGGAAAGGCTGAAGGGGCCTCGTACTCACAAAGATGTCCAGGGAAGAAGATGGATTGTCGTGCCTCTTATGATGTACATCCCCTCGGTCTGGTAGCCTTAGTGGACAATAGCTGTTCTCTAACCCCAAAGTCCAATACAATAGATTGATCGCCTGCACTAGGGTGTTATTGAACAGGACATAACGGCTGTTCCTTTGGCTTACGTACAACGATATCAAAAGGGAGTGCAACGAGAAGCGATGACAGCCAGGGTACTGTTCTGAGGGGAGGACAACTTGAGCGATAGTCACGAGCCCAAGGGCTGACTTGTTGGTCCAGTGGACGTGTCCAACACATGCCCGGCAATCTAACACTTTGTAACATGTGTGGATCGCCTCGACAAGGGTGAGGAAAGTTTCAGACGTTTGCAAGCGCAAAGGAGCATGAAACTGGAGAAACGTGTGAAGTATGCATAAGTGTCGACATGAAATGTACCACCTATCCGGTGTCTTTCTTTGCCACGGTTCTGCTAGAAACCTCGATGCCCGCCAGATTATGAGGTATGTTTTAGAAATTCCCTTCGGGTTTTCAGCAATCATTTTCATTTGCCTTTCGCTGCGTTTCGAGACGGGAATTCGATAAAAGTGCTATCTTCGTGCACGTGGACTGATGTCACTCGAGTCCCCTTTTCCGTATAGTAACTGATGGTAATGACAGGCTTCTCGTCACTCGGGTCCTTGGCCGAGGAGTGAGGTTTGGAACCCCTAGGTCGTCAGTCTTGTGGTTAGCCGTGGTACGGTGCATCTAACACTGGCAAGTAACCTAGACAAGTGGGATGGTACTGTATTTTGGCATTCTGGACATTTGGGTACTAGCCTCTGAAGTCAGCACAAGGTTGCTCGAGAGGTCTGGTGTGTGACAGGACTGTTCCACTGACCTTGTCCTCCATCGCATTGGTTACTACATCCGTAGCTTTCTGAAAGGACTCTGGAAGAGACTGTTTTGTTGTAGAACCCAAAAACTTGATCAGAAGAGGGGCAGTTCTCTGCATTTCTAAGATAAAGGACGGTTGGGACTGAGAAGGATAATTGCGAACTTCTGCTGAAGAACAGTGGTCGGTGTGACTATGTAGAGTTGAGAACAGGATAGTAGTGTACTCTCACGAGGATGTCTGAAGACACACGATCCCGTCACACAAACAAAATTTCATCGTGTGACACGTCGATGAATCAAACAACCGTGATACATGTCTTGCGGCTGAAATGGGCCAGGATCGGTGGCCGTGGTGATGCAATGAAGGTGAACAGCCTTGCTAGCGTTTAGTGATAGATGAACGTGAACCAATATGTCGAAGCACACAAGACGCGAGAGCACTGCTCTCCTACTCCAGACCTGCCGAATAGTCTTGCTACCCCCACGATTGTGCTTTTCGGCGCGTAGCACAGTCTCCCTGGTTTGTCGAGATAGAGAAGGTGCTGCCGACGAACAACTGATCACGAGCTGCTGATGCCACGCCTGGCGAATGAGTGCCTCGACGGAGTGTGGGTGCACAAACCTGTGTGTCACTTTGGGGCATTGCTCAGTTGCAGCTGCTGCATGAGTCCAATGCGATTTTCGAGCTGCGGGACAGGTAGACAGCGGTTTGATAGGGTGAATAATTGGCTCCATATTGGTACCTCGACAAACCCAGGTTGATTGTATCCACAACACGAGCAGCAAATTGAAGACCTCCCTGCAATAAGATGCAATCGTTTAGGGCGCCGTTCTTCAGCGGGTTACAAAACAAGGGTTCCCAACCCTTTGGTGCAACATACCTGTCCAGAAAATAGGAGCGCTGACTTCACGTGGGATGAGGCAGTTGCAGCAGCGAGAGCGCCTGCGCCTCAGCCCTAGACATCTCTCATATCGCAATACACATCCTCGCAACATATATCAGGAAGAGAGGGAGTAGAGGAAGTAGAGGAAGCCGTTCACTAGTCGAAGGTGTTGTTGTGGTCACCGAAGATGAAGCCGAAAAGGGGTAGCTTGGCCTTTGGAGAACACGTGACAACCTCCTCTTCCCTTTCCAGAGTGTAGAGCACATCAGAACAAGGAAGCAGCTTTTCTTCATTAATTTTTCGTAGCTGAGCCAAACCCGGCTACTCAGTTGTTCCCCAGTCAGAGTTGTGCGATGCTGCTTGTCGATGCTGAAGCTTCAGCCCCGCCATCAGAACTCTGGGTGGCTTTGGTGGCATTTCATACGTTGCCTCAAGGGGAGAGGGGTTGATTGGTCTTCAAGATACAATTTTACGGTGAAGGCGAGCCGCAGCAGAACCAGTTCTGTCGCTCTTTCCTAGCCTTGTCACCCGACCGCATTTCTTTCTAGACAGTACCATGATGGTATTGACCGTTCCACGGACGATACGGGCCCAACTGCATTCCCGATCTCTGTCTCCCATCCTACACTGGAATCAACTGGCTGCTCCTCGAATCACCAGGCGAGTCGAACGGGTGTGTATGGCAAGGTCTGCACGGAGCATGTCTATTCAGCCCCGCACCTTTCCGACCGACGGCTTCGTCACCCTCCCAAAACATGAAAAGTTCGAGGAGGAGAGACTCATTGGCTACAAAGCAGAAAAGTTCTATCCCGTTCGACTGGGTGAGGTCTTTGAGGCGAGGTACCAGGTTGTCGCAAAGCTGGGCTTTGGCACCGCCTCCACTGTCTGGCTCTGCCGGGATCTGCAGTAAGTCAACATTCTTATCCTGTGTTTCCGTGGCATTCTGCTAACTCCAATCGAGTGAAAACGCCCTGGTCACTCTCAAGGTCTGCATCATCGGAGAGGATGCTACACAAGAGTTGGTGATTTCTCGCCATATCAAATCCATCGACACGGATCACCCTGGTAAGGGAAAGCTGCGTGTATCGCTGGACGACTTCCATATCAGAGGACCTTGTGGATCTCACCAATGTCTCGTTTTCGAGACACTCGGCCCTACCTTGACCAGTCTGCGAGATTTGTTTGATGATAGGGCTCTTCCAAAGAAACTTTTGCAGAAATTCTTGTTCGTAATTGTGACGGCCTTGGACTTCATGCACCAGGCGGGGGTGGTACATACAGGTCTGTCCCCATATCTGGACACATCCACAGCGTGTTGGCAGCTAAGGAGGATCCTAGATCTATCGCCCAACAACATCCTTGTCGGCACCAACGCCATCGCAGTGTCTAAGGTCGAGCAGGCCGAACAAGATAGCCCGTCGCCGCGGAAGATTCTAGCGGATCGCACCATCCATCTTTCCTATGACATGCCAACGACCTACGAAGCGCCGGTTATTACCGATTTCGGCGCTGCTCGCTTGGGGGAACCGGAGCAGAAGCACTCTGGCGACGTCATGCCAGGTGTTTATCGAGCGCCTGAGATTATTGCTGGGACAGAATGGGACTCGAAGATCGACATCTGGTCCGTTGGAGTCATGGTGCGCATAATAGCACCCGGAAAGTTCATTTCACATGTCGCAATTGACACTTCTTTAGATTTGGAGCCTGTTCGAAAGCCGAAATCTCTTCTATGCCGTCAAGGACGGCCATCTCAACGACGAGCTCCACTTTGCTGAAATGGTCTCTCTCATGGGACCTCCGCCAATGGAGTTTTTGCTTCGCTGCGATCGAAGTCGTCAGTACTGGGATTCAGAAGGTAAGGACGCACGGTTCCAGAGCTGAGAGTCTCTATTTTTCTTGGAAGAGCCTCACTAACGGACAAAGGTAACTGGATTGCTGAGACGCCGATTCCCGACCAGACTCTTGAGTCGCGTGAGACACGTCTGGAGGGCGAGGACAGAGAACTGCTTCTCGCTCTCGCTCGCAAGATTTTTCGTTGGCTTCCGGAGGAGAGGCCGTCAGCACAGGATCTCTACGATGATGATTTTCTTACTCAGTTTATGCACGAGGACGAGCCAGGCGCTTCTTGAGCACCAGAAGTTCGTGGTGCTGTGGGGACGCAGCCTTTCGCGCGTGAAAGTCATATCGCTGGCCAAGGTCTGACAAGGAAAATTACAAGCACGCCACACCCTGGATGGCATCCTCACTTTTGGCGACGCTTGGTCGGATACTAGAGTCGATGAAAGCGGAGACGATCTCGCATGCAATGGGAAACTTATGACATCCTTCCAACCAACGATTTTGGGCCTCGAAACCATAATCACCAGGACAAGCCTCGCTGCTGCTCCAGGACCGGATTCTCTGACGCTCGATCAACGACGTCAAGGGATACAAAGACTGCCTACTGACCGATGAGGGCGGGAGGCATGCTGGAGGTACACGTGCAGTGGACAGAGCCGTCTTGCGCAAGAGAGAGTCTCTCAGCACTTTAACAGGGCAGACTCATCCCGCAAAGCAGAGAAAGAGTGAAGGCAACCTCCAAATACCCCATGCTGGAAGTATCGGATGGCAGACCGGGAGAGTTATTCGTGAGGAAAAGGGAAAGATGCATGTACTATATGTAGATGGTGTAGGGAATGCTAGTACCACAGGGCACGAGGCTGTTTATTTTCGCGAGGGGAGGGTGTTCTCGACGTCGACATCCAAAGACCCCAAAACATGGAATTGCACGTCTGGATAGAAGGTTCGTCCCCCGCCGAGGCTTGTGAGGCTAGAATTCAATAATATGGAGACCAGCTTTAAAGGCCATTTTTGGTGCCACCTGCGGATGGGCAACTGGCAAGTCATGCTTCGTCATCATGCAGAGCGAATCACCAGCATCGTCCTTTATCCCCGATCCAAACGTTCGGGTATATGCTCCTTCGGAAAGTTGAAGGCCATTACATCCCACGATCACCTTTCCGTGTCCATCAGCCATGAGGTAGACCTGAGTTCCGGAAGCTTGCATTCTCTGTCTCATCACTGCCGTTGACGCCGCACTGCCTCTACAAAAGTCGGCGTTGAACAACAATTCGATTCCCCTCACCACCTGTTCGTACCGCATGCTCCCGCAGCACATTCCCTGCACTAACCTCGCTCCCCAATGACGACCCGTGGACTCTCAATCGACGGAGTCCGATTTCGAGATGCCCAAGGACGCGAGGTGACCTTTCGCGGCATCAACGTCGCCGGAGACTGCAAACTCCCCCGTCACCCGAGCCAACCCTCGCACGAACAGAAGGACTTCTTCGACTACAAAAATGTCTCGTTCGTGGGACGCCCTTTCACGGAAGATGAGGCACATGTACACTTTGCCAGGATAAAGAGATGGGGATACAACGTTATTCGGTACCTCTTCACTTGGGAAGCTCTGGAACATGCTGGACCGGGCCAATACGACGAGGAGTTTATAGACCACACCATCAAGATCCTGCGGATAGCAAAGTCCTACGGTCTCTATGTCTTTATGGATCCTCATCAGGATGTCTGGTCCAGATTCACCGGCGGCTCTGGCGCACCTCTTTGGACCCTGTATGCTTGTGGACTGGACCCGGAGACCTTTGCGGCGAATCAAGCTGCGGTTGTTCATAACACATGGCCGGATCCTGCACAATTTCCCAAGATGCTGTGGCCGACGAACTACACCCGTCTGGCTACCGAGACGACCTTCACCCTGTTCTATGCTGGTCGGGACTTTGCACCAAACGCCATCATAGACGGCAAAAACATCCAGGATTACTTGACGGACCATTTTATTGCCGCTTGTGCACACCTAGCCCAGAGAATACACGACTCAGGCGGACTGGAGGATGAATGTATAATTGGGTGGGAAACGATGAACGAGCCGCATCGAGGATTGATTGGTTGGGAAGACCTCAATGGGCTTCCGGAAGAGCTCAAAATGAGGAAAGGAACAATGCCAACGCCGTGGCAATCCATTCTCACGGGATCGGGCCGTGCTGCAGAGGTCGACGTCTACGAATTCAGCACGTTCGGGCCATACAAGAGCGGTCGAGAACTGGTGGACCCGGAAGGTGTATCGGCGTGGCTGTCGAAAGACTTCGACGACACGCAGTACGGCTGGAAGCGAGACCCGGGCTGGAGACTCGGCGAGTGCCTGTGGGCTCAGAACGGCGTCTGGGATCCCACTCAGGACCAACTCTTGAAGCCAGATTATTTCGCCTCGATACCCAAGTCGGGAGAGAAGTTGGACTATCTCAAATATACCAACATATACTATATGCAGCATTTCCGGAAGTACAGAGATGCTCTGCGAGCGATCCACAAAGATTGTCTGATCCTGGTGCAATCAGCTGTTCTGGAAATACCTCCGAGCATCAAGGGCACTATTGACGACGACAAGAGGCTGGTCTTCTCCACTCATTACTACGACGGCATCACGCTGCTTCAGAAGCACTGGAACAAATACTACAACGTGGATGTTTTTGGGATCCTGCGCCACAAATACTCCAACCCCGTGTTCGCTGTTCGGCTTGGTGAGACGGCCATTAGGAACTGTCTACGGGACCAGTTGAAGGCTATACGTGAGGAAGGCGTAACTTATCTTGGGGAGCATCCTACACTCTTCACCGAGATTGGTATTCCCTTCGATATGGATGATAAATACGCCTACAAGTCTGGCGACTATTCGAGCCAGATCTCGGCCTTAGATGCCAATCATTTCGCCTTGGAAGGCTCGGGGTCTCAGGGGTATACCTTATGGACTTATGTAGTTGAGGTAAGGTGACAAGTCAGCCCATCACATTCGACTGCTAACATCTCCAGAACAATCACCAATGGGGAGACTTATGGAATGGCGAAGATCTCTCCGTTGTCTCGGTCGACGATCCTCTCCTCCCAAATGCCTCGACCTTGTCGGCCCTTCCCACTACCAACCCCTCCACAGCATCCTTAGGCCGGGAGTCAACTTCATATTCAAGCACAACACTGTCCGATTCGACCACAATAAACCCGTCAAACCTCAAAGACGCGCTGAAGTCTCCCCAGATCAACCAGACGCAAGCTACACCTCCGAGGGGCACAGAGGGTCCAGTTGGTTTCCGTGCTGCCGAAGCGTGGGTTCGGCCTTCTCCGATCGCAACCGTCGGCGACGTCGTGTCTTACGGCTTCGATTTGAAATCCGTGACATTCACCTTCTCGTTGACATCAGACAGTGCGACAAAGGAGTCCGTCCCCACGGAGATTTTCTTGCCCGAGTTCCATTTCCCGCCTGGGAAGACGCAGGTGGAGGTGAGTGGCGGACGATGGAGAATCGACACGGTGGATGTCGACGGGGAAGCGATGCAAGTCATGAAATGGTGGCACGGGGCGGGCGAACAGACCATGACAGTCAAGGGCATGAAGAGGAAACCGGGCGCGCTGAACGAGGAGGACGATTCGGAAGCCGGATACCTCGAGACAATGCGCGAGAGCTGTTCCATCATGTGATGTGATACGACAAGGTGCGAGATTGTGCAAGACGGCCGTCGACTCATTTTTGTATTTTCTTGATCAGCGAACACGGCAAATGTCAGGTAACTAGGTTTCTATCGGGGCGTCTTTGGAAGCAGGCGGGCGGCAGGATTCATCGTTTCTTTTCTTTTTTGGTTTCTATATGTGCACGTCGCACCATCGGAATGGATTTGGAGTGGGCCTGCCACCCACCTGCTCTACAACGTACAACAAATACAGTACAGTATTCCTCCTACCGATTTTTCCCTGTCATCTAGTGCTGTGCTGGAAAGCTGGCAGATAAAGAGGGTGGACGAACCCACGATGACATGCGGTGCAGTCAGTATAGCAGTAAACTAACAGTTCCAGTACTTTGTCTTGAAGTCCTGTATTCTGGTCGTGACTCGGAACGAGATGTAATTGATGGGGAATTTTTTTACCATCTATTTATTGGTCATTGATCGGGCCTGCATCTGAAGCAGCGTCAATGTCGCCATTGTCTGCATCATTGTCCGCGTCCGCGTCGTTCTCTACCTGGGCGGACGGCCCGTTCTGTTCATGCTCATCCCCCTCATCGTTCTCGTTATCATCCCCCTCCTCATCCGCATCCGCATCCGCATCCCCCTCCCCACTACCTGCATTCTCCCCCCTCAACCGGCCCCCTTCCTCTTGGGAATGACCCTCAAAAACGCCTTGCCCCAGTCCTCCTCCTCGAGATATCTGAGCAAAATCTCGACGACGTGGTTCGTGGCCAGGACCTTCCGGGACGTCATCTCCAGGTACTCGCCGATGGGCAGCTTGGCGGTCTTGATGCCGCGCTCCCGGGCCGTCTTGTAGCAGATGCCCTTGTGGCGGTTCTTGTCGACCAGGCCGCCGACGATGTAGGTCGAGTAGGGGGACAGGGTGGTCAGGGTGTCGGGCGAGTCGGAGGTGAGGTAGATGACTTCGCCATGGGGAGGGGCAGATGGGTCTGTCGGCGGAGAAGAATGCGGGATTTTGGGTTGGGTGGGTTGAGGATCCCTGGTTGCTGACGGTTGCTGGTCGCTGGGAGTACCGTCTGTTGCACCAGTTCCCTCGACCTTGTCGGGTCGTGCAGAGGGTGCTGACCCATTGGCAACGTTGGATGTTTCGCCCTGAACGGCGGAAACTGGGCCACCCGCACCAGCTTGTGGAGCAGCAGCGTACTTCTCAAAACAACCGACGAGATTGCCACCTCCAGGCCCTTTCATCAACTCGTCAGCCTTCTTCGCCGCCTCGACAAAATCCCCCTCCACAAACGTGACATTCCTCCAGTTCAAATAATGCTTGTTGAGCACTGTATCGAACCTGTTCTTCAGTAGTCCACCCCAGGAGCTAATCACAAGATGAGCCCGATACCGCGAGCGCGAGTTGTCAGAGTAAGACCGCGTGAGTTGTGAGCCCAGCGATATGCGTTCCTTATCCAACATGAGATCGTCGAAGCCGCAGTCTATGAGAATGGTCATGGGGACCTGGATAGACCGACGGTGTTTCATCTTAGGAGGTACTCGAGGAGGATTTGAGACTGTCTTCGTCTGTATCCCGTCAACTTTTCCATCCCCTCCGTCGACAGCGGGAGACCGTTGCAGCGTCTGGAGACCATGCTGTTCCTCCTCTTCTCGGGCGGCCCGTTTCCTCGCCTTCTTCTCCTGTGTCTTCTGTTTCCGCTTCGCCTTGCGGTAATCTCGGGCGGCCTCCCATTCTTGTTGCTTTCGTAGTTTCTTCAACTGGTTCTTGGACAGCGGCTTTTGCAGGTCGTCATCTTGCGGACGGTGCAGGGTAGGGAGTGTGTGGGCATCAACTGGTAAGGTTCCTGGGGATACGTCCAGGCCTTCCGACTCATCTGGGATGAATTCTCCTCCATCTTTTCGCTTCACTGAAGAGTCTTCAATATTAGCAGTATACTCCTCCTCCTCCTCTGGCTTACTGTTCTGCGACAACGGAGCATCTGCGGTGCCATTGGTCGTGCCAGGTAGTTTCGACAACAGAGGAGTACCCGCGTCTTCAGCTGAACCGGTGTCATCGTTAGAGTTGAGCTTTCGAAGCTTTGCAGGCCGCTCCTCTGCCTCCATGGTGAAGTGTCAACAGCCGGAATTAGTCGCCAGGGTATGTGAACGTCTAAAGCCTTTCCAAAACTTTTCTCCAGTTCGACGCAGGTCGCAGGCAAATTTACCGCCGCTTTTAAAGGGTTTGTTCACTCGACGCCAAGATCTACGCCCCTACGTCCTCAGCCCTCGCCGTATCTTACTTAGCCTACCAGCCTACTTGCCTACCTGAATTATCATCTGTCAGTTTCTTGGGAATCACTCCATTTACTGTAAGTCATGAGTGAGCCATTCAGTTCAATTGGTCCACTCCTTTGCGTCTCCAGGCAGCAGTTTTGACTGCCTGAATAGGGGAGTGCAGAACCAAGAACCCAACAGGGAACGAATAGAACTCACCCGAATAGTATGTAGTCGCTAGCTACTGGAGAGGTATTAATACTCCGACCTAGCATGCGCATGTGCTGCTGCTTTAAGTTTCTGGAACCCAAAATTGGGCAAACCCCAACTCGACCTTGCAGCGGCCTCGTCCTCCAATTGACCTCATCTCGAACTTTCAAGCTACTCTTTCACCACTGCATTCACCCTGTCTATGCATGTAGGCCGCGATACACTCAACCGGACCAGTCTGCCCTTCTAGAGGATGCCTCAGGACCTTCCGCCCACGGGCGGCTACGAAGCCGTTCAATACAGAGTACGTCTACAAGCTCTCTCGCACCTCCACCACTCCCGTCTTCCCTCCCCCCCAACCCGTTCGGTAGCAGCAGCAGCAGAAGAAGAAACTGCGCACTAACATTTTCTGTCCTCGTTTTTCCCCCGCAGCGTAACATCCCCACGCGCGGTCTCAAACCCGTCTGGTACCTCGTCGGCGTCGGGGCTGTGATGGCCTACGGCTGGCGCCAGGTGTTTGTCGGACAGCGCGAGAAACACGAAATGGCCCGCGAGAAGATGTGGAGTCGGATACACCTGACGCCGTTGCTGCAGGCCGAGGAGGACCGCGACCAGGTCAGGAGATACTATGCGGATTTGGCCAGGGAGAAGGAGCTGCTCGGCAGCCAGAGCGGGGCTTATAACAGTGACCGGTACGCTTTCGTCATTTTCCCGTGCTTTGCTTTTGATGCGTTGTGGTCCTTCGGTTGGGAGTTGGACTGGATCGGGTTATTCCGCAAGAGACGGAGATTCAACGACATCAGAGGAAGTCTCCGAGGCCAGGAGGGAGAAAGAGAGCGCGAAGGCCACGAGGAAACACAACAGGTCCCAAACAGGTCGGGAAGAGGATATGCTGACATTCCTTGCTTCCAACCACAGATTCGTGAGACCGACGTTTACAGCCACACCCAACAGAACGGTGGAATGAGGCGGCAGATATTATATTGGCGGCGTCACGAGCCTTGCTCCCCGATCACGCGATGGTTAATCGTCACCCTCGAGCAACAAGCAGCGAGCAACATAAATCCACATCCCACATTCCCAAAGATCCAAAAGTCAACGAGGCGCGAAAGCGAAAGCGAGAGCCCTACAAAGGGATGGGATCAGGACACGCGTGTGTGGGATATCTCGACCAACCCCCGACATGTACATACATAGAATAAACCATAAAAAAATATTTCTCATGATACAGAAAGACGCACACCATTGGAACAGAAAAGGCCCATCAATCAATCAATCATGTTCGTCACAGATCAAATCAGATCCGATCCGATCCCATCAGCATCATCTACTAGAGTCGAGCCAGTGCAGGAAGAAGACCGATCCCTGACACCAATGCTGGCCACGTTTTCCCCCCTTCGGAGCTTCATATAGATATCTGCCTTGGGGAGTGCGATTCACCTCGCGATATCCAAGATGCAATGACATGCACCTACCTACCCTGCATACCATACGTATCTTGCCACTAATAATCATCCGTTGACCCCTTTGACTCGTGTGCAGGTAGTTCTAGCTAGCTTCCAAACATATCCGCGACTCCCGCCAAATCAGCTCCGTCGTCCCCGATACCACCACCACCAACAACTTTCTGTCCCCCGTCTTCCACGCCCTGCATGCTCAGCATCTCTCGTTGCTTGTACTTCTCCAGGATCTTCGACTGCTGCTGTCTCGTGTCGATCTTGCCGAGCTCGCTGACCCGGACCCCTCTGACGCCCTCGAGCAGCGCGAGTATAATGGCTCGGAGCCTCTTGGACCGGTTGCCCAGCGATGCTTCCTTGAGAAGCAATGTAGACGCGTGATTGACCTTCGCCTCCGTCATGCCTGGTAGGCTGAGAATCACGTCCCGGGGCGTCGGGGTCAACGATGGACGCTCGTGAGCGGGCGTGGTTTCTGTGGCGGGGACGTGATTCGGCAAGCCGTACGAAAGCCAGATCGTCGCGATCAGCTGGGCGTAGTAGACCTGCTGGTCGGCGAAATAGCCATCGTTCAAGCAAGTGATGGCCGTCTTGAGCATATCCGTCGAGATGTACTCGCGCACGGCGGCGGCCTCCTCGCCACTAACAAAGCGGTCGGACGCAAACTCTGGAACAAGACGGTGGGCGGTCATGAGCATCTGGTAGGACGATTTCATATCCTTGAGCGCAAGCGCATGATTGATGAGGACAAGCAGCTTTTCTAGGAGATGTACGTGCGAGAGTAAGAAATCCCGCATCGTTTGTTGGGTGCCGTCCGTCAGATAGTTGCGATTGACAATCGACTTCTTCGAGCTCAGCTCCTGCTCGCGCCTCGGCTGCAACCAGTGTGCAACCAGATTGACCGCCCGATAGGTAGTCTGCCGCAGCACCGAGTCATCTCTCATCTCGTCGCTGAGGTTCTCCTCATCGTGCTTATTCTGCTTGCGCTGGTTCATCTTCTCCCACTCGGTTGATAGCTTGATGTCCATCTGCACAAGGACAGACGATATTATTGGAGTCAGGAAATGTTGCCGACTTCCCGGCGGGCATTCGTCAATCAACTTGGGCAGCATCTGAAGCATGACCGCGAAATGATGTGGACTTAGAGGCACTGCTGAGTCAATGGCGGCTTGTGCGATCAACTCGGGGAGTTGCTGCATGCTGTAGAAGGTCGTGCCTAGCCTGCCCAGTGTATGGAGGATGCTGTAGCACTGTTCGAGATATCCACGTATTTTCCCTCGCACTGATGATGCAAATCCCTCGAGCGTGGACCTGGAGGCCTTGACCCTGCTGTGAAACTCACCCATGGAGCCGGACGAGATACCCGATTGCCAGTATCGGTCTCGGAGAACTCGTCGAACGACACCCTCGAGCTCAGGAGGTACATTCGGCCATGATGAGGGATTGTGCAATTGGTGATTATAGCTCGTAAGACGGAGAACATACTCCAGCATGGTTGGGACCATGGGTGACCAGAGGTCGCATATCATATTATGGAGCTGAGAACCTTGCTCGAGTCTCTCGGTTGATATGCTTAAGAAAATCCGCGTGGCTCGAAGAGGTAACCTGGCGTAGGCAGACGACATTTCGTTCTGAATCTGCACCCCACGATTGTCGAAGGGAACTGCAGACCAATCCTCAATCTTGCCCGCTCCCAGAGATGCGAGGTACGGTCCAATCTGATCAAACCCTTGAAAATGAGCAAAGGACTCCAGACTGCCCAAAGCGGACTGGAAGTTCTGGTCAGCCCAGGCTGCCGCAATGGGTTGGAGAAACTCTTCGAGCTTCGCTTGACGGTGGGTGTAGTCGACCCCGGTCGCATGTTGGATGACAGAGAAGAGCGTAGACTTCAGGTCAACCTGCAGTCGCTCGCTGGCACTGATCTGATTTATTAGATCCGAGAATTTCGCTTGTAGCTGGTCGTAGAAGGTGACAAAATAGTCGGCATGTTGCAACGACAAGCGTCTTAACTCGCTCGTGGCATAGCTGTGCAAGTCCTCGACGGCATCCGCATAGCTGGAATCTTGTTGTCGAACGATGATAAAGGACGACAATATGTGCTCCAGGACACTAAAGGCGAAGCCCGTGTCCTTTCTCAGAGCCCGGTTGGAAACTTCGACTACCGTCTTGATCTGGCGTTGTCTGATTTGCGGGTCTTTGAAGTGTCGATTTTTCATCATGTTCAGCACCCACGCTTTGGTCTCTTCCCGCATTCTTTGCACCAGTTGGTCTTCTTCCGGGCTTGAACCTTCTCGGTGTGCGTCCTGCCATCGATCAAACCCTTTGAACGCAGCATCAACCATGGCAAAGTAGGCATCAGCACGTAGGAGATGCATCGATACGCGTTCATACCTCGTGATGTCGAAGTGTTGTTCCGCTGCTTCGATCTCGTTCAGTAGAGCGTCAACTCGATTCATCACGGCTTGAAGCGCATCTTCCAATTGTGCGAAACATATCCATTCAATGACAGCCGAGCATAGTCTGCGGTAGTTCATATAGAATCCCTGACGTTCCGGAAAGAGCTCAATCTCCTCATTCACGAACACCACGACGGGCTCCCGAGTATCGTCGGGGAGCTGATCGTACTGCATGAGTCGTTGTGAGGCCACCTCCAGAAGCGGGCCAACACATTGAGATACAGCAGCAGTTGTTCGCCAGCTCTGTACCTCCAGCATCTTGACCCAGGAGTGAACGACTGGGATCGAGACTATCAAGCTTTCGTGTTCTGCCACCATGGTCAAGAAGCGTAAAAAGGGGAAAAGGTCGAGGGTGCTGGTTTCTGGGGGTTTGTATTGGCACATGTGATCTGCAAATAACGACATCAACTCTGAGAGTTTTTTCGAAATGACATATTTGCTGCTGTCCATTTCATCTATCGAAACAATAGACCAGCTGTATAGTTGTCTGAATGTGGCGATACTGTCTGGCTGGATTAGAGGATGCACGAGAGCTTGCACCTCGAGCTCTTCTAGTCGGACTCTTCCGTATAGCGACAGTAGACTGTCCATTGCAGCCATGATGAGATCGGGATCTGCCTGGGTGAGGCATCCACATGTCACTGCTAAAGCCATTGAATGAACAATAGCTGGTGTCATGACCCAGGTGAAGGCGGAGCGTATAGTGGCGAGAGCTTTCAGGACGACCTCCTTCAGCTGTCCCTCTACACTGGGGCTCTGTATCGCTTCCTCAAGGAATTTCGTGATCCTGCTGAGCCATCCATCCTCCCCAAAGCGCATGTGGTGCGTGGTATCGCCGATTTTGATGCCTCCTGTGAAATTTGAGCTGGATGTGAAGATCTCGACAAGTGCAGAGTTCAACTCTCGCCCGCGCATGATAGCAACACTATCATCCCGAACAAAGATGTCCTCAGACAAGTTTTCCAATATCGTGAGCACAAAGTCCTTGCGCACAAGATCCTGCTCCCAAAGGTACACCAACTGCTCATCCAAGCCGAACATATCCAAAGCCCAATAGCGTTTGGCCAATTCGATCCATAGCTCAGCTATCTTGTTGCGGATGAAGACAAGTTCGGTGTCCCGGATCGACCGGCCCAGTTCGTTAATACATTCTCGAAGTTGATTCATTTGCTGCTCTGAGAGATGGTGAACCTCATGCCGGACGATGTGACTGAGCACCGAAAGTCCGAAATGTTGTACCAGAGGTGGCTGCGATTTGTCACTTGCCAGGGCGCACCCATACTGAAGCGCTTCGCCGCTCAACTTCAGGTTCTCCAGGTACTCTGAAGCTTGCCTCCTAACCTCGTTCTTGGTGGTGGGATTGTGGATGACTTGTAAGGCTTCCAGGATATTGGAGGTGTCGTAAGAGTGTTGGTGTGCTCCATTTGTGGTGCCGTTGGCCGTAGCTAGGTCTGTCATCTCCAAGTCTGTCGATCTATAGGGTGACAGTCTGTGATCTGAGTGGCATATCGTCCTGGGGCAGATCGGCTCAGGAGGCAGAGGGTAAGGTTACGGAGAGGTGTTTATGCCTCCTCAGTATTGTTCCTGGTGGCAACTCTGAACAATGGTAGAAACAGATCCCCCTGTCGTTCTAATGTCTGGCTGGTTCAGAGGTGAAGATTTGTCACCACAGCCACCGCACCCGTTTTCGTTCCTTTTTTTCTAGGAGAGCATGTGGTCTCTGCGTCCAAAATCCAATGTGATAGTAGATGAGGACGGCTTTATCGGCTAGGCGTTCCACCGGCGTCAAGAAAGATCCATGGAGAGAAGAGAAATTGTTTGAGGAACAGAGGCATGCGACACCCGCCAGTGTCAAAAGTGACGATTTGCGGATGAAACAAACTCCTGCCAAACAAAGAGTTGCCTCGCCCAAAACGGAAGGTTTAACCGGGGTGTAATATATGCATCCCTTTGTTTGTTTCTCTGCTTTTATCTCTCTTTCTTCTTCTACCACATTGGCTTTTGCTTTGGGGCTTCAGGACCTATATCGACTGTTCGCAGTCGTCTATCGAATTGTGTTGGTCACCCACACACACAGACTTCCACACCCTAGTCTCTATTGCTATACCACACCTCCTCCCATACCTCTGCCCATCTTCCGCGCTCTCCCTTCGCGTCTGTTGTGGCTCGCTCCGCCTCTGCCTCTACCTTGTTCCTTTCGCTTCCTGGCAGCCTGAGTCGCTGCATCACCGCTGGGACCTGCAGCACCTCCATTGCCACCACGACCACGTCCCCAGGAGCGGTTTCCCCTAGGTTGCGCCTGAATTCGTCGACCTCCGCTCTCCGCCTCTCCCTCACTGCCCTCAGGAGTATTGTCGCCCTGCCATCGCGTTGGAGCAAGTGCAACTTGATTTCCCCTGAAACCTGGTGTACCCGAGTATTTCTTTTCTAGGCGATCTTGCAGTTTGGGGTCCCTCTTCAGCATAATAGCCCATCCTTCCAGCTGTTCATCACTCATGTTTGTCTCGCGTTTGAGATCTTGTCGTGTCTTGGATATACGGGTGTTGCTGTCACATGAAAATAGCTCCTGGTTGCCTTTCCACGCTCGGAACAACTTCTCTTCGTGGGGATTTCGCTCTTGTCCTCTGTCTGGTTGCGGCCGGGTGTCAGTGTCCAGAGTGGAATCCACTGTTCCGCCCACATCGGCGATATCGTATGTGTCGTCGCGCTCATCATCGTCCGAGTCAAAGGCTGCCAATGCTGACAGAATTGCTGCTTTTCGTTGTGCATGCTCATGTTCTGTTTCAGCATGGTCAATTTTGACATCTTTCTGCCCTCTGTGTAGCCGACTTGTAGATATCTGAAGCTTGTCTAGATCGTCTCCAGCAAATATGTTCCTCCTCTCTGGAAGTTGCGGCGGTGTGGAATGTGGTGTAAGATCGTGCGCTGGTCCAGCAATGTCAAGGTCAGGCCCTTCGAAGGTATCCCGATCACGGAGTCCAACTGGAAGAGAATCTGGCTCCAATAGCGCCGCCACCACAGCCTCGGTGTCATCATGGAAGTGGTCGAGAAGTTTGAGAATATAGTGATTTGAAAGGTCTGGAAAGAGATCATGGACTTGTGATATTTGCGAGGCCTTGTGAATGTGCATCTCTTCGTTCGCATCGGCCTTGCCTTTACCTTTTGCCACTTTGCGCCTTCTGGGCCCAACCGGGGGGTGTAAGTGCCTGGTATTTTGTCGATAGATATTGAGTGACTCCAACAAACCCTGGCCTCGCTTACTGCCAGCCACAGAAGGGTCTGATGCAAGATGCCTCAAGAAAGATGTACTGCAAACCAGGCTCGAGGACAAAGTCGGCCCATTGACTTTTGACTTTGTGAGTCGGTCCGTCTCGGATTTCATGAAATAAAGGTGGTCCAGCAGCAGTGGTCCATGGGCAGAACCATCGGACATCAGGCTGCGCAGACAGTAGAAGATGTGCTCGGTCAGTATTCTTTGGGGCAAGCCTGCATCAGGTAGAGTCTGCAATCGACCGTAGGCCTCCATCAGCGTCTCGAGGTAATCTGAACCCGTCATAAGAATGAGGCCTGCGTCCGCTGAGACCTTGACAAACGCATTCATTTCACGCAATCTCCCCACGAGCAATCCCGAGTTGGGTTGCGCCGAAAGATCCGCCGAGACAGTCTTCTTCCAGCCCTCGACCGCGTTTGTCATCTGAGCTTGATTCCTCTTCCACAGCATCTTCAACGTTACCTTCCAGTCTGACACGGTTGCGTAGAGCATGCTCGCCTGACATAGCAGCTCCACGAGTTTCACCTTGTCGTAGTCGAAAGGCGTACCCGTGACCAGCAGGAGCCTTCTCCAGAGCAAATACGCGCGTTTCAGCAACAGTCTTTCCCTCTGGAGGCTCGGGGGCTGTATCGTGTCCATTGCCCGAGTAGCTGACCTGAAGAATGACGCGAGAAAGGCCACGCCGCTGGCATCCTCTCCGAAACCGATTTTGGAGAAGTCTTTGTCTGGTAGTCGGAGACGAAATTCCAGACTGAGCAGCCATGAGTCAAGACACGCATCCCACTCAGCGGGCGGCAGGCTGGCTTTGACGCTTGATTCCGGGTACAAGGCTAATGGGGGGAGGCCACCCTGCTGAGTGCCTGGGACCTGGTCCATTTCCAGCTGACGGCAATTGTGCCAAGTCTATCTTTCGAGCTGGGATTGAGGGTCGGATCAAAGAAGTACCTTTCCAAATTGAAGAAAAAGTCACCTTCATCATCATTCGTAAATGACTGCTGAGAGTGGTGGTGACTGAACTTTTGGAGAGTCATTCCATAACAGGCTTAGTCTCAAATCGGCTCAACCCGCCGCCAAGATTTCAATCGCACTGTGCGCCATCGAAAAAAGATGTCGCAGACAAGTTCGCGCAACCACCGCCCTTCTGTTCCTGCTTTCCCCTTCTCCAGCCTTTCATCACTTTACCGAACCCAGTCGTTCAGGTCTTGATTGGCGCCGACACTCTCTCCGAACTTCTTCACTCGACAACACCACCGCGTCCCACAAACTCAGATTCAAAAATGTCTTTCCAAAAGCCTGAGAAGGATTTCGGCGAAGGCCCAGTGCGTTTTCCCTCTCTCTCCCCTCTCTCCGTCCGTCTGCAATTGGAAACATCCAGACCAGAGCGACAGCAGAATGACTGAACGGGATGACTGACATGCGTGCGACAGAAAATCCACAAAATCCGCATCACCCTCACCTCGCGCAAGGTGCAGTCTCTTGAAAAAGTGTGCACGGAGCTACTCGACCGCGCCAAAACCAAGAACCTGCGTGTCAAGGGCCCCGTGCGCCTGCCGACCAAGACGCTCAAGGTGACGACGCGCAAGACCCCTTGCGGCGAGGGCTCCAAGACGTGGGACATGTACGAGATGAGGATCCACAAGCGGCTGATCGACCTGAACGCGCCAACCGAGGTGGTCAAGCAGATCATCATCAACATCGAGGCCGGTGTCGAGGTCGAGGTCACCATCGCGGCATAAGTAAATGTCCTGGTTGAGAGGAGAGATATGGGATCTCATGAGATTTCGTGCGTGGAATGTTTTGCATCCTCTGAGACGGGCAGGACGATGGTCGGAATAGAAGAGAACAGGTCCAAAATGGTGCGGACGGTCGTATGCCCGTGAATCAGGCGTCGAGAGATGCATTGCCTCCTCGCTCCGGTCTGGGCCAATGACTGGGCAGACAAGATCTAATGTCGAGCAATCAAAATGATCACGAAACCTGCCGAGCAAAGGATTTTGTGTGCTGTGCGCCTTTTGCCCCTACGCGTTCACGTACACGTCCCGACATGAGCACGATTCCTTCGTAGTGCCCTGCACCTTTGCGTGTCTCTAATTGTCTGTCCGCCTGTGTGTAACGCTACTGAATACATTTCCGGAATCCCCAAAATATCCCCTATTCCACAAGCACAAAGCTTCTGGAGTTTCAAAAGTCGTAAATCCCCCACTCCCTCAAAGGCGGCACCAAGGGAATCTTGCCGTCCAAAAACCTGCCCTCGGAAAACAAGTACTTGTAGCGATCCAAAATTTCGGCCGTGTATTCGTCCTTTCCCCCTTGACAGTCCTCGATCTTATCCTCCCTGTTCAGCGCCACGACATCCAGTGTGGCTCCGGCATCTGGAAACCAGATCTTCTCCATGCCTTGGCCATCGGGACGGCGATAACATGGTATCGAGTTGATGTATTCAACGCGTTGGCCGCGGTAGGATGTGATGCGACCAGAGACGTCTTTTTGAGGGGGCTGGAGTGGAAGGGTCTGAGTGTAGTGCACGGCGTGGGGAGGCCGGTTGATGAGCGGATGAGGAGTTGTCGAAGTGTTGATGATGGGTTTGGCGACCGGTGGAGGCTGGGACGTGGGAGGGGCTGCTTGAAATGGCTGAGGCGCGGTGGCCAGCCCAGAAGTTGTTTCAAAAGGATTCGCTCGGGATGCCGGACGTGAAGGCGCAGGGGTGGTCGTGTCCATGTTCTCATCTTTGGGCTGGACTTCTGCAGTTTTGGGGGCGAAAGGGTTCGCCGGAGCTGTGGTTTGGCCGAATGCTGGTGTCGAGCCGGAACCCACACCAGTCTGGCCAAACGCAGGAGCAGCGGTCTGGCCAAATCCAGCTGAAGTCGATGCAGCTTGACCAAAAGGCGAGGTAGTGGATGCTGGTGCCTGTCCGAAGCCAGGTGTAGTCTGGGGGGCCTGTCCGAAGGCTGGGGTTGGTTGACCGAACGCGGGCTTACCAAACGCTGATGGCTGGCCGAATGCAGACGTGGGTTGCGATGGTTGCCCAAAAGCCGAAGAAGGTTGACTAGGCTGGCCAAAAGTTGAAGCAGGTTGACTGGGTTGTCCAAAAGTCGAAGAGGGCTGGCTGGGTTGTCCGAAGGCCGACGTAGGCTGTGAGGGCTGTCCAAACGTTGAAGCAGACTGAGCGGGTTGACCAAAAGGGGAGGGAGTCTGACCGAAACCACTTGATGCTGTAGCTGGCGCAAAAGGATTCTTTTGCGGAGTCGACCCAAAGCCCGAGGAACCGAATGCTGGTTGTCCGAACCCAGAAGAGGGCTGAGATGGTTGGCCGAATGTGGAAGTAGGCTGTGAGGGTTGTCCAAAGCTAGAGGTTGGTTGCGAAGGTTGACCAAATGACGACTGACCGAACCCAGGACTTCCAAAAGCGGGTTTCGCAAAGGGGCTTGATGACGACCCAATTGAAGGCTTCCCGAATGGGCTGTTTGTTGAGCTTCCCGTCCCAAAGCCGCTCTGCCCAAAGGCTGGTTTGGAGAAAGGAGAAGTCCCAAAACCGGAGGCCTGGGCAGGCTGGCCAAACGACGATGCGGCGGGTTTCGCAAAAGGACTTGTTGTTGAGCTGGTGCCAAATCCTCCACCAGTAGTGGTCCCTCCGCCAAACGCATTCGAGCCACCGGATTGCGACTCAAAGTCTTTGATAAATTGATCCCTAGATTTCGTTCCGTCCATTTGCGTGAAGTCGTCTCTATTGGGGCGCTTCTTTTCTGCGTCGAGCACAAACTTCTCGACATCACGCGCATTGCTGAGGATTTGGTTGATACTCTGTTCGGCTTTGTTCCACAAGGCTATGGCTTCTTGGTCGCCTTCGTTTTCCTTGCCTTGACTCGCCAACTCGTAGAACCTCGCACGCACTTCTTCGGAACTAAATTCGTTCTCGACCAAGAGCGAAGCCGGAGGATTTCTGCCTGGCCCATATGCTGAAAGAATCCATTTTGGTCGACCTTTGCCAGCTCCAAGGTCGTTTGGGATATCATCCGGGTTGAACTGCCATGCATCTCTCCGAGCTACATATCAGAGATGTCAGTTGGACCACGCGGCTTGCTGAGGAAGAAGTTGTGCAGACGAAACACCAGTCTTACCATTGCCACCGTTACCACCGTTACCACCTCCGAATCTATTGCCCGAGAGAGCGCCAAATCTGTTCTGATTGGCAAAACCACCACCTCCTCCGGGATGTTCGTTCCGGCAATTGGCTGTGAGATGGTCGTGTCAGTTACGTCCGGTGGGAGCAGGCCGAGACAGGATGTGGACTATCATGGTAGGATTGGAAACGTACCGCCAAACTTGCAGTTTCCCTGCAGGAAGTATTTGCAGACGACCATGGCAATGCCTCTCTCGCCCGTGAAGGGGTCTATGCAAAATTTGGTAGATAGAGGAAATGGAGGGTGCAACTTCGGTGATTGAGTAGGCTTAGTTCCGCATATGATGCCAATTTATCGGGCGCGACTTGAAGTGGCAGTGAACTTTGGCTGCTGGGCTTTAGCGGCGTAGCGTGTCAAAGCGAATGAAAGTTTTGAGGGTAGCAATCAACGAGTGAGTTCGCAAAGTGAAACCTCGGCTGTCAGTGTCGAAAAGGTCACTTGGGTGGTGAGATAATAAGATGTGGGGGTCTGAGTACAGCGGGCAATGTGCCATGTACAATGTGCAGTCTGGGATGTGAAGGAAATGATTTGCCTTTTGATGCGAGCCCCAGACGCGTTGAGTCGACTGCAGAAATAAGGGGCAGTCTGACACGGTCTGACGTGGTCTAATACAGATTTTCTACTCCTAGCCATTCGTTACTGTCTTCTCGTCAGACAGGGTCATTTATTTGTGCGTGGCCAAAAAGAGCTTAGTGCCCCTACAGCTTAGTCCGATATGGCACATTTTGCAGCCTTGAGGCTCAGCCTTGTCAACGTCAACCTCAGCAGGTCCCGTACCTACCATAAGCAAGACTCCGGACGAGTTAACGATGCACGTCCTGCTAGTTCTAATAGACCCGCTAAGCCGCGGGCTACTTTTACAATCACGAGAAACTCAGCGGAAGACGAAAATTACAGAAAATCAAGCCGTGGTTAGTGCAGCAATCATCGCTGCACTTTCAAATGTCGTTTCTATGCATACTATTTCAGGTCTTGTGCAGTTGCCGTTCTCCGTTTGCACGCAAGCATGTGTATTGTGTGCTGGGTTCAAACCAATGATGAGTCCAGCAATTAATCTTGCCTCCAGTTGACCCGACCTGGCCAGAGATGGTGCCATAGCTCATTAAAGGACGAGCCTCGGCCATAAACCCGGAGTTCGGTGGTAAGTCTGCTCATAAGCTGGCAGGTCGCTGGGTTGTGCTGGTAGCCAGAAGGACCTGAGCATGAGTATTAACGACCCGTGCGCGAAAAGGCACAAACGCTCACAGCGATAAACAGAAAATGTCCAAAAGGCTTGAGCTCCTGTACCACCCCGCGGGGAGAGGAAGTGGAGCTTGGATAGTCTCAGACCCCCAGTAGTGTACACCGCTTCAGTGCTGATCCTTTGAATGCTGACACGCTCTGGAATCTGGGCAAGACAGCCAGAGGCTCGGGTTCTAAATATGTCTGCAGGGACGCATATTCTTCTATGCATATAGAGATTGAAGTGATTGGCATTCTCAGGCTAGAAAAGTGACAACAAGTCCTCGCTCGTCTTCTTTCCGCCAGAGTTGTCAAGTTGCTGTTTAGGGGGTGGGGGCTGCGACTGAGAAAGATCCATCGAAGCGAAGCCGTTCAGGATGTCACTATCAGTCATTCCGCCGAATGCAGACGTTGCCGACGGCACAGTTGAAGATGATTCATTGCCAAACACGCCAAGTAGGTCATCCATGTTATTGGCCGCAGCAGGCTGACTGACGGTCGGTGAAGCCACCCTTTGCGGTGTCCCTGCAAGCCCTTCCAAGCCTGAGAGACCGTCCGAGGGCTTTTCCGATGCCGATGCAGGTGCGGCACCATCAAAATCGATGTCGAGGAGGTTTTCAATGTTGTTTTGTGCTTCGGGAGCCTTACCCTGGACTGCTGCCGCTGCTGCCGCCGCTGCTAACGGATTTTCGCGGGCATTTTGCATTTGTTCTTCGATTGCAGCTTGTTGTACCGCATCGGCCCCAAAGCGGCCTTGGCCCACGAACTGCTCTGGTGGTTTGTGATAGACTGAAGCTAATGTCGAGAGCTCGCCGAGCAACCTTTCGAGGAGTGCTGGTGGCAAGGATTGGATTGTGGTGGTTATGGGTGGCTTTTCTGAGAGGATGATGTTCTTGGGAGCGTTTTGGTCGCTTGTGTTGGAGAGGAGCCGCCAGTATACATAAGCTCGATCGCGAATGTCGGGATTATCGCTTTCGGCAGTTGCAGCATTGAGAACCTTCTGGACGAGACCTTGGGCGGCTTGTGGTCGCTTCAAGAACAGCTTGACCACCGCGGTGAGGATCTGAAGCTGGGTCTGGTTGATTGTCAGTGATCTGTGTTGAGAGGGAACCCAGTAAACCTACCTGTGTAAACTCTTCGGCAAACCCATCCACAAACCCGCCAAGGATGTCGCCAGCATTGCTGATTTTTTCAGCATACTCTCCAACAATCCAGATCAGAGACCCTCGCGCATTGGGTTCATCCAGCTCATCGATACATTTGCATAATGTTGGGATGATTCCTTCATAACCTGGGTATTTCCGGAAAATATCCTTGATCACAACAATCACTTCTTGTACCACATAGTTGACTTTTGTGTTGATGAGGTCCAGCAGGGCATTGACACAACGTTCACTGGCACTTTCGATCTTGATGGCAACTTGTCCAATGGCCTTGACGGCTCGACGCACAAAATCCATGTCTACTTCCAAGGCATATTCCTTCAGTTCGGCCAGTAGTTGATCCACGTTTGCCTCGTTTGCTATACGGACCATTATTTCGAGTTTTTGAAACTTGACATAAGGCGGATCGTTGTATTTGCAGAAAAAGACTCGAATTTCTTTGCTGAGAATATCGGGTTGCTTCTGCAGGAGGAGGTCGATATTGCGGAGAGCCACGTACTGCACTTCCGGCGCAGAAGATACTAGCGTGACCAAGGGAGGTGCCATCTTCTTCAGATAGGACTGCTGCGTTTCCAATGGAAGATATCTCATATGCAGGAAAACCGCCTTGACGGCAGCGACGACCACACTCGAGTTGACATGCTGAAACTGCGGCGCCACTCTTTCGCATATGTGCTCGGCCTCTTTGACATCCTGCGCCTTGTATTCTGCCAATGTACTCAGGATCGTGACACGACCCCATTCCGTACACTCATTCAGAGCCATCAGGAGTTTCTTCAATGTGTTGGGTGTGATGTGTAGGGCGTTCGTGTCGGGCGCCGACTCGTTGATTTCGGCAAGTGCTTGCACGGAATTGGCTACCACCATCGGGTTCGGGTCACCAATCATCTCTTGCAGTGTTTCCAGGAAGCCATTTTCGAGGCACATGGCAGGGTTGAGATCGAACAGTTTTGCGACGCAGATCGCGGCAGTCTTTCGAACATAGGGTGATTCGTCTCGGAGTGTCTTTCGTAGTGGTTCTTCCATGTAGTCGATCATTTTGTCAACTCTTATGCATCCCATTGTTCGGATTGCCAGTGCGCGGATGAGGGGATTGGGATCTTCGGAATCTTGTACAAAGGTGTTGACAGCGAGGATACAGAGGTCAGGGTGTGATTTCGCATAGTTCCTGTGGTCGTAATCAGCAATCTGGAGAAGTCGGTCGAGTTCCGGCGCACTGACATCAAGTACAAGTAGACCAGTTTCTTCTGGTCGAGGTCAGAGGTCGCAATGTTTTTGAGGACGTCCGGAAAAAGTGCGGAAACATCTTTGCCCAATGTCATGGCCATGATAGTCTTTTGAATGGCCTCTTTCCTAAATCAAGACATGAGACTCTCGTGCAGGCTACATCACCTTAGGTCAGGCTCACCGTTCGTAGGCATATTGAGATCTGGTATTACTCAGTTAGCCCAACCATTTGAACAAGTGTTGGAACACATACACAAGACCAGCTCGCAATTCAAAAGTCTCCCCTTTCTTTGGAGGCGCAAAGGCGTTCCTCACCCTGTTCATCGCCATCTTGTTCGGGCTTGAGTGGGACGCGGAATGTGAACGAACGATTGAAACGGGGTGGCTGATATTGAGTGGCTACCCTGCCATCTCACGAGGCTGCTCGATCCATGAGTTTGTAAGATTCAGAGTCTCTTCAAGCAGGGTTCTAGTGGCAGTGGAAAAGTATTGACAGCTGACACAATGCGGGCGGGTGGAGGAAAGACAGCGTCAACAGATGATCTGGCACATTTCACGGAGTCTAGGAGTCTGAACCGCAGGCCGGGGGTTGCCAAGATGAGTTGCAACTACTCCGAACTCATTCCGCCACCAGGTCATGGGTGACGCTGCCCTATTCTCACCTGCGGCGCAGTTTGGCCTTTCACGCCTGCCTCGTAGGGCGGCACCATCTGTGCGTGTTCCTGAGTTGCACCTCGCTAGTTCTGGACAGTTGTATCACCCTTGATCGCCCGGGATCGCCCAACTATTTTCATTTTCACTTGCAAGCCTCAACGAGACGCATCAATTGGCAATATAATGGTATTGAATTCCCTGGATTCCAATCCATATTGTCCATACCCACCCACCGCAATTAATATTGACGGATTGTGAGTGTAGTCGTAGCAACATACACCACATCCTGAGACCAAGGCTGAACCCCTGCATCGTAGCACCTGACAAGAGAAAGTCTTCTTTCTCCAGGTTGGCGGGTCGTGACCGTTGCGTATCTTCTGTTTACTCCAACCTTAACGGACTCAACTTATTTTCGGGCGTCCACAACGGTTTCCAGATTCTCTATGGCAAGCCGTAATGTGCCTTGGCTCTGACTATAACACCATTCTTCAATCCAGACCGCCCATGCCGGTAGCGATCTCATTTGACGACCTCAAATACCTTGGAGGCGGCAAATCGGGCACTGTGTACGCGATCGACGACAAAACAGTCCTCAAGTCATATACAGACCCCTGCAACGGCGAGAATATCGTTGAATAGCAAGCATATGGCCGTCTAGGAGCACATCAGAATATTGCGAAATACCTAGGTGTTACTCCACGGTTCAATAGTTCTTGGACGTGGGCAGGTCCTCCGGAATGTATGTCAACAACCGGGTGCAGACCAAATACCACTACGAGGAAAGATTCGCTGGCTGAAGGATTTCGCAAATGGATTACAACACGTACACGAAAGGGGGATAATACACTGCGATGTCGGGTCTCAGAATGCCATCTTGGTACATGATTGGCTCAAGATAATTGACTTTGAAGGTTGCAGCATCGGTGGTGCTGAAGCGGATTCCTGTTACGAATGGTTCAGTTATCGACGATCAACGCCGAGCACAAGCATACAGACCGACATTTTCGAATTTGGATGCATGATCTACGAAGTCATGACTGGCCAGCTTTCTCATGAAGACCTCATGGCGAACGAGCATCGAGCACAGCTCGTCGAGCAACGATACGCCGAAGGCCAATTTCCTGATGTTGAAAGCCTGCCTTTGGGAGACTTGATACACGGATGTTGGCATGGCACTATCGATTCAATGCAAGAAGTGGTCGAGTTCCTAGAAGCGATGCCTTTATGAGAGATCAAAGCCCTACTCCGTCCCTGTACGATGTGGGCTTATCTGTTCCGAAGTCGTGATGGCGAGAGAAATCCCTAGGGTTTCAAACAGCACAGCTCACCACTCACTAACCCTATCTCTTCATCGGGCACAAGTCATAGATCACCTAGGGCGAAGTCCTTCCGATGTGCACATCCTGACATTCTAGCCAATTGGGCGCGGCTAGAGAGAGGGAGAGGGAGAGAGGCGATTTACGAGCGGTGCCGGGAACCAGGGGGCTCAAAGAACGCGCTGGAACAAATCATGTCCAACCTTTAGAGGTCCAGACACACGTGGGATGCAAATATTGACGACTTGGTTGGCTTTACTATTGCTGCGGACCTGGTGCATCCTCATTAATCGAATATGCCAGCAGATCCAAAGAGGACCCCGCCCAAACTGGTCGTTCAAATTCTTCCACGTTTCCAATCTCCAGAGGACGTCGGCCCTCCAACTCTGAGTCCGATCTTGTTGGAATCACGGCACAGCTGAACTGTATGGGGAGGAACTTTACCCTGGCGCCAATTTTCGTCAGATTTATCTGCTCGCCCACTCTGAGGAGGACTGTCCGACGAGGATCTCAGCCCTACCACACGAATTAGTCTGACTTTCTTAGAAAAGTTCATTGTGAGATCAAGCCAGACAAGGATCTTGCACAGGGGCTTCAACATCTCGTATCGCTTCTCGTTGCAGGAATGCCCGGTTTGTGACCTTCTAGATGTTTCATGGCGGTGAACTCAGTGTAGTCTGCGCTGCGAGTAATGATCTTCAGCGCAATGTCACCATGGCATTTGATGACGACATTGTCGTCCGGCACATGAACCGTAACGCGAAGCGAGTCGTTATGATCATGTTCAGCGCCCTTGTAGTCTTTGAGAGGAGACTTTTCGCCTTTCTTGGCTGCCAAGCGCTCTGAATAGGTTTTTGGGGGAACGGTTGTAATATCTGCGGTTCCATCCCTTGACAGGACACCCCGAATTTTTTGAAAGACCTGGAGGTTAAAACGTTTAGCTTCACAAGTATCGGTTTGTTCTTCAGCACAGGGTCGCTTCTGCTGCAGGGATGACATCTGGTCGAGAGATACCTAGATAGTAGCACTCTCCACAACATACAAGTAACCGTTAATAGGGAAGTAAAAGCTTCACCCCAATACAGTAATTTGTCGCCAAGAGCTTTGGCTCCCCCCACAACAAGGCGCTGTATATGAGCATCTGGGGAGATCAATCCCAAAACAAGGCTAGTGATATCTGGGGAAGGTGATGCGAAAGCTTCGAGAAATATCTTTGTGATCTTAACAACCATACGACCTCCGCAGTTTCTAGCTAATTTTCCTTGAAATGTGCCTGGGCCCAGACAAAGACGGTAAGGACACTTTTTCGTTGGAGAGAATAGCCGAAGATCTTCCGCGAAGACTTGATGCATGAGTTCTGAACTTGTGTTTGTTTGCCTGCGCCCGAGGATCAATAGCCTCTATCGAACGCCAACATCCAACCAGGTTTGCCGTAGGAGCGGCCTTGCTCACGATAACCAAAAAATCATTCTTCCGAGGATTCTTCCCCGCCTCACTCCTCCTAGAATAGCAAGGCCGCATGAAATTCCAAGATGAATCGTTCCCACGTGGCGACTTATCGCAACGCGGGGTGATGCTTGGCGAGCTGAGCGCCAGGCACCCACCAGGCACCCACCAGGCAGCCCGGCAGCCAGGTTTCATGCTTCATCTCAATGGCGATGATTGGTCACGATGACTTGGGTCAGAACTCCTTCAACACCCCCAATGCTCGCTGTTAAGGAGAGCAATCATTTTCCTTTGCTTTGAACGCTGGCATCCCTTCCAACTGCTATCGTGGGAATCAACCTTTCGTGGCCAATGCAACTCTCTGAAGTCTTGGGCAGGTAGTTTCTGTATCACGACCAAGGGCGGCGCAAATGCGAGCAGCTTCAACGGCGGTGGAAGGTAGCCCACGATATAAACCGACATCTGTTACTCCTCGTCCACAAAATACTGTCGTGTGCACGCAAATCTACCACTCGAATTTTTCGGGGGAGAAACCCTGACTGATCCCCCCTTCACGGCATAGAATCTTCTTCTCTCCTTTGTCCCCTTTTCCAGAAATGTCCCTCTTGCAGCACGCCGTCAAGATCATCCCCTTCTTCACCTCCCCCCACCTCCCCTCTCTTTTGACCTTTTACAAAACCTACTTTCCGGACTTTACCATCTCCCCACACCCGACCGATGCGACAGACCCGACGTTCGCGTCCATCTGGACGGGACCCGGGGCCGCGGCCAACATATACATCATCCAGGACGAGAAGCGAGCAAGGGGCAGCTGCATGATCATGATCGACTCGGTGGCTGCGCTGGAGGAACTCTACGCACGGCTCGTGGCGCAGGGGTTGTTGCGGCCTTCTTCAGACGCGGCTGCGTGGACGGGGATCCCTGTGTCGGTGTCCACACCGATATTGGTCCACCCGCAACAGACTCGCCTGGGACCGTGTCAGGACAAACCATGGGGATATCGCCAGTTCGACCTCGTCGATCTGCACGGCAATTTGATCGTCTTCTTTGCGTTTCTGGGCGAGTAAAAGGAGTCCCAAAGGAGATTCTTGGACACGACTGGCGGGGCTAGGCGCGGCGTTTGTCGGGCCGCATCGTGCATCATGCGAGCATGGTCAAAGTGGAATGGAATGAAATGGAGTGAGCGAGAGAGAGAGTATGTACTAATGTACTATGTAGGGTCAATGCAAGAGAGGCGGGGTTCTGAATACCAAAGGTCAAAGAGGATGCGATGGGTGGGGGAAGGATTGAGGATATAAAAAAAGGGGTGGACAGATGGATGGGATCACAAAATATAGGAGACGCTCGGAGCTAATAGGGTTGAAATGACAGAGGACAGAGGACACGACATATAGGTAGAGAGAGTATAACAGGTAGGAGAAGACATGTTGTCTCATTGATATGATGTCAATATGAACATCGTGGTGCATATAGGGAGGGGGCTTGCTTGCTTGCTTGTTGGAGACTCTTGCTTGATCTATCTATATCTATAGATATGTAGCTCGCCTCGCCCTCGCCTCAACTCAACCCGGGGCGGCAAGGCGTCAAGGCGTCAGGGCGTCAGGGCGTCAGGGCGTCAGGGTGTGTTAAGAGGAGCAAACAGAACATCTTTTGGAGTACGAGACCCAAGGATCCTGCTAGCACCTCTCACTCTTCGCTCTTCACTCCTCACTTCTCAATTTCGATACCCCTATCTAAATCCTCCTCTTCCTCCGGCTTCACTCACCTCTTCTTCAACGTACAGATGACCCCGTCCTGCTGGACGAACCAGTGATTACACGTCCGCCACTCCCTCTCGGGGTACGTCAGCTCGACGTCAAACTGCCTGAGCAGCTCGGGGACGACCTTGTGGATCTCCATCCAGGAGATGTTGCGGCCGATGCACTTGCGGCTGCCGGCGCCAAAGTTCAGTTCCCAGATGTTGTCCATCTCCTTGAGCTGGGCCTCGGGCGCGGTCAGCCACCGGTCCGGGTTGAAGACGTCGGGGTCGCAACCGAAGACGGCCGACCGGTTCGTGACCCACGGGTTGATGCCGACGATCGTGCCCGCGGGGATGTGGTGACCGTGGACGGTGAGGCCTTCGGCCGGGACGTGGCGCTCCATGAGCAGGCCGACGGAGGGGTGGAGACGCATGGATTCCTTGACGACGGCGCCGAGGTAGGGCAGCACCGTGGTGGCTTCCTTGAAGGTGATGGGGTGGCTGAGTCGGCCCTGTTTATCCGCGCTGTCGATCTCATCGACCAGGCGGGCCATGCACGCGGGGTGGCGGCAGAGGAAATAGACAATGGCGCGGAGGGCGATGGCTGTCGTGTCGCTGCCGGCAAAGACGTTGGTCGACAGGTGGACGACGATATCCCGCGTGCTCATCTTGAGGGGATCCGACGACTTGACATAGGCCCAGCGACTCAGCATGTCACGGCCCTCGACGTCCGCGTTGATCAGCTCGCCGTCTCGTTTGATGCTGGCCCGGCCGTTGATCGCCTTGAGGGTGAAGACCAGCACTTGGTTCCACGTCTCCATGGCGGGCATGAGCAGGGTGAACAGCGGGTTGCCCAGGAGAGCGTGGTGCAGTTCAGGCACCTGGCCACAGAGTGCTGCGTACGTGAGCATGCCTTCGATCGCTTTCATCATACCCTGCGCTGACGGTCAGTAAGGGTCCCCCCCCAAAAGGTCCATGTAGCGACACTCACATCGACATCTGTACCCTGCTCAAGAAACCCAAGCTTGCTCGCGAACGTGACCTCTCCGACGACATCAAAGGCAAAGTATTGGAGCCAGGCACCGAGGTCCACCGGTTCTCTCTTGGACGCAAATTCATTGAGGCGATCCATGAACAGAGTGACGCAGGAGTCGATGGCTGCCTCTGACTGCAACAGGTTCGGCATGCTATACGCGGCTCCGATCTTGCGCTTCTCAATGCGATGGTATTCTGGGTCGCGGGTCGAGAAGAGGTTCATCTCTGGCTTTTTCTTCCACGAGACACACTGGATCGGATAAAAGGCGGACTTTGTGAAGTTTTCCTTGATCCCGTAGATGACGGGTATCAGTGAAGGGTCGGAGATGGACACATGGTTGGGCCCAATGCGGACCACGGGACCGTACTTCCTGTGGAGGTCGATGGCCGTCATGTGAGCTTGTCCTTTGTAGACATCATACAGCCTCCACAGCTTGGAGTAGGCCGCCACTGGAGGGCCGGGAATGCTTCTGAGTCCCGGTCTGAACTTGTTGTAGAGCAACGAGACAACCAGCAGGCCCACGACCAAGAGAACTGGGTAGGTAGCAACAACATGCTTGGTAGAAGAAATGAGACTGGTGGGAGTAGTCGACGCCATGTGTTCAGGTGGCATTTTTTGAGTCCTGTAGAAGAGAAGAAACAGGAACCAGAAGTGCTGGATCGTCGTTCTCATCCGAGAGAGGGCTCCTGGTGACTTCCTTTTGTATTGTTTCTGCCTCCCTCTTCCAATTCTCCTTCGGATAATGCACCAGTGGCAATGCCCCAGAAACACTGCCTCCATGTTTCCATCTCGTCCGTCTGTTCAAATCTTAATGTTGGTGATTGGCCGTGGATGGAAATCAACGCCCGCGGATTGGAGCATTTGGCTGAACCTTGGCCAGGCTAGGCGAGAGGCTGTCCCCTCAACTCAGATCCGGGGCCCCCCCTTCTCCGGCGACGAGTAGCGGTGCAGGAGTTGTGAGAAACATCAAACGAGGAGAGTTGGAAGAGCCATCGCGTGAGTGGCATGCTTGCGGGTCTGCAGCAAAAAGCATAGACACCTGTGGGTTTCTTGGAGCAACTTCGACGAATCTGATCAAAGGGCCAAGACGACGCCTCCATTCACCCGACTCGTTGAATGCTGTGCGAGCCGCACAATGATCCACTGCGCGTGTCATGGTACGATCTTTGCCAGACAAGACCAGAACTTGGGTAAAAGGTCCACAGCCCCGGATCCGAGGCAAGACTTTACAATAACCGGTTGTCGGAAGATGTAATCGAACTTGAAGTACATCCACGTGGAGAGAGCGAGCCAGCTCTGAATCCTTACCTAGTGGTGCTGGTATAGCACGGGTTGGAGTTGCAGGAACAAGACCAAATTGAACTTGATGTCTGAAGCTGAAGACGCTGGCTCATATATCAATTAAATGCAGACTTTGCTGGATAGAACCGCTACCACACCTCTGCAGGACAACGTCAACTGTGGCTCCGTACGACCCGAACCTACTCGAATGTGGGCACAGGAAGGCTCAAAAAGATAGGAGGAGGGCACTCTTCCCCAGTTACCCTGATCAGCACGAGGCTCGGGAGGAACCATGAGTGCTATGCGGGTGGTTTCTCGTAGGCCGAAGAATATGCAGTTTTTTTTGCCATTTTCACATCCATCTCCCTTATGGCGATGTCGTCGTATCTTTCGGTGCTCTGGAGCGTCCCATTTGTCGTGGGCACTCCATTCTTGGTCGTTACAACGCAATGGCGGCAAAAGTCCAGCAGTGGGAATGAAGTGGTGTCGGGGACATGGCTGAATCTCTTGGTCAAAACTCCGCCTCCCAGTGCCAAAAAGCACAATATCAATACAAACCCGCTCAGGATCACGTAGGCGATAACAGACGCCAGTCCCACGACAATCTGATTTCTGCTGACGGTGAAGTAAACAGGGCTGTTGCGTTTGAGTCCGGCGGGAAGATTGATGTTGTCGTAGTTGGTCAAGAGGATATTGCTCGGTAGCTCCGAGACCGCCTGCCGTTCAATGTAGCCTGTCTGGCAAAAGTAGACGGGTATTGCCAGCAGTGCCTGTAGCGCATTGACCGCCCTGGTCTGAAGGGCCGGACTATGTGGAGAGAGTTCGGTAATCGAGTTCAGCATCGAGGCGATCATGGCTGGGAACATGAATTTACCGGCTCCCAGCCCCAGGATTTCCAGAGTGGTCGACGTGGTAAGATCTGTGGAATTCGCGAGGCCCAAGAAATTGTCCCATGCTCCTAATAGATCCGCCGACTGGAGTGGTGCCACTGTCTCTGGCAGTGTGCTGAACTCGTGGGAGATGATAGTGCCATTGAGTCTCGAATATGCAATCTTGGCCTGGCGGAAAGTTGAGGATAGCCTTGTGGTCCAAGCCGGGGTGGAATTCCATGTCGACTCCTTGCCACAGCTCCCAGTGAGGGTGTCTGCATAGCTGCAGCTTGATATTCCTACCGAAATGTCAGACAGTGACCATATCAAATTGCAAGCACAACAGAACCTAGCTTCACTTACTGGCCTCTATTTGACTGGGGCCGACGTTTTTTGCACAAAGCCTGAAAGCCCCCAGTGTAGATCCCACGGCTTCGGTGTAATACGTCCGACATTCTGTGCCAGTTTCAAACACCCACTTTTGGTCTCCCTCCGTGAAGCGAAGAACATAGCCTTGGTGGTCCTCGACGAGCCAGGTGTCGGCTCGGGGATGAGCATCTGTTGTTATCTGTGCAGCTATCTCCTCCTGTCCTGCTACGAGGTAGATAGCTCGCTCACACGTTTTTTCACCACGCACAGTAACCGAAGGGGAGCAAGCTCTTCTGCGATCGACATCTGAGATGTCTACCGCATGTGTGGGATCGTCCAGAAACTGGCTGAAAGACGCTCCGAGGAGGATATCGGTAAAGGGGGACAACGTGACGGCGACGCTCGTGTTCAAGGATCCAAGCCCGAATCCCAGGGGCGCGACTGTCTGGCCCACCTTGTCGAATCTGAGGACTGTTCCCACCTCGCCTGCAGAGCGTCAGTGATATTCGACTCGAAAAAGTTCAGAGGAGATGACTCACTCATGATCAAGACTCCCAATATCGGCAACGAGGCCACAGCAAGCAGCCTGAGGGCTCCCCAGAACCTTGTCCCAACTCTGAAGTTTGGCCCAGCAGTGATTTGTATCAGTCCCAATATTCCAGTCCCCTGTTGAAGACACAGGAACTCGGCTAGCGGAATGCCGCCCTCGCGCACGGTCAAAAGCCATTGCAGCAGCTCAAATGCAGAGGCCACGGTAATAGCAAGGAGGAAACCCGTCACTTCAGACAAGGCTCGGAGAACGAAAATGGCGTTGCTCGGAGACGAGTTGATAAAGTCGCTCTTCCACAGACCCGGTCTAAGGGCGTACAACGCTGTCAGCACGAGCATTATGACAGTGAGACATGCCGGAATCCATGCAAGAGCAATTTCCTTTCTCTTAGTCGCAGTCGGGACAACACCAGGACCAGCGTCTGTTTTTGCATTGTGACTTGCTGAACTCGAGGCTGTTTCTATCACTGTATGTCCGTTGCCATCTTTCTTGTCGACGTGTGGAACTTGGGCTTCGCCGGCCTTTGCAGACGACGGAGTCTGGTCTGTCGCCGTGGATACTAGTATCGAAGGGAGATGAGCCTGCGCGTTATCCTGCAACGAAGAATTCCGACCTGAGTCGTGAGACCTGGGTCGCTCAGATAATGCCATGTTCCCGTCTCTGCTCTGCTAAAGAGGCAGGTGAGAGAGCATGCATGGTCATAAAGATTGGGCATCAACTTGCAAGATGGAAACTTTGTACATGACATGGTGGTCTAAGAGGTCTTCCAACTGTCAGGCTGAACCATGTAGGCTGGACAAAGACACGGCACAAAAAGAGCCAAGGGGTAGGACTAGTTGTGGAAAATACGAGGTTGAGAGGTGTCACTGGCCCGTGTTGCTGCCAGCATGTGCGTGGTGGAAGTTTGCTGTCTCGTATTCGCCAAAATGGGGACCTATGAGGCTGAGAGGTTGATGAAAAGGGCCCTGTTCTCGACCGTTCTCGATGCAAAACGGCCCAGCCACTTTCAAATAGTCGCACAAACCTCCCCTGTTTGTCTATTTGTTGAGCTGGATACGAAGTGATTGCACCTGCCCGCCACGTACAGTGGCTGCATAGATATCTCGCCCCTTCGCCTCCATGGTTAGAAGATCTGGAGGATAATATGGTAGCACGTTGCCATCTCGTTGACGAGCCTATCGTTGTTACTATTACTAGTATGCATCATCCCCCATCTGCGTGACTTTCATTACCCCCCAGCTCAGCTTGAGCCTGCGACAGCCATGTCAATAGCCTTTACGCTGTTGTTGATGCTCGGTTCAGCCGTTGCCATCACTCAGGCTCCCAAGCTTCCTCCTTCTCTTCTCGTCCGACAAGATGGGGATCTCGCATCTTGCCAACTGGTGAACAGCATTGCAGCAGCATGCTCTGCCAGTACCAGCAACCTATTCGATCAAGGCTTCAGCGTTGCCGCTTCCTGCCTCTGTTACTCGGGATCGATATATCAGCCTTCAATCTATGATGCAGCCATCGAAACATGTCTCGCCTATCTGTCGACAGCCTCTCCACCACTGTACACATCACTTGCTGGGAGTGGCCAGACAGGAAGTCCATGTGCTTCGGTCGGTGATGTTCGTACCAACACGGCCATCGACTCCAACCTCATTTCCTGCTCGTCGTGGTACAGCATGGAAGCCTCTTGCTCCAGCGACAACATCAACGCGTCACCCCCGCCATTTTCGATTCAAGCCAGTTGTCTGTGCTATACGAGTTCAGTCTTCGCTCCATCCGTCTTCGACGGCTACTGGGACGGCTGTCTAGAGTACTACAAGACGGCCTCCTCGGCTTATTACTACGAAACCCTGTCTTCACCAGGGAAGAATTTGAATACGCCTTGTGCGAGAGTAGGAAATGTCAGGACGTCGACTGAAGACGGTTCGAGCTCCGCCTCTCCGGGCCAAACGATCTCTACAACACCGACTGCGACAGCAACTACTACGGACGCCGGTGGTGCTAGTAGCACAAGCGGTAATGGACCCGTTCAGACAGAAACAGGAGAGAGTGCATCGAGCCCTGTAGTAGCTGTGCCCGGTGCTTGGTGGCTCCTTTTGCCAATGATGTCGCCGTTAGTGTTCTTCCAGGTGGCTGATCTGCGTGCTCTCATGCTATGATTGCGGATTGACAGTCCACGGTCATATGGTCCGGTACGTACAGTTCTACTACCACCAGTGTCAGTAGTCCTGTTTGGGACCATCCCAAAATTTCAACGTTTCTTGGTTTCCCCTATGATCTGTCAAATTTTGTCCAAATAAATTGTTGAACCAGATAAGGACGGAGTTCGAGACCGATTCAACCCAAGTTTAGACTGAGTTGAACCTGGGCTCCGAGACTTGGCCACAACCGACTTTGGCGCTTAAACCGTTGATCGGGCAGGCCCGGGCCAGCGCAGCTTGATCTGAGTTGACCGACTCTCAACCTGCACTGAATCACTTTTAGGAATCTACCGCATACGGAAGATGTTCAAGGGGAAAAGAACTTCATGTAGCCTAAATGAGAAGTGTCCAACATAGTGTGAGAAGATGGAATCGTTTCCGAAATAGGAAAGAAGCTGGATGCAACGAAATAGGAAAGTCACCTGGGCAGTTGTGGTGCGGTCATGGGGCATGAATGCAGCTAGTCCACTTTGGTCGAATTTAGTGACACGCTTTGCGAGGGTTCACAAGTTTCATTTGCCCCCATTCTATTTGATAGAATTGTATGCAAAGTTGTAGCCACTGCTTGTCGTACTTTACTGCCGATCAAGTCAAGTAGTACCTCTCATGAGCTGCTGAGCGATAGTACCATACCATGGCCTTCTCCTCTCGACTTCCCAAGTTTGTTGAAAGGGGAAAATAATGGCTTTGAGGATTCTCTGAGAGGTACTCAGTACTAGTACTGGGGTCTCCAGAGCGTCCACCACGGATTGCGCTGATTCTGGTCCACATCTGCATCGTTTCCAGCATGAATGACTCAGTTCGGATGTGGCCTGAAATCAAGACAGAGGTGACTCGGACTGTAGATAGGAGAAACTTGAATCTTCCAAATGGGTGTGTGATCTTGTAAGGCAGGGACCAGTAGGAATTTTAGGAAGGCAATCCTACTTCTATACTGAGGTAGTAGTACTTAGTACGCCTACAATCGCTTATTTCTGTGTGACACTGTTGGCTTTTCAGACTATTCTCTTCCATTAGAGGTCATCTTAGTACCTCCTCCTGAATCGGAATGGCTACTATCAATACTAGTACTACTAGTAGTAAAGATGCCGGACGACACACTATAGCTGGTATATAAACAGACATTATTTCTCAACTTCAATGCGCCCGACCGGATGAGGCAGGAAAACGTGTGAGTACTAAGCAGTAGTAAGTACTACTACTATAGTTGCTCTATCAAATGGATGAATTCAATACTGCTCTGATGCAGCAGCAGCTCCGATGCGGTTTTGAAACGGTTTTGATGTTGTATAGATAGATGTGGTTTTGATGCACATTGATGCGTCGTTAAAACCTTGATGCTGTGTCGATGTGCATCAGACGTAGCATCAAAACTGCAGCAAGACTGCCGCATGAGAGTAGTATCAGAGTAGTATCAAAATCGTGTCTGTACAGCATCAAACAACTAGTAGGGGCGTGAAATTCAGTACCTAGTATTCTTCTGATGCTATGAAATGCTATAGATCTTGCTAATTATTGTGTTTCTTTGAATCCCACCTCCTACATCTCGGATATTCCACTGGCAGCTCCACGCGATGACGTGCGGGGACAGATTGTCGGGACGTCTTCGATTCGTTACTACGGGGGTTTCTTTTCGATCGGCAGACTTTCCCCCTTACGTTCACGTGGCTTCGGCTCGTCAGTGGAATTGATCGATTGGCTGTCCCGCAGAAGAGATAGAGAGTGGAAACGCAGATAAGGATCTTAAGGAAACCTCAGGTATTGTGATACTGAATATTCTTTCTCATGTGTGTTACATACACAGCATTTTCAGTCTTTACAGCTCAATAGGCCGTCTATTTCTACTACTATACAACACGAACTCTAGGCAATCGGCACGATGCCGATCCGACCAGGTCGCACTTCGCTCGCGCCGCCTGGTGATAGTGACTTGGTCATGACGCTACGAATGGTGAAATCTGATATCTCCTTGGACACTTCGGAGCGCAGTTCGATTGGTATCCTCCCACCGATGTTTGGAAAATCCCGCGCGACCCCTGTGGCTGACCAGCCCTTTTGCCTCTAGATTGCAAAACGTGTTGGAAACGGCGCGTGGTATGCGATCGGACGATGCCTTCTTGTTGGAAGTGCAGGAAGAAGGAACTAAAGTGCCCAGGCTATCGACCATCCACCAACTTCAACTGGACTAAGCCTCTTACTCCCAAGACGTCGTTGAACCGTTCAAAGGGCCAGCAACCCATGACAGAGACCGACTGTGGCCAGTCAAATGGAACAACACCCGAATCAGTTACGCTCGAATTTGGAACAGTCTCCAGTGCGATCCCCTGGTCCGGGTCCCCTTACCTTTTGGCGTCGCCAGGCGCAGTGCCCGTATTCAAATCGCAACATGCTCGCTACTTGTTGGACTACTATTGCAATTCTGTGTCGATGAAACTCCCTTGGGTTGACCTCGAAGACAATCCATGGAGGACGACGGTTGTTTCGGCCGCTCTCAATTCCGACTTTCTCCTCAACACGATCCTTTCCATGGCAACAGAAGACGTCGCGTGGGCGACATCAGAACAGATTTTAGCTGCGGAGCTCAAGCAGCAAGCGGAGAGGTATCGGACGCGGGCTTTGGGGCTGCTTTCGCAACAGCTGGCATTGGACATTGCAAGTCAGAACGTCCGGACACTCCATTCCGAAAAAACAGTCCAGGTCCTGGCTACGGTCCTCTTACTCTGCAACTGGGATATGAGAAAGCCGGACTCGAGTATCTGGAGACTGCACCTCAAAGCTGCTCATACACTGATTCAATCATGTTCCTTCACAGAGACTGACCCCGCAGCCGGAATGGCCAGTTTCCTCGTGACGAAATGTGCTTCGCTCAGCGTATTTGGTTGCATGTCGAACTTTCGGGGTGGTTCCGACCACCCGCTGGACTACGTCTCGAGCTCGGATGGGTCCGAGTTCCTTCCATTCCTGCGCATACTGCAGAAAATCACACTGCAAAATAGACGACAGAAGAAGACCGTGGCAGCCTTGCAATTTGCCGACCCGGAATATTCTCGGGAAGGTTGTGTCGCGTTGACAAAGGACTTGCTCCAGGCGCGGCAAGAGACTTCCCGCTGGGTGTCGGGGAAGGCCAATATCTCTGCCTCAATGCGACATGATCTCGAGCAGGTGGGTCACATGTATTATCTCGCCGGGCTCATCTATGGCCATCAAGCGTTACAATTCAGCTGTTGTTCTCGAGAATGCGAGGTTTGGGGTTCCCAGATTACGGATGGCTGTGACGCGTTCCACCAGCTCCCTCTCTTCTCGCAGGACATTCTCTGGCCTCTCTTCATTGCAGGTACCACATTTGGCAACCGCGCCGAGTTGCAAGCGATACTGGCTACCAAGATCCAAGGTGTTACGACTCACTCCGGCCATCGGAATGCACTGCCCGCTCCAGGTCTCTTGAAACAATTCTGGACCTGGCAGACTGGAAGACGAGACAGCTGGATCGATTTCGCGGCCGAGTGGACACAGAAATGTGGCGACTTTGTCATCATCTAGCCCTCGTCCTTGGTAGATTGGATGAGATACTAGTACTTCACAGCACTCATTATGGGAGGGTCAAGCTAGACATTAACAATCCGGGATCGGATACTGCTCGTTGATCTCACTTATCCTTATTGCCCACCGTTCTCGACCCCGTAAGCCTTATCACCACTTTTACGGTCTCGAGGCGATTCATCGCGATGATAAATTTGATACATGGTCCTATGTATCATTACCACCCGTGACAAGAACAGAGCTATCGAGGTCCTTTCACCTAAACCTAATCAGGCTAGATTTTCTCAAGTCTCTGCCATATTCGGAAGAGCGACGCCGCGCTAGCAAGATATCCAACATCACAGCCGATCCGGCAGGGCATCCTTGCATAGACACAGAGAGCACTAGTATATCAACGGTTGAGTTGACCTGTGCCCGACACAGAAAGTTGACGATTGGGAGTCTATTGGGACCAGTCCGTTCTCATTTCCAGACAAAAGATCCCCCCGATAAGAGGTGCAAGGGCCTGTCCTGGGTCTGGCTATTCTTTGCCGCAAGGGGCACTTTTTTCCCCAGATGGAGGTGCAAATTGGGCAGATATGGAGAGGCGAAGTCACGGCAGCTCATAAGCGAAGAGTTTCTCCCGTGCACATGGGAGCCACACGGAAGGACCAGCGAAATAATGATCTCGACAGGGCGTGGCGATATGCCGGTGGTCACGTTCTCGTCCTTCCTCCATCATATCACCAGGCTGCGATGACCCCCAGGGCGATCCACAACTTTTACATCAAGGTCGCCGACGCGTCTCCTCTGCCTCCAGTGGTCCATAATTACCCAGCCGCCGTTTCGGATCATGGCCATTTTCCAACACCGGAACGTACTGGGCACGAAGTCCACCTGTGGCGACATGGGGAGGCTGGTACGGCCAACTTGGGCGATTGAACGTAGAAAAAAGAATTACTAAAGAGGCATTCTGTCATTTGACTGGATACAATAAAGTCTTAGCCACGACTAAAGAGAGTGGGTGGTTGTCGATCTCCAAGCTGCACGCAGTGCCAAAAGTGTCCTCAAGGCAGGTCCGTGGTGATGCCGTACGGGACACCTTCGTCCATCTCACGGCAGGTGATCTCGAGGTATTTGGTCTGCATCTCAACCCAAGCCCTCATACGTTCCTTGATCTCGTCCGCGGTCAGATTCCCCTTCTCGATCCTGTCCCTGATATCTTTGGCTCGAGCAGCCAACACGTCCATGCGATAGACGGTCCACTGCAGGTAAAGCTCCTCCAAGCGGCTGCTCCTGTTGGTGATGAACAAAGTGCTCGGGTCTGGGGCCAGGGGATCCTTCGCTTTGAAAGAGGTGACCATGGTGATTCGCTCTGTGGCCCCAAACGCCCTCAGGGCGATATGGTTGATGCACCCTCCCTGCATCATCACAGCCCAACCGATCCCGGGACCGAGCATCTTGATGACGGAGCCGTCCCCCTTTTCCAGTCCCGTCTCACCCCCCACCATCCCCGCGGGGTCCGAGAGCATACACACGCACACCCATGGATACGAGTCCACGTGCCAGTTACGAACCGAGGACAGTTGCTCCTTCTCGTTGGGGATCGAAGCCCTATCCACCAGGTTGGCATTCTTGGGTGGATAAGGCGGTGGAAGGACATCCCACAGATTTTCCTTGCCAGCCAACTCATCCAGCTGGACGTTGACATGTCCGATCTCGTAGTCGAACATGACCTGCAAGTCAATGCCTGCGGCCTGGGAGCAGGCGGCGATGACCTCGGGGCTGCGCCACACGGCGTCAACGAAGGGTGTGTCTTGCGAATAGCCTCGCATCTTGTACGTGCCGGATTTGATTTTCTGGCCGTGCTTGCGGACAACGGACTCCCGGAAGACATCCTTGCGCATCTCGACGACGCCCTCGAGGCTGAAGAGGGGAAACGGCTTGGTGATGGCGACGGGCGAGCAGGCATTTTCCTCGGAGAGCAGCAGTTCTCGCAAGGTGATGACCGACTCTGGAGGCTGGAATGCCATGTGACGAGCCGGGTCGAAGGTGATGGATGGCACCGGCTCCGCTTCCGACCTCAGCATCGTTGAGAGCTTAGAGTCCAGAAGGACCGGAGCAGAAATTGCGGTGACCATGGCGAGAGTGGCGATAGTAGCAAGAGTGAGTGAGTGGGTGAATGAGAGATGGAGAGATGGGGGAGAGACATACAGAGATAGAGACAGAGACAGACAGAGAAAGAGATATAGAGAGAGGATCCTCACGACCAACTATTCAAGACTATTCAGAGGCAAGGAGATAAGGGTCTGAAAGCGACCTAGCATACTTACTTGGAGTGGTTTTAACGCAGACAGTATCGGTATTGTCACGCCTGGTATCAGTGACCTCCACCGGATCGAGTGGGTGTGGATAACATGGCAAAAAACGGCATGATCTAGTCGGGTATCATGTGGATAAGCCTCTGACCTTATCTCTCCCGAAATCCTCATGGTAGCCAGGGGAAAAGTCACCCGCCGAGCTCAAAGGTATGGAACATCTTGTGCATAAAAGAAAACAAGATTCCTTGACCTCGACGAGATGAGCCGTGTCACTATACAACCTCATCATCCTCCTCCTCATCCTCCTCACCCAGCTCACCCGCTTCACTCGTTTCACCTACGTCCGTTGGACGTCTCGACGGCCTCAGCACGTTGC